TTCTAGAATATTGTAAAGCACATTTTCCTGGCCTATATTGCCTAAAAAAGAGACATGGAAAAATGGCCATTTTTTTAACCAAAACCATGGGTTAACCCCTTTGGAAAAATCTCAATTTTTCGACTTTTTGAACTTCTTTTTTATGGGCTAGAAAGGCGTTTTTACTTTCTAGAATATTGTAAAAACATTTTCCTGGCCTATATTGCCTAAAAAAAAGAAAACGACAAAATGGCCATTTTTCTACCAAAACCATGGGTTAACCCCTTTGGAAAAATCTCAATTTATCGACTTTTTCAACTTCTTTTTTTTATGGACTAGACAGGCGTTTTTTTCTTGTAGAATATTGTAAAGCACATTTTCCTGGCCTATATTGCCTAAATAAAAGAGACGAAAAAATGGCCATTTTTTGACCAAAACCATGGGTTAACCCTTTTGGAAAAATCTCAATTCTTCGACTTTTTGAACGTGTTACTTTTATAGGCTAGAAAGGCGTTTTTTTGTTCTAGAAGATTGTAAAACACATTTTCCTGGCCTATATTGCCTAAATAAAAGAGACGAAAAAATGGCCATTTTTTGACCAAAACTATGGGTTAACCCCTTTGGAAAAATCTCAATTTTTCGACTTTTTAAACCTGTTGTTTTTATAAGCTAGAAAGGCGTTTTTTTGTTCAAGAATATTGTAAAACACATTTTCCTGGCCTATATTGCCTAAAACTAACACGTGCAAAAACGGCGATTTTTTGACCAAAACCATGGGTTAACCCCTCTGGAAAAATCTCAATTTTTTGACTTTTTGAACTTCTTTTTTTATGGGCTAGAAAGGCGTTTTTACGCTCTAGAATATTGTAAAAAACAGTTTCCTGGCCTATATTGCCTAAAAAAAAGAAAACGAAAAAATGGCCATTTTTTTACCGAAACCATGGGTTAACCCCTTTGGAAAAATCTCAATTTTTCGACTTTTTGAACTTCTTTTTTTTATGGGCTAGAAAGGCGTTTTTTTGTTCTAGAATATTGTAAAACACATTTTCCTGGCCTATATTGGCAAAAAAAAAAGAGACGAAAAAATGGCCATTTTTTGACCAAAACCATGGGTTAACCCCGTTGGAAAAATCTCAATTTTTCGACTTTTTGAACGTGTTGTTTTTATAGCCTAGAAAGGCGATTTTTTGTTCTAGAATATTGTAAAACACATTTTCCTGGCCTATATTGCCTAAAAAAGAGACATGGAAAAATGGCCATTTTTTGACCAAAACCATGGGTTAACCCCTTTGGAAAAAGCTCAATTTTTCGACTTTTTGAACTTCTTTTTTTATGGGCTGGAAAGGCGTTTTTTTGTTCTAGAATATTGTTAAAACATTTTCTTGGCCTATATTGCCTAAAAAAAAGAAAAAGAAAAAATGGCCATTTTTTTACCGAAACCATGGGTTAACCCCTTTGGAAAAATCTCAATTTTTCGACTTTTTGAACGTGTTATTTTGATAGGCTAGAGAGGCGTTTTTTTGTTCTAGAATATTGTAAAACACATTTTCCTGGCCTATATTGCCTAAAAAAAAGACAGGAAAAAATGGCCTTTTTTTGACCAAAACCATGGGTTAACCCCTTTGGATTAATCTCAATTCTTCGACTTTTTGAACGTGTTATTTTTATAGGCTAGAAAGGCGTTTTTTCGTTCTAGAATATTGTAAAACACATTTTCCTGGCCTATATTGCCTAAAAAACAGACATGGAAAAATGGCCATTTTTTGACCAAAACTATGGGTTAACCCCTTTTGAAAAATCTCAATTTTTCGACTATTTGAACTTCTTTTTTTTATAGGCTAGAAAAACGTTTTTTCGTTCTAGAAGATTGTAAAACACATTTTCTTGGGCTATATTGACTAAAAAAAAGACATTAAAAAGTGGCCATTTTTTGACTAAAACCATGGGTAAACCCCTTTGGAAAAATCTCAATTTTTCGACTGTTTGAACTTCTCTTTTTTATAGGCTAGAAAAACGTTTTTTCGTTCTAGAATATTGTAAAACAAATTTTCGTGGCCTATATTGCCTAAAAAGAAGACATGGAAAAATGGCCATTTTTTGACCAAAACCATGGGTTAACCCCTTTGGAAAAATCTCAATTCTTCGACTTTTTGAACGTGTTATTTTTATAGGCTAGAAAGGCGTTTTTTTGTTCTAGAATATTGTAAAGCACATTTTCCTGGCCTATATTGCCTAAAAAAAAGAAAACGAAAAAATGGCCATTTTTTTACCGAAACCATGGGTTAACCCCTTTGGAAAAATCTCAATTTTTCGACTTTTTGAACTTCTTTTTTTTTATGGGCTAGAAAGGCGTTTTTTTGTTCTAGAATATTGTAAAACAAATTTTCCTGGCCTATATTGGCAAAAAAAAAAGAGACGAAAAATGGCCATTTTTTTGACCAAAACCATGGTGAACATGGAAAAAATCTCAATTTTTCGACTTTTTTGTGTTGATAGCAAAACCATTTTTGGGTCTAGAAGATTTTAAAACACATTTTCCTGGCGTATATTGAAAAAAGACATGGAAAAATGGCCATTTTTTTTGACCAAAACCATTTAACCCTTTTTCTCAATTCTTCGACTTTTTGAACGTGTTGTTTTTATAGGTTAGAAAGGCGTTTTTTTTTCTAGAATATTGTAAAACACATTTTCCTGGCCTATATTGCCTAAAAAGACATGGAAAAATGGCCATTTTTTTGACAAAACCATGGGTTAACCCCTTTGAAAAAGCTCAATTTTTCGACTTTTTGAACTTCTTTTTTATGGGCTGGAAAGGCGTTTTTTTTTGTTCTAGAATATTGTTAAAACATTTTCTTGGCCTATATTGCCTAAAAAAAAGAAAAAGAAAAAATGGCCATTTTTTTTTACCGAAACCATGGGTTAACCCTTTGAAAAAAATCTTAATTTTTCGACTTTTTGAACGTGTTATTTTGATAGGCTAGAGAAAAGTTTTTTTGTTCTAGAATATTGTAAAACACATTTTCCTGGCCTATATTGCCTAAAAAAAAGACAGGAAAAAATGGCCTTTTTTTGACCAAAACCATGGGTTAACCCCTTTGGAAAAATTTCAATTTTTCGACTTTTTGAACCTTTTTTTTTTTTAGGCTAGAAAGGCGTTTTTTTGTTCTGGAATATTGTAAAAACATTTTCCTGGCCTATATTGCAAAAAAAAGATAGACATGGAAAAATGGCCATTTTTTGACCAAAACCATGGGTTAACCCCTTTGGAAAAATCTCAATTTTTCGACTTTTTGAACTTCTTTTTTTTATGGGCTACAAAGGCTTTTTTTTGTTCTAGAATATTGTAAAACCCATTTTCCTGGCCTATATTGCCTAAAAAAAACACATGGAAAAATGGCCATTTTTTGACCAAAACCATGGGTTAACCCCTTTGGAAAAATCTCAATTTGTCGACTTTTTGAACCTGTTGTTTTTATAGGCTAGAAAGGAGTTTTCTCGTTTTAGAATATTGTAAAACACATTTTCCTGGCCTATTTGCCTGAAAAAAAGACATGGAAAATAGCTATTTTTTAACCAAAACCATAGGTTAACCCCTTTCAAAAAATCTAAATTTTTCGACTTTTTGAACCTGTTGTTTTTATAGGCTGGAGAGACGTTTTTTCGTTCTAGAATATTGTAAAACACATTTTCCTGGCCTTTATTGCCTAAAAAAAACACGTGGAAAAACGGCGATTTTTTGACCAAAACCATGGGTTAACCCCTTTGGAAGAATCTCAATTTTTCGACTTTTTGAACTGGTTTTTTTATGGGCTAGAAAGGCGTTTTTTTTGTTCTAGAATATTGTCAAACACATTTTCTTGGCCTATATTGCCTAAAAAAAAGACATGAAAAAATGGCCTTTTTTTGACCAAAACCATGGGTTAACCCCTTTGGAAAAATCTCAATTTTTCGACTTTTTGAACTTCTTTTTTTATGGGCTAGAAAGGCGTTTTTACGTTCTAGAATATTGTAAAAAACATTTTCCTGGCCTATATTGCCAAAAAAAAAGAGACGAAAAAATGGCTATTTTTTGACCAAAACCATGGGTTAACCCCTTTGGAAAAATCTCAATTTGTTGACTTTTTGAACTTGTTTTTTTTATGGGCTAGAAAGGCGTTTTTTTGTTTTAGAATATTGTAAAACACATTTTCTTGGCCTATATAGCCTAAAGAAAAGAGATGGAAAAATGGCGATTTTTTGATCAAAACCATGGGTAACCTCTTTGGAAAAATCTTAATTTTTCGACGTTTTGAACTTCTTTTTTTATGGGCTAGAAAGGCGTTTTTTTCTTCTAGAATATTGTTAAACACATTTTTCTGTCCTGTGTTGCCCTAGAAAAAAAATGGAAAAATGGCCATTTTTTGACCAAAACCATGGGTTAACCCCTTTGGAAAAATCTTAATTTTTTTGCACTTTTTGAACTTCTTGTTTTTATTGCCTAGACAGGATTTTTTTTGTTCAAGAATATCGTTAAACACATTTTCCTGGCCTGTATTGCCTAGAAATATATTTTATTGACATTGTAGATGGATAGAAAGGCTTTGTAGAGTATAAAAATGCTTTTTGGAAAACGTAAAAAAATTGAATTTTTTTAAAGGGGTTGGTCCACGGTTTTTGTCCAAAATACGAATTTTTCCATGGTTTGTTTTTCGTAAAAATCAGCCTTGAAATATATTTTAATTGATATTCTTGATGGAAAGAAAGGCTTTCTAGACCAAACAAATGCTTTTAAAAAAAAATGGAAAAAGTTGAATTTTTCCAAAGGGGTTAGTCTACGATTTTGGTAAAAAATTAGAAATTTTTAAATTTTTTGCTTTTGAAAAAAGAAATAAGTCAAGAAATATATTTTATTCCTTAGATTGTTTTTTGGGAAACAAAGATAGAGATAGAGTTTATTGATTGTTTAGATAGGAAAGAGGGCTTTCTAGACTATAAAGATTTAGTTCTTTAAAAATTCTGTACAAAATATTTTTGAACTCTACAATATAATTATAAATTGATATAACACTATTTCTGTCATAAATATGGCTGCCTGCAACCCTAGACAAAATTAGATTAAATAGATTAAAATAGAATCTAATAAAAAAAATAAGCACTGTCTCTCTTTCTTGGCCATAGTAAGCGTTTTTTCGATGTCTTAATCTTACAACAACTTGATCGTGTAACTCCACATCTGAGTTCTGGCTTCTGTTTACTAAAGCGTCACAGCAAACTTGTCTCCTCTTGGATCATAATTAAAATCTCAGTTGTAGCAGCGACGTGGTCCACACGGGTGCGAGTCTTTCAGTTTGCCTTACTCTCTTTGCATTGGTATACAGTAGCGTCTTCAAAAGCATTTGTCCCTGCAAAATGTCAACTAGTTAAGGACATGGGCGTCAATGGAAAAGCAAGTCATGTTGTTGTCTCTTCAAACAGGGGATGATACCACTTCGATCTTCACCCTAATTTGATTTGAAAAGGAAAGGAGTTTTGCATCCGACACTACTCTTTTTATGCCCAAATCCCCTCGCCCTACACTCCACTCCTTCTCCCTGTACCTATAATCTTTAATGCGTTTATTTACCCATTGAAGATTAAATCTTTGAGAATGTGCGATGTCGCTATCATACACCTCAGACATAAACACTTTGTTGACTGTTATCGAATCTTGCCATTATTAGGGTTAAATCGAGTACTGGATTTCCGTAGAATATCCGAAGACTTTTAAAAAGTTAATTTAAGAAGTACTGCAAGCATTAACCTTTTTCGACTATAATTTTATTTTTAAATTTACCTTACTGGTCATATGTATCATGGGATTTTCCTCTTTGTTTGCCATTACTTCCAACAAAACCTCTTTGTATTTAGCAGCACTCAGTGAATTTCGCGCGTCCTCTAAAGGAAAGCTGATCACACTATGATCACAAAACAAAACTTTGACCAGTGGAACGTAGTTATGAGAGAATACGTCATGTACGACCAAAGTGAGGCTGGGCGTGGTTGCGTCTGTGTCGCTTGGCACGTGAATGGTAAAACATCTGTTTTTCTGTAAAATTAAAAAAGCGACAAAGTGAAAGTAGCCGACAAAAGGAGATGAATCAATATCTTATTGCGTCAATAACAAAATTCTCGAACCTGATTGGTTCTAAGCAGCCGTTAACTGTCCAATTTGTCCCGTCCGATTGGCTGCTTGTAATCTGATAGGTCAAATCGAACAGTTGAAGAGCCAATGAAAATTGAGCATCACTATTGCTAGACAATTACGTACTGGACAAGTTTTCGACCTTCAGACTGACACATTTTATTTTTTCATTTTCAAAAATGTATTTAAAATAGTTTAGAACAGTCACAAGCCACGTTTTTTCTTTAGAATCTGTAAGCTGAGATTCTCGCACTTTATTATTGACAAAATTAATAGAGTACCGAAGTGTGACGTCATAGAAAATGAAATTTCTGAAATTATGGGATTTGTTAAGCTATTCTGAAAGAACAACGTCCAAGACGCCTACTCGCCAAAAATTAGCAATTCGGGGCAAATTGTCTCTAAGATATTAGCCCAGTTATGCTGTGACGATTCCATACAAATCCTTCTAAATTTGGCTTGGTTCATAAGATTAGGAACCAGGTAAGATTTAGAAGGATTTGTATGGAGTCATCGGAGCATAACTGGGCTAATATCTCAGAGACAATTTGCTTCAAATTGCTAATTTTTGGCGAGTAGGCGTCTTGGACGTTGTTCTTTCAGAATATCTTAACAAATCCCATAATTTCACAAATTTCATTTTTATGACGTCATCACTTCGGTACTCTATAACTGCTAATTGGACTTCAGGGTAATCAAGCTCGTTTGCGCTCGGCCGACTTTAAATAACTCGCCTGATTACTCCCTGAATTACACTCCACTCAGTACTATAACCATACCTTAGTTTTGACAGAAACGTTTATTTCATTAGGCCATTCACGAATCATTGATCTAAAGACAATTTCTTTAATTACGTGTACCCGTTCAACTTAATTTCTCATAACATTATTGATTTTACCTGAGGATACTGTAGAAATGATACAATGATACAGCGCAGAGCATTTTGTAGTTCTTGGAAGTCTCTCTTTTCTTCAGGTGGTGAACCCTCATCATCTTCTTGTTGAGTGAGGACCATCAAAAGACTTATAAAACAAAGGTAAAAAGGTGATTATGATTTGAGCTTTTTGTGTAAATACAGTTTTTTGGCAAGGATTCTTGCCTAGGCCCAGAAATAATAGCTAAGGAAAATCTAGTTAGAAAAGAGATTTTAACTGAACTGAAAACAAATCAATTTTACATAGTCAACATATTGGATTTTTCAAAGGAGTTGGCCCATTAAATTATTCCTTGAAATTTGTCTCTATTTTATAGACCTTTTTGAATTTAAAATAATGTCCAAGGAAGTTCAAGAAAGAAAAGAAGGTCCTCTAGAGTCAAAAACAATATTGGATCAATTAAAACGGGTATCCCATAGGTTTGGTCAAAAACAGGCCTTGAAATAACGTTTCAGGGGGTTCTAGATAGAGAACTAACTTGCTCTTTTAGAATCAAAAAAGCGGGGTGTGAGTCCTTATTATCTGTTTGGGCGAATACCATCAGAAGACTGAAAAACGAAGGAAAGGTAACAGGTGATGATGATTGGGCTTTATCTTTACTCATTTAGTTTTTTGGCATGGATTCTTCGATGTGATTTTCGTATGCGTTGGAAAAAGCTAAAGGGAGTTTTACGCGTCTACATTTCCATTAAACATGGAGACAGTACTGAAATGGACGTTTGTGATGACTTTCGTTCTGTTGGACTATGCATTATGATTGACTTACTTTAAATCTTTCGTTCCATTCCACGTTGAAAGACTAGCAAGGTCAATCGTTTTTGGTCTTTTGATGCAAGCTCGCCCCTGTACACCGAGTTGACTCTTAGGAAAGTGGCATCTTAGGCGGTGCTTGTCGGCTAGTAATTGGACTTTGGAAGATTTGTCGTCCACCGGAGAAGAAAAGTACAGCGTCAGTGGTTTTCTAGAAAATAGGCGTACAAGGATTGATGTTACAACCAACTGCTGTTTTGCAGGCGCAATTCAGGAAGGACGAATTACATGTATATATAACCAAAAATGCTGTTTCAAAGACACAATTTAGCAAGGACAAAGCACTTCAATATCAATTGATAGGATACTGGTTTAACATAAACGTGCTGTGCTTTTTAAGGGTTTAATACCTTTTGCTATCAAACGAAATTTCCACAGCAGTAGGCATTTCTATGGGGTGATATTCCACTCTGGGACACTCTGAGAGGGAGACCGTGTTAGCTGTTGTTATAATCTTTATATCTGCGTTATAACACATGGAATGTTCCTCTAAGGCCAGCAGCTGCAATTAAAAGGAAACGTCAAAGACGTTAGGGAGCTTAAGCAAAGGCGTTTTTGAGCGACGGACGTCAACCGGAAGTGAGGTATTTTCCCTCTTAACATGCCTTGATGATATAAAATTTGTATTCCTTAGCTTCTTTACTGTTATAGAGGCGATTTGACTGAAAATTTGCGCGAAACCACCGTCCAAAAATCAAAAAAGGCCACTTCCGGTTGACGTGCGTCGCTCAAAAACGTTGTTGCTTAAGCTCCCTATTGAGAGCAACATCCGAAATGTCATGCTAAAGAAATTGCAGTAGTCAGACTGGCGATAAGCAGCCGATATGAAGGAGGGGCTTTTTTCTCAAGCGTGAAAACATGATAGCAAGCAAGAGCAGTGCCCATTTGGAAGATGATGATACAAGAAATAGGCTTATCCCCCTTCCCTGTATGTAGTTACACGTCCAGGTTCAAGGTATGCGCACATTTTTAACAAGTGCCACCCAAAGACGCTGTAAACATTGCCGAGAAATATACACCCTTGATACGTTTCTATTTCGGGTAAGGTGTCTGCTTGAAAGTGTAAGAATGATGAGACAATAAATATCCACCTCATGTTACTGACTGATACGTACCTGGAGATGGTCAGTCTTTGTAGCTTGGGACATCACTACAGGCAGTACGTCGCTAAGTCCAATATCGTCCATTCTTTCCGTCTTTGCTTTCACACGTCTTTCTCCTTGGTCGTTGGCGTATCCTCTATTATGAAGACTGACGTCATTAACAAGCTTATTTTCAAGTACAACGTCATCATTTAGTTGGAAAGATGAGGAATCGACTCCCGATTTAAACAAATGCACAGGCTTCTTGTCCAATGATACCAAACAATCTTCACTACTATGCATATGTCCAGAATTGTGAATAACTAGATCTTGGCTAGAAAGAATATCTAGCCGATAACAGCTGTCGTAGTTTTGAAGACCTCTTCTGCTTGTGTCACTCATACAACTTACACTGACACAAGAAATATTTCTTGCAAGTCGCGATTTGCGTTTTTGGGGAAGAATTGTTTGTTTAACGTCCCTTTTTCCACTGTCCGTGTTCAAACCTTTGTTCGTAAAGCAGCATACATCGTTCTCCATGGCTTTGCAACTATGTTTTAATTTCACTACGTTTGAGATGCAAGAAATAGTGGAGCTGATTAAGATAAGAACCGACTCAGGGTCAAGAGTTTCCCAATCGGTCTCAAACACCAAGAGGCTTGCCGTTTCTTTGTCAGGGTCGTAACGCACGTTGTTGTAAAAAAGGTGAACTGGTCTGTGAAATGTTCTTTGCTCCAACTGAAAAAGAAAGAAAAAGAAACACGCTTTAGTCATATGGAATTTATAAGAAAAGACTTGAACATGTAAGAAAATAACTCATGTTCATCCAGGAATACCACTAAGACCAAACCAAAACTCATTTCAAAAGGCTCCCGAACTAACAAAACGTCTTTTCGAGAACCGCCGGAACTCCATACACGGCACCACACAAAAAGGGTCTAAAATCTTTAAAAAAAGAGTAGTTCTAACAGTCTCCAAAGACCAACCAATGTCCTCTTAACCTCAGTTGTATGAGACAAATTTGTGTTATTTGGGAAGGATGGTGCAGTAAACTGTTCGAATGTCTTCGTACACTTTTTCTTTACCTGAGAAACTGGCCACACGCTAAGAAATCTCGAATCACTGGGATCTTCAAATACGACTGCTTGCATTACAGGTGTATTGCGTGACAGCCCAATGGTAGGAAACCTGACTTGCACTTCCACTTTTAAAACGGCACCTGTTTGTTTCAGAAAAAAAAAACCAGTCATTTCTTATAAATCGGACACGGTTAAAAGAGGATACTTTTGTCAAACATGCATTGAATGAACTATTTTTCGGTCTCGGCATCAAACACTACCTCCGCCCTAATGTGAATGCTTTGGAAAGACATGCATTTTAAAGTGTATATAGAGGCATGTAAATTAATTGTAATGATAAAAAGTGCCTTGTTTTGCAGTTCATTTGTAGGCGTTTTGAACAACGTGATGAAACACTCTTTTTCGTGTTTTAGCCATTAATACCTTTTAATAATCCTGACAAGCACTTGAGAGCATTCCATGAGAGACCGCAGAGCTTGGAACAGGCTCGCTTTTTAAAAAGTCTTACTGCTGGCAATGACTCTTCTACGTGTGACAAAACATGCTCAGCTTTAAAAGAAAATCGATAAATGATAAAAATTAGTTAAGATAACTTTCACAGGAGAATGGTGTTATGTTTATTTGGTGGTCTTATCCATAGACCGAGGAAATATAGGTCAATTAATCCTTTCCTGGCCCGATGCTTTACAGTAAAGTTACAGCTTTACCAAAAGTGAACGTTTTTAACTCAAAATAGAGTATATAAAAGCTAGGCGTTACACGGTCCACATCAATGATAGTCAATGATAGTCAATGACAGTCCTGGCAGTCCCTTTAACTCACCCGATTCTTTAAGAGTTTCCATTGATTGCAAAAATGCTACGAAAAATGTTAAGGGTGATGAAAGAGTCACACCGCTTAGCTGCAGGCATCGTTCTCTGGGTGAAGGCAGTCTAAAGCAACGAGATGCCATGTTCTTCAGGGCGTCCAGAATGTCTGGGGAACGGTCTAAAAACGAAAACAAACGTTCAACATCAAATAGATACATATTTCATTTCTCGCAGTAGCTGTTGTTGCAGCAGGCGGACGAAACTCTCAAGGATTGAAGAAAAAAGGGAACTTACCAAGAGAAATGGGTGTTCTTTCTGGCTCAGCTCTTACCCAGACTAACCTATCCACTACTCGTCGCTCCTCCTTAAGGGCAAGGATGTCGCTGAAAGAGAAAACATTCTATCACCTATGAGGTCATCAGTTGCATGATAAACACTTGGGCCAAAAAACATTTTTCTTTTAATTAGAAGTATGTCTTTGGAATAAACCGATTGATTGGATTGTAATAGTTGCACTGATAAAAATCAGTTCTCGATCAATTCTCTAATGCTTCCTTCTTAGCTTACCCCGCAAAACATACCTTTCACGATAAACAGTTTACTTTTAGAGGTTTTCTAAAATCCGAGAGTCAGACTTATGATGCCAACGTTGTGGATAAATTGGACATCAACCGCAGAGTCGCATGTGTTCAGGTAATAATCCGATTCGGAATGTTGACGTTAAAAAGATTCTTGGATACCAAACTATGTTGTTTGACAATTAAAAGTACAAACCTCTTTCCAAGGTTTAGGTCTTCAGCCAACTTGACTCCAAGTACAGTGGGATAGAGAGTTTGCGCCATACCAAGACTGTAGTGTAAATACTCTTGAAGACTACACAAACCAGATGCTCGCCATAACATTGTCGACGTCATCAGCTGGGACTGACCTGGTCTTGAAAGGAATGAACACAATTGGCACCGTGAAAATTTGATCATTTTGAAAGTGGCCTTCTTTGACTTTACCTCATTTTACCTGGTCATAATGAGTAAATAGGATAAACTATTATTTGTGCTTTCTCGTGATGTACCGTGAATATTCCACTTTTGACTGCCAGTCACGGTACTCACCCTGCACGTGCATTGTCTTTTAGAACTGGGAAAAGCCTGAATAGGCCATTACCGAGTTCTAAAAACTCTCACTTTAAAAACGAGACCTAGCGCAAAACCTTTCTTGTGAAAATGAGTTTTATATCGGCTTGGGAATGACAAATCATTTTCATATCAATAGCTTAGGTCTTCGCCTCGCTTTGAAACAGAGGCATGAGAAAAGATTTACTTACTCTTTCAGTCTTTTTGCACAGCACACAAGAATATTTAACAAGCCAATGTGGTCGCTGAGGTTACTTGTGTCAATAACATCAAATAACATATCTTTTGACAATCCCCTATTGCATAAGTCCAAGGCATCTCCGTTCCAAAATGTTACCTAAAAATGGTAAAAAATAATTATGAAATATCATGCTCATCATATAAATGGCATACTAATTTGTGTGGACCGTGGTCCTGTTCATCGCCACGTGAATTCCTACTTCCAGCCTGCTGAGTATGCGTCATTGGTTTGGCAGTCCCGTTTTCCTAATGCATGCGCATCATTGTGTTGGGTTCTCTGCGTAATTGTCACTGTCTTGAGTACTTTGTGTGTGTCATGTGTTTGGATACCCTGTGTCATTTAGGTGTCCTGTGTGTCTTTGTGCCTTTGACTATCCGCGTGATTGGTCACCATGCATTCGCCAAAATAGTACAGCCACGTTTTTTTTACCTCAATAGGGCCATTTATACGAGGAAATATAAGACGCGTCTTAAATAAGACGCGAACTGTACCATTGACTATTTTCCAACTGCCCATAATACACTCTGTTTGCCTCCCAAATTTTGCATAACTTATTGTCTTAAAATGCTCTTGGGAAAATGCAATACTCCCAGGATCATTTAAAAACAATGGTTTATGCAGAATTTGGGGGGCAAACAGAGTGTATTATGGGCAATTGGAAAATAGAGAATTTATACGAGCATGTCTTATCTAATAAGACGCGTCTTAGCTAAGCCGCGTCTTATTTTAGACGAAATGTGCCGTTTATACGGAAAGTTCGCGTCTTATTTAAGACGCATCTTATGTAAGACGCGTCTTATTTTTCCTCGTATAAATGGCTCTAATGTGTTGGTCAAACGTTCTTGGTACCTTTGCTTTGCTGTCTTCTGATTGGTTAAACTCAAATAAACTAAAAGTAACACTGATACGGAGCTTTTGAGAAAATTAAAGTTATGCACCTTAATTGAGCGAGTTCCACATTTAGATCGACCGAAGTTTTGAAAATTCTCAACCAATTTCCTCAGCCTTTCCTTGCATGCTTTAGTAGCACTCTTGCAGTTTCCAAGTAGGTTCCTGAAAGTGAAAAAAATAACACGTGACAGTAGAGTATTACTGATCACTTGTTGGGTGCAGGTTGTCTATTTATAGTAAAATATATTCTGGGGGAGCAGGAGTAACATTAGTCGTATTAAAACATTGTCAAAATGAAATAGCACTGGTTTATAGTATCGAAAATTTTGAAAGGTTTGTACGTCGTAGTCTCTGACATTGAATTATAATGCTCACGCTGCGACAGTGAATACTAAAATGTTATTTAATGACAAGTGGATTACAGTTTATTAAAGCTTTAGTTTTACAAATATATCAAATAGAGTAAAGTTAATGACGATAATATCAGGTCGTCGTTGGTTGATACTGGAATTAAAAGATTAAGCATATACATGCATGTGTAACATGTGAAGGAAATGCGACTTGGAGGGGCATATATCATTAACGGTCATTCTCATTCTGTGACACAACCAAAAAACAAAATCAAAATCGTCTGTTTTCTCGAACGTAGCAGGAATTCAGCGCAACCTTGGCAATGTTACCAAAGCTAGCGACGCTCAGAAATCATTCTTTCTGAGTTTTAGAACACTCATTGTGTTTACATGTTATTTTCAAAACTAGTAGACAGTGAATTACTGACCCGTCGATAGGAATGTAACCAGAAAACGGACAACTCCCATAATGCACCTTCCATTTGCGCTCAAATGGACGAATAAGGGTGGGATTGACTCTGATTGGATCAGTGTTATGTTGCCATGTGCTGCCACTTAAAAAATAAGAGTAGATTTCTTGATATATCGGGCCTGATTTTTGAAAACATTTTCGACCAAGCTTTTGCTCGTCAAACGGTGATAAAAGTTGTTTAACAACTGTGTTAGTAAGGGACGTTACCGCACTGATAAAATTAGCATAGTCTTCTTCTTCGTCCATATCGTCAGGATCTGCCAGGTTAAGCCCAAACAGGATCAGTTTCTGTCGCTGTAGAAGAACGTCTTGAAGATTAACATTCATGTCCATCCAATCTGTCCATATATTCAGACTCTGTGTAAACACATCCCTTGAACCAAACTGTAAATAACTTTTCTCATATGCTCGTGACATAAGACTGTCCATGATCGCTTGAAGTCGCTTAAAATGTTCAAATGGAATTATAAGGTTGTACCAAACGTTCCACAAAAAGTCCACATCCCTTTCACAGTCTGGATCGATTGACAACACAATCTCCAAAATGATAACATTTCGAGCGACCACCGATGCGTCATGGTCGTTAAGGTGAAAAGACAAGTTCTCTGGAATAGCGTCTTGGCTTCGTAACGATAATTCAGAAACAGTAAACAGAAGATTTCGGACATCTCCTGAGCCAAGTAATAAAAAATTCAAATTGCCGTCTTTTTTTGAAGTCCCGAAGTGCTCTGTTAATTCAATGGCCGGTGTGTTTCCAAATGCGTAAGTGTAATATCCGCAAGGAAAGAGAACTTGAGCTTGAGGATTAGATAAGTCCAGTTTTGGGACGCCATTCGAATCATTCGAAGCGAGTGGCATGACCACCGATAACACAGCTGCAGAAGTTCATCAAGAGAGAAATAACCCACATAGAGTTGTTTCAGCAGTCATCACTGCGGCTAGCTTCCCGGCCAAGCTATTTAAACAAGTAAAAGCAATTTGCATTTATTACTGTTTGAAGACAAACTCAACACATGCATAAGCTATCAAGTTAAAACAAACTTGACAGACCACTGATTGGGGGCGGCAATATCCCAAAAGAAAGTCGAGAATACTTAATGCTGTAAATTATAAAAATAATATGATAACACTTTGTGTTCTTGAGCTCCTTTTTAAACTGTTAAAGTTAAATTAATTTAAATGAAAAGTTATAATCCTTCTTAATATTGGCATCAAGCTATGACACCCTGCGAGCTAGGCCAACATATTAAGCAAATGGTGGGAAAGCACGAACCTAACCTCCTGCAATTATATTCACCAGAAGTGAGCTAAAGAAGTAATTTTCTTTTCAAGGCACACATTAAAAAAAACATCATTAAAATGTTAATACGAGCGACATAAAGAAGCACTCCAAGGTGCGGAAAGCAAACATGAAGAAAAGATACCTAGCAATGCATACATTTGATCAACCCGAAACCTAAACGAAACATAAATTTACACTAACAGTTATCCCATTTATAGCTTTTTTTATCGTATTCCTACCTTAAACATGAAAATAACATCTCTCGAAATTCAAAAGCTTATATACCTCTTAGTCTTAATGCTACCATAGCAAAGTTATGATTTTTCCTCTCTGAGTCCAGATAAATATACATTATATTATTCAGAATGGTACTCAAACGCAATAAAGGACAATTTATAAGTCAAACTCAGGCTAGTAAGGTAGTCCAAAGCACCAAACATGTCGCTAAAACATTGCCCCAGTAAACGACTAGTGTAGAACGAATATAGTATCGCCTCTAGTTGTTACAAAGATTAAGCTTAGCTCCGGTTTTTAATAGGAATTACAAACGTTATAACACAACTAAAATAGAACATTACCAAAAAGTCTGCTTTTATCCTTGAGCGCTTCCGCCAGCGACAAAGATCACCTTCGATAAACAAATGAACCACTGGGATTTTAAAAATACAAAATTAAAATTAAATATTCGCATACATTAACAGCATGACTATGACACACAATTTTTATAACATAATTTTTTTTATACGGCTTCGAGTTGTTAATTCCGTTTTTATTCTTTGATTTTTCCAACTTCAAGTGTAGATTTACGATCGCGATTTCGTTGTAGAAACACTCTTTAGGCGGCTTTACATTTTAAAGATCCTAGTGATTATACCCATTGTTTTGAACAGGTAGTTATCACTACTTAAATCAGCAACTCTTCTCTGAATCAAATTTATAATCCCTCCCCCCCTCTCCCGTAGAAAATATCAGCCATGTTCTAATTTTTGATTAATTGTATTTCTTATAGAATAAAGATATGTCAGAGTGCAGAACCATCTGAAAAGTCATGGCCGTCGCGACAGTATTCTTCACTTAATTCTATTTTCCGTAAAGGAGACTTCGCTCAAATTCTTTAGAAATAGAATAGCTGCCTGGAAACAGAATACTTGAGAGGTGACTTCATTATTTTACTAGCTTTGTGAATCCTAATAGTGGAGCTCCCGCGCGAGCGAAGCGCGCGAGGTGGGGGAGCCGCATTGCTGAGATAAATTATTGGTAACCTATGAAAGCAGAAAATTTGGTTCTGACGTAGCGTACGCCCGCAATACAATACAATACAATACAATACAATACAATACCCGTCCGTACACACAATTCATGTAAGTCGGCGTAAGATGTCAGGTTATTTTGGTGGGAAAGCGAATGGCCACCCGCTCCTTGTGACGCAGAGCATAACTAAAGGGTCAATAAAGACGAAAACGGAAAGCGGAAAATGTTTCTGTATCCGTGTTGTGTAAAGTATTAAGCTTAGATTAATTGTCTGATGTCCACAAATTTGGAGTATAGAGAAAGAAAAAACAGAGAAAAAGAGAAAGTACAGCGACAGGCCAGCGAGGCTCAACGAGAAAAAGAGCTAGAGCGAGAGAGAAAAAACAAAGGAGACAGTTTTTGTTGGAGGAACAACATGAAATTTTGTAGCGACGGTGAGAAAATGAGAAATGCTAGCACCTACCAGGGTGAAAATGGGCGACGTACGACATTTCCTCCATAAAATTTGTAACCATGCAGGAGGCTTCTGGAAGTTTCACGTTGTTTTCGTGCAAAAAAATGTATACAAAACAAATGTGCTGCACGTGCAAAGTTGCTTTTTTTCTAATTAGACTTACTGTTGCCTTTTCACCGTTCTCGTTGCCTTCGACGCTTAGCATTACAAGTGATTTTATATTTTGTTTGAGCAAACTATAAATATTATCGAGAGCTTCGCTTTAGCCGTGGCTAAATCTATATATTATCTCTTCCTGACCACTACACTACCACACTTACCCGCCAACGTTCCGAAAAAATTTAAGTACATAAACTAACAAACTGTCTTTCTTAACTAATACATTAATGCCCCTTTTTATAACTCTTAAGGTAAATTCAACTTGGGCTTCAACGTCGCTCTTTCTAACACTATTCAAAAACGTATTATTTGCCTTATGGTAACTAATTTGGCTATGGTCTGTTAATCCAGGGAATATAACACATCTATCAGTACAAACGGCTTGGTTACCAATGATGGTAACAACCGTTTACCAAAGGGAAATAGGCGTCGCCATGTACACAAATATCAAGTTCAGGAGTTGAGAGAGCTCAGCTAGCTGTTTAACTCCGGCAATTCTTGCAATTCTAAGTTCCTTGCCAGCAGTATCTAAAAGCGTAGCAGACACCAGAAATGCAAAATTGCTGCGCGTCAAAATCTTAAATGAGCCAATAGATCCTTTGTAATGTTTAGAGTTTTTAGACATTATTTCTACCAACTACATTAATAATATTGCAACACTCTTTTAATAATCAGAGATGCAGTTGTAATATTAGATTGATCACAGAATGAAAAGCGTAGTACAAGCAAGTACAAGCCCTAGAGCATAACATTCAGGCAGTCTAATTAATCAGTAATGCACCTTGGCAAGTCGGTGATATTTTCACCTCCATAGAAGATAAGTATGATCAGGACTAGAGAGGACTATTCGAACGTGTTGTGAATGAGCACTGATGCAACAATCAAAAGACAGAGAGTGTGAGAACAAGATATCCCTTATAAGACACGGCATTGGAAAAATGCACTGAGAATAAAAAGGAAGTATGCTAGAAAGTTTGCTAAGCGGGATAGTACGAACCAGAACGTGAAACTCGACAGAAAGTACCAAAACTTAGCTACGCGGAAGCGTCGAAAAGCGATTAGAGCATTGTGATAAAAAAACAAAAAACAAAAAGAACAACAACAACAACAACAACAAAAAACGGAAGAACATAAAGATTGAAGATAGCCCAGATACGTTCTACGACACTTTCAAGCCTTTCATCGGCAATAAAGGCAAGGGATCTACATTTAAAAACTGAGGAACAATGTCGATTTTTCTTCTTATTATTATTTTATCTGATAGATTTACCGTGTTTAAATAAAAATAAAGTTCAAGTTCAAGTTCAAGTTCGAAAAGAATCATAACGACGGAAGTGGCAGAAATGCTGGCCAGTTACATTTAACTGAGCCAGACGTCGAACTTTTCATGAACTTAACTCGTCACATGTAAAGTTCGACGGTCGTTTGGCCTAAGCCTAAGATTTTACTTAAGGAAGTTACTCCAGCGGTAAGGTGACAAATAAGAACACTGAGTACGAAGTAAACAACAAGAACCACAAAAAAAAAAAACAAAAAACAAGAGACATAAATAAGGGTGTAATTTTTATTGTTCGTTTTCATGATAGAGTTATTATCCAAAACCTGATTAATGAAGTCAAAACCATGTGACAGCCTAATCTTGTGTAGACTGCGAGCAATAGTCTCCTATTTTTCTTTTCAAAGATTTAACTTACTCCATGCGTAAACTACGCGCTGGCTGGGATGAGAAAAGGACAGATTTTAAGAGAAAAGAGAGACTCTAATCAGTCCAGCTCTTATGTAGAACTGGATGAGTGAAAAATTCGAATCTCTGGCAGAAAAACAGTAAACTGATCCGCTTACGGTAAGAAGACTGGCAAAAAAAACATATTTCGAGAAAAATTAAGTGGTAAAGTGTATTTGGAAGATATTTCGGTTTGCAACAAGCCCCTATTGAAGGTTTGTGTTGCAAACTAAAATATAAGGAAAATAAACTTAACCATTTGATTTTTCTTCTCATATATCTTTTTTTTGCGAGTTATTATTCTCCCGTTTTTTCCTTCCAAAACAAATGAAAACTCTAAAAATCTTCCTTGTCTTTTCACAAGGCAGGTTTTTGCTTACAATCAACCATCTTTTACTGCCTTTTCATCTCAGACAAAATTAGAAGAAAACAATATACATGTAGACCGGTAATAATTAAAGTATTGACCCGTCAACATGGTGTCAGTTTCATTTGCGGAGAATCAAAGTAGTGTTTAAGACATCGCGGTCACGCAATAATAATCGATGGCAAAAAACATTTTCACTCCGAGTTTTTGATGTTTGGTTGGCATAAGGACTGCCAAAGGCCGGGAACATTTGAAAATAACCGAAGGCAATGACACGGCTTTGCACGAACCACTGCAATATATCAGCTGCTCGGGTCCGTGAAATATGTCTGAGATATCCTGCGCGCTGTATCAATTCTTCCATATTTATTCAAGTTTATTACATAAAAACAGCAGATATCATTTCCTTCCAGACTCTTGTCGTGCGATAAATTCAGATTGCGAAAACTTTTAAGCCACATAGACGCCACATTTAAAGAGGATTTTCCTCTTCTGCCCGAACACACAGATCTTTCAATGGCTGTAATGGCTGTTGGTTCTTTTCAATAGTTTGAGGTTATCGCCATTTGAATCTTAGCATGATATCTACCTATAAAAACGTGGAGAGGATCGAGTTTCGATAACTTTATTCATTTCGTCTGTCAAGGAACCTATTTGATACTCACGAGACTCGACAAACCGTACAAACCATAGGATTGTCGCTCGGCTGTAAATGACAAAACGAAGGCTTTCTTCGTACACAAATCTTTGATAAACTGAGGGGATTTGTCACTTTTGAAAGAAAAATAAAAAGAAGTCAATACAGATCGCTATTTTGGGCTTGGAAAATAAGGATTGCGTGATGCGGGATAATTGGGGGAATTTCCGGTGTGATTTTGTTATCAGCGGTAGTTTATCAGCAGGCATTTTGGAGCCAGCGAGTCTTGCCGATATCTCGTAAGCGTGTGATGAACAAAAAGCTTTGTAGATTTAGTAAAAATACAAATTAAACACAAGCGATATTTCATTGGGTGTACAAGAGCAAGAAGCACGAGTCTGCCATGTTTAGATGATCGCTTCTTTTTTACGACAAGGCAAAAATACTTCGAGTACGGCCTGCGAAAATAATTAAGCAGTGATTTGTAATTAATTAGCAACAGGGAGAATCAAAATACTGCTATTGAGACAACCCAAGAATAGAATTAGAAGACAAAGGAAACAGGAATCGGATTTCACGCATAGTGTTGTGTATTAGGTAAACATTGCTGGCAATCTTCACACTCTGTCAAAACCGGTAATTAATGGCAAACGACACAGTTTAATCCACGGCAGACGATCACTGCTTTGAAAGACGTGCTTGGGCGAATTGGTCGCATTGTAAGAGATCTATTCAGGAATGCAGCCTCAAAACTACGAGAGAGATTTAGTAGCGATTTCCGCTTGGTTGTAGACTGCCAGGAGCGATCTGATAACAGTTGTTCTTGAAGGCTCATGTAATTAGCTGTGAGTTGTTACTGCTTGGATATTTTAACTCATGCGATTGTTGGTGATAACCAAGCATTCTTCGCTGGATTTATAAATTGACATCAAGATAGCAAAACGCATTTGCTGTTTTCATTTTGAAGTTGTTCTTACGTGCAAAAGGGGCCAGATTCAACTGGACTTAACAGTGTTTGTCAACATCGTGTAACGCGTCGACGACGTTAAAAAATGGCGGACAAATTTGATACAGCAGCCCCCTTATTCAATGATTCATTGCCATATGAAGAGCAAGAGAGTATCCCAGCTCATGCCATTTTTCAACTTATCATGTTTACGGTCATCTTTATGGTTGGTTTCTTCGGTAATTGCATCGTAATTTACGGTGTCCTCCAGCAGGGATCTGCAAAGACCACCAGCAGTATTTTCATAGCGAATCTTGCGCTTAGTGACTTAGCTGTTCTTGTGCTTAGTTTGCCAATAGGACTCTTACAAGAGCTGGCTTCGTGGCCGTTCGGTGAGATGGCGTGCAAAATCTTCTATCCTCTCGGAGACGTTTTTTTGACCGTCTCCATTATGACGTTGACGGCGATCGCATTGGACCGTTACCGTGCAATTGTTACGCCGTTCAAGGAACGATTCACAAAAACGCAGGCGAAAATCTGCGTTAGTGTGATATGGGGTCTTTGTTACTTAATAGTTGGGATACCGACATCTTTTATTCTTAAATTGGTACCGCAGACAAATGGAGTGATTGTGTGTTTTCCCTATTGGAAAGATAACATGTTGCGGCAACTACACAAGATCTTCATAGCATCTCTAGCGACACTGCCATTGTTTCTAATTAGTTACTGTTATTTCCGAGTTTTTATGGCTCTATGGAAGGCACGAATAATACATCGTGATTGCGCGAAGAACTCCCTGACAACGATTCGCCTGGAACAGAAGCGCAAACTTGTAAAAATGTTGATTATTATCGTTGTCGCCTTCAGTGTGTGTCTGTTGCCCTACGTAACATTTGCCTTAGTTTTAGAATTCAAGGGAATGGAACGAACCTCCACGGTAAATGTTATTTTGGTCGCGGTTCTGTCTTTGCTCTACGCAAATAGTGCCATCAACCCGTTAATTTTGTGTACTATGAGCAAAGATTACAGAAAAGGTTTAAGGCCGTGTGGTTGTTAGAGCACTGGAAAACAGACGCACGCCATAGTATTATCATGGATGAACATGATAAAAAAAACCTCGCGGAAATTTTATTTCGCGCATCGCCCGTTACCCTAACGTCTTCAGTCCTCGCGTTGCGGAGTGAAGTCCTGCAGTTTTATGAGCACCGTGAAATGGCCACACGCTTCACAAATCAAACCACGCTTCATGCCTTTATGTCAGTCAGTCTTGAATTGTTGACAGTATTGACAGTGAAAATCAATGAGTACAATGTCTCATATGTTTATTAAATATTCCAAGATGTAGATTTGTCGCTCGAGGTTTTGCAGTTGATGTACCTTTTAAATGATCACTGAATGTTATTGTTTCGAATAAAGTCAAAAGGATGGGCAACAAGTCTTTACAATGTGCTTCCAAACTGTTGATAGATGTCGCCTTCAATCACGCCTAAAATTTTGTTGAAAAAGTAATTGTTTAACCAGCTTAATGAAAGCCAGAAAGAAAAATTTGAAATGTCAACTGTAGCTCCCCGTCGATTTTAACAGGTGCCTTCAAGATTCTGGGTTACTATTACTTTTTAACAACGGTTAAAGAATAGGCAGGGGTATATTGCTAAGCACTAAATGACACTGAATTCCACAGATTAGGGTTAGGAAACTGAGTGAGTCACGTTCCATTAAAGTCATCATACAAGGCGAAAATCATTTGCAGCGTTGTACAGAACTCTGGGCTTTTAACACACAGGGCTTTTCACCTCTTGCTTAACTTGAGGGAGTTGACTTAACATTACTGTCAGTCTTTTGTCTTTTTTATCAGAGGAAAATTCCAGCACTACAGTGACAGGAGAGCGAAACACATATCTTCTTTAAACAAATGAGTTGACAAGATTATAATTCGAAATTTAGAGTTCCTTTTTTATTTCCATTTTTGGCCAGTTCTCAGTTCACTTCATCAACAAAACCATGACAAAACCAAATGGAAAACAAGGAGATAGAATTTGTTTTTCATGTTTACCATCGAAACACCTTCAAATTTGTTGTAGTTTGTTGTAGTCTCAGATGCGACGACCTGGGTTTGATTTCTTGGAAAAGCTTGTTTAAGACAGTTTAAGACGAGAAGAGAAGACTGAGAGCAAGGAAGAGAACCCACAACAAACTTAGCCAATAAAAAACGTCTTCTGTGATAAAGCAGAGATCGGGCCCCACACACTATACATTACCAACCTTACTCCTTCAGGCCCCACACACTATACATTACCAACCTTACTCCTTCCTCAGTAATAAGTTAAAGTAGCATCTTAAAGATCCACGAAGCAATGTCTCGCACTAATGAAGTCAGTTTTATTTACTGATCTAGCGTTTCAACACTAAAGCGCAATAAATCTCAGGCTATTAGATCCCTCAACCTCTTTGCCTCTTTCTGAGGTCTTTCCTTTTAACGAGCTTGGTCCAAGCACCAGGTTGTAAGTCAACTTAAATCGTACTAGAGCCGAGACTCTCCCCAAAGTACGCAATAGAGACTGTTTCATTACATTCAGCAATGAAATGGCCCTGATATGGTCATCATTAAATCAATGATTGTTCTCCTGTTCTCTGAAACAGGGCTGATAACTTTTGTCTATTTCTTTGTCAACAAGTGTCGGCCAGGTTTCACCCTGGCTGGCATCCAGCAGTTTAATAAGCCCTACCCTCCTATTGGCCTTCATACAAAATTCAAGTTCTTTCACAAACTGCGTTTGATAGATAGTGAACTGGCTACCTGTTACACTGCTGCCATGAAAAATTACTGCCGATAAATTTGAAGGGACAGAAAACAGAACTCTCTCATAGACTCAAAGGTTAGGCGGTCAAAGGATTAACATCATTACTTCGACTGAAGAGATATTTTAATCGAATCGGAAAGCAGTGCGGGTCGTATCTATATGCTTAATACTGCTTTCCGGCAATTCACCAACACTTATCGCACATTCGTTTATCTTGGGAAGTGGATATTAAAACTCGCGCGGAAATTCCAGTCCCGAGTTATTTATGCTATCTATTGACTCTAACTTGATTGTTGTCATTTATAGAAAACCACTAGGGCGTCCACGTTTAACCCCAATCGGATGTGTGAAAATGAGAGAGACCAGGAATGCATAATTGCAAATAAAACCTATTATCTAAGTAACAGACCTATTCGGCTAACTCAATGTTGTACCGAATTCAAACCCTTTGGAAATAAAACGTTTTGATTCAGGAATTTCCATATCACTTAAATGTGAATGCGACATTATAATGCAAATACAACACACAAAGAATCTTAACCCGGGAAATTTGAATTGGGTTATTGTTTTATCACTTACCATTATTACAAATCAGTCAAAGAATTACTGCCTAGTTTGAATGTATCTAACCATCGCCTACGGCCGTCTTTCTGGTTCTAAAATCTGTTAAATTCAACGAGAAGGTTTGTATATCGTGAGAATTTAGCCTAAAACTGGTATCGTATTTTAAGCGCTTTACGAGATTAAAAATTAAAGAATTGTTTCACTATCTTTTCATAGGAAATCAACTTGTTTTTTGGTTTTTAAAGCCGTTTAACAACCTATCCAGAGTGTTCCAAAGCCAGTAAAGAATGATGCTCTGTAACAAAGACATCCAATCAAACGGTTCCTATTGCGGGCAAAATAATGTTTTTGTTGTCGTTGTTGTTCAGTTGTTGTTGCTTTTAGCGAGCGTGCTATGGGTGGGGGGATTCCACAGGAAAGGGATGTGTTTCACTTGAGAGGTTTTTTAGCCGATAGTTGTGTCAAGAAATATATACAAGGAAAACCAAATGCTGTCACACTGTGTTGAAAAGCATTAAATTCATGCATCTTTTGTAAACACTTTCAATTACTAAAGGAGGTTGGGTTGTTTCGGGAATTGGTTATCTGTTTTTATAGGAGTCAAACTTCACAGCCTAAGGCACGCCCGGATTGATCTCTTTTAGGGGTTTAATTCTAATTTTCCGACACGTGACTATCACTTTGCCCTCTTAGGCAGGAATCATCTCCCATTTCCAACTAATCAGGTCTCTATCTATGAAAATTGAATGCTACTGATCGCAAGTATTTTTACCTAAAATTTCATTAAAGCACATTTTGTGAATGTTAAAATGAGTCCCTGAATTAACACACGATGATAAACTGAATGATATTGTTACAAGTACTGTATTATGAAAGCTTTTCGTAGACATCGTTCGATAAAGGCGGAAATGAATATAATCAGTAATAGCATAGAACTGATAACTTAAATCATATGGAGAATTGTTGTCTTTTATGAATATTTTGATTAGAGAACAATTTACGTGTTCCACTTTGGTGTCCACGCGATCTTTGCTATCAATATGGTAGATTTATTTGTAAATCAGCGCAGTGCGACGACAAATTTCCATTGTAAAGGAAACAGAGGCCGTAGACGGAGATGTTATCAAAAACCGGAATCAAGCTGATTTCAGTTCATGCCACGCTCAGTGACTGACAGCACGTTTTTGTACAATACGGGCTTGTTTTTAAGGTCATTTTACCTTACACTTGTTGCTAATAAGGTCAGTCCCACTTTTGGAAATGCCAGAAATGCGACAGAAAGGATACTTTTGTGTCACTTAGGAACTTGGACGTCTCCAATAAACACTTAACTCTGCCTTCACGTATAGACTGATTTACTGAGGTAGTTCTTCTCTTTACAGAACGAAAGAAACAGTGTCAGCAACAGTTATAAACGTCTGAAAATCGTTCATAATGTTTCTTATTTAACAGCACCCTTTATTCAATGTAATTCAGCAGGACCTCCAGCAGCATGTCAAGTCTCGCCTCTAAATAAAATTTCGTCACTGACATTTCGCTGTTAGAAGTTAAGTCAGTGAGGCAAACCTGCTGCAAATAATGACAACAGCCACCTTACTTGATAAAAAAGATAATGACACCAACAAGCTGGAGAAAATAGGTTAACCACGCTAAAATAGATTAACTGCCAATAGTCGTCCAAAACCCACACTTCAACACTTTCAGTTTTTTAAGGGTTAAGGTTTAAAATGAGAAATGATATGATGCAAAAGTACATGTTCAGCGGTAGCTTTTATTTGAACGGACACGATAATGATAATTCGGAGATAATCTTTTATATCGGCACCAACGATAACCAGTTTGTGCCTCATGTTCTGGTCAAAGATGTGCGCCTGAGGTTAGATCAATTGTGAAAAACTACAAGAAAATCATGTGGTAAATGAAAAAAGGTTGCGAGGGCTAATTCGACTCGCTCCTCAGCCGAAGTAGCCTGAGTATCAGGCCTTCCTTAGGGGAGAGGGGAGAGGAGATTAAAGAGGGCAGAGAGGAGAAGGGAGAGGGGGGATCAGCAAAGGACAGAAGGTCACTTTTCTCCCTTCGCTGGTCAGGTAAGAGGGTAACATATAGGTAGGAATTGAGAATTTATGACACACACACAAAGACGGAAAACTCAAGGGAAACGAAACGAACAAGAAAACGTAAAGAAATCATTCACAGGGCTGTCGCTAACATTTCAAGTTGCCGGGCATGTATATGTGATTAGCAGGAGGGGGATTGTATAGCCACGAAGTTCTTCTGGCTCTATTTTCCTTTTGTTTTCTATGAAAGTAGCCGGGGAAAATCCCCGGCCCCCGACTCTTTGTGACAGCCCTACAGAAATGAAAAAAAAAAAAAAAAAACGTAAAGAAATGAAAACAAATGTAGCGTCATAATAGCGCGACACAAAAGAACACAAGATCTCAGATTTAGTTGAAATGTACACAATTCATTCTGTTTAAATAAAGAAAAAGATATAAACAACTTATTTAAAAGTTCTTTGCATTGCTAGTTCAGTTCTTTTACGACTATTACAAATTCACAAGTCTGTGGACGGTTCATATGAGACGATTGTTTCTCGGGCACTATTTCAAAAAAGTTTCTACTTGTGGGGTTAATTGAGGCGTCTAAACAAACTATGAGTGTTAGATGACAACTGAAACTTAAAAAAAGTTTAGCCTTCCTGTTTTATAAGAGAACATGATCCCGTAAAATCTTTCCGGGAGGGTATGATGGTGATATGACTGAGAATGTTTGCTTTGGCGACGTTTTGGAGAGGGTCTCGATTAGGCGGGCAGTTTTCCGACAAGTTATCATTCTCATTAGCTTTGGATTTATCAATATCTTTTGCTGTTTAACTCGCCAATGTTTTATCTATTGTTAAATATTTCCAGAAAGAAAAGCTGTGTTATTTCACGTTATCAATAATTGTTTTCCTTAATGTTATAGAGTCAATTTAAGCATTCAGATTTATTGACAAAACACAATTTTAGACTTTCTCTCGAAGACAGCAAGAAAGGAATTTTGAGCTAGTGGCGGTGGTTCGAGAATCAGCACCCCTCAGTTCTGGCACTTGGCCAGCATTTGACGGAATGTTATATTGGGGTATTGCAAGCGCTAACTCTACATTTATGTTTCGATGACACTGTGTGCCAACAGTTTTTTTAGGGTTAGAAAACATAGTTGGGAATTGCTAAGTTGTATTCAAAACGCTCGAAAATTTTGAGAGGCGAGTTAACAAAATCTTTGCCACTGGACAAAGACAGATATTGATATCCAATTCGGTCACCAAGAAGTGGAATGCTGAACGTTCCCAAACTTTTAGCTAACGATCTTTTGGCTTGTGCCCTTTACATGGCTTTGTAAGAAGGAAGAAACTATATTTTCTGTCTCACTGTGTCTGTTTGTGTCCACTAGACTGGAGATCGTCTTGGCACTTTTTTCGATTTTTAGGGAGCTTTTGTTGGTACGCCAACTTATGAAGATTAAGTATTTAACCCAAGAGCGTCTAAAAAGAAAACATATCCAGTTTGCCCTTGAAAAAATATTGACAACAGACTAGTCAATAGCGCGTCAGTCAAGGTCTGCGTCTCATAGAAATGTCCTGAGTCCTAACAAAGACGACAAAATAAACGTAAGAAATGCATGTATATTGAACGTCACGTTCAAACTCAATAATAATTTTTGGCAACTTTGCCGAAGTTTCTCTAGGCCAAGAATTTAAAGTAATCTGAAGAGGAGTTTTATGAACTTATCCCGGATCAGCTGAACATATTTTGCATAGAATGACATTCTTACCCTGGTATAAACGCACGGAAGCGGACCTTTACACGTTCAATCGAAAGCGAAAATAACAACTCTTAGACTTACTGGTTTGGTCCCGTTTGTGTCAGTTCTCTCAAACCGTGAAAACAAGATTCAAAATTTTGTTTTTGTAGCTCATGTATATTGTTGTTATAATCATCGGGAGGAGAAAAATAATTTCACATAATAATCTTAGAGTTCTTTGCCTATATATCGATAAAAGCGTCTGTGGACATGAGCGTTTGAATGTGGGAAATTATTTGACACGAAACAGCTATTTTATATTATTGCTTCTTTCAAGGCCCTTACAGTTTACAAAACCATTGTCACCACTGAGACTGAACATCATTTCTCTCAAGCACCAGTAGTTGGAATGGCTGGGTTGTTGGAGATTCAGGGGCACCCAACGACAACTTTTGGAAAATATCTGTTCGGAAAACGATTTGGATCGATTTCAGTTGCTATGAAAACAAACAACCTTATGGCCATTCTAGATCACCCTCTTTGTACACATAATTTCTTTTGAAAGCAAAATACCCTAGACAAACACTTGACCACCATCGAAGGAGCATGTCAGTTGAAGAAACCGAGACATTTCTCGCTGTTTTAACATTTACTTGCAGAGCTCTATTTTGATGAAAAACAATGAATTGGCTCTGTAACGACGTTTCTTCGATTGTATTAGGCATTTCAATAAGACTGTTAGAAGTTTGATATTTCCGGGTCTCGTGATCATCTTTTACTGAATATTTCAAGGGAAGGTCAGAGAGGGGAGTGAGACATCTATAAACTACAGCTTCATGCAGGCTAAATGCTTTAACCCTTCTTACAATTCTGGTTAAGGGTTATTTCCAATGACTCAAGTTCTACTTCGTGATCTGCCCGGGATAAAAACGTCTTTAGTTGCAAACGTTAGCATTTGGGGAAGCATTTTCGGCTTTCACCACCCCTGTCGTCAAAAAAGAGGATAGGTTAGGAACCACAAGGATTGGGAGGAAAGCTGGATCAGGGACAACACTCTTATTCCTTTATCCAATTAGCTAACAATTATTCAATTTGGCGAGCCCGGTGTTTGGAAACAAAATTTTCCTGAAATCATAGATTGCCTGTTGTCAGAACATAATACCACCTAAATCCTATAGCTAGCTTTTGAGCCACGATCCTAATGACTGACTCCGTATTGGCTATTTAGCAGTAAGAGCATACCATACGTTTTCTTTTAAAATAGAAAGAAATATCACCTTACGTTTTAACACTTGGAGAAAATAAGGTATTTTGACCTTTTGTTGCTCTTCTGGATAAAATGAACAGATTCTCAGGGTATGTTTCAAAAGAGGAAAATTAAGTTCTTCTATCCAAAAACCGTGGTAATTTTAAAGAACGAAACAATATAAATTAACAACTACATTTGCAGGGGTCATTTCCATTTCAGCGGTTCAGAAAAGAGCAATTGTAGGAAAGTTTGTCTGTCATGAAAACGTATACTGTCCATTCTTATTTAGTATATACGACACGTAGAGACTATTTCGAAAGCTACTTTTAAAGGACCATTATTTAAAGAAAATAGTAGTTTCCAGGAATTCAAATCCGACATTTAGACACACTGAGGAACTTATAAACTCAAACTATTTTGCAAAGAGCCAAGCAATTGCAACACGAAAGTAGGCATTAACCGTGTGATACTTCGTCTTTTTATTAAAAAAGATCACAACAAAGGAAAGGTAGTAAGAATTAACTACCGATATTATGGCGCTGGCTATTATGGCTAAATGCGAAAGAAAGTAGTTCTGTCTGGAAATCTGCGTGGGTCTCATTCTTTACCAATAAGTTGAAACACATTTATTTATGAAAAATAACGATTGAGACGGCTATTTTCCAGCCTTAACCTAAACTTTGTCGCAACTCAGAAAGTTCAGAACAAAGAGGCAAGTGTAAAATGCCTTATTATTATGGCTAAGCTGTTGATGGTTCAGTACACATTTGCACTGTTTCAAAACTCATACGGACTCATGTGTGGCACATAAAATGGAACCCCCGAGAGAAAACGTCAAGTTTATTCCACAGAGTTATGACCACCGGCGCGAGATCTCCAGCCTAAGCTAGCATATAAATAGTTGACCGATTTTTATTTTTCACCTTAAGCCTAAGGGTTACTCCACCACAATGAACGCCATTGTGGTAATTCTTCTGACACTGGGGGCAGCTTGTAAGTAATGCGTCCTTTCATTTTTCATTGATTTCTTTTGCTAATTTGGCGTTCACCAGAAAATCGACGACTGCCCTGTTTCAATTTTGCCTTCATCTTACGTCGATACATTTCATGTGCTCACTGAAAACGATAGCTGACGCATTCTTAAGAGCACTTTCGTCCTGTACAAAGAGCCTATAGTAAATTATTTGACACTTTTCAATTTTTGTACATGTAGTATAGTAGTACTGAAAGCTTAAAATTGAGTTTATCTTTTTCCAAAACTTCTAGTTATATTCTTATGATGTAGTTTTATTATTGGCGTATCACAGCACACGAGTTCGAATATACACTAAGCTAAAAAGACAAACGCTTTCCGAGTGTTTCTTTTTTCAAATTGCATTTAGGCTGTGAGCATTTTATGTTAACAATTCTTTTTTTCTTTTCTTTTCAGCTGCAATGCCATTAGGTAAGTAACAACTGATACCATTGTGTACTATTACTATACCAGCGACAAAAGAACCTCTCGTAATGTGAGCTTTCCTCACGCGAATTACTTATGAGCTAAAAAATCTCACAAGAAGATCACTTAGCTTTTCTTTTCACTTTGGCTAGTTTCCTTTCATTTTTCATTTCTTACTTTTGAAACTTTGGCGTTCAGAGGGAAATGATGTCTGGCCTGTTTCATAAAAAATGTCCCGGGTTTTCAAAACAATTTAGACAGATTTCCTACTGATGCCGATACACCTTGTACGTTTAGTTATAACTAAAAAAGATAGCATTTTTGTTTCCAGGCTTCCAGAAGGGCAAAAGGTACACGTACAGCTACCAAAGCGAGGTTTCACATGCCATTCCTACTGGTTCCCAGAAGACCCTAGGGTTGCGAGTGAAAAGTCAGGCGCATGTTGATGTAATAAAGAAGACGCAGATACAGATTACGGTTAGTGCTAGTTCAGTAGTTCAACCATCATGGACAAGAGTGCGGCATGGTTGGAAAGAGTAAAAACGTATTAGTGCCTCATTTTATCGATTATATTTTAATGCTCAACTGAAAATTCAACTTGGCTCTCTATCAGGTAGCCCTCACTCACCAACTCGATCCATTCACCCTTCTCCCTGTCAGTGATCCAATTTTATGGAACAACATTGGAAGAGAGTGGTGGGGACCAGAGGTGGAAGGCAAATTAATTAAAAGTGACAAGTCCTTACTTACTAAATTCTTATTTTCTATCTTTGGGTTAGACAAAGCCTAAATTATAGGAAAATATCCAAACAGTGAAAGTATACTTCCAGTTTTCTTCACTTTCGTTGTATTTGTCGTTCTTGGGCCTTCTTCATCTCTTTTTCTTTTGACGTACTGATGTTTTTATTCGTAATCAGTGTTAGTTAGAACGAAACAACGTTTTAGACTTAATAATTGTATCCAGTTTGTTTCAATCCAAACCCAAGGATAATAGTGTGAACTATTTAAGATATGCCATTGCCTTCAATCGGGCTCGGGCGGGCTTGGTTTCTACCAACGAAATTACCACCTTGTTTTCACAGAAAGAAATATTTAAAATGAAATTACATTTTACCCATAATGATTTCTTTGGTTATATTTCATTAGCTGGCAAACGTTCAAGTCCTTCAAGTGACTGGAAACCTCCGAGACTCAAAAGAACAAGAGAAACCAGCAGATGAGAAGATCTTACAGGCAATGCAAAAGAAACTGTCCCTACCCGTGAAAGTCGGTTTCAAGCCACAAGATGGTAGCATTAAGGAAATCAAAGTGCACCCTAAAGATGAAGAATGGTCGCGGAATATCAAACGAGGTCTCGCTAACCTGTTCCAGATCTCAGCGAACATAAAACTGGAGGAGAAAAATGGCAAACAGTTCATTACCCAGCACGAGGTTAGAAAAAGTTCGCTGATAATTAGAATTGACTGTAAAACTGTATCCAAATCTTTCTCGTCTTATTTGCAATTTGCACATATCCAATAATAAACCTTCTTTGGCCCACAAAAGTTCGCATAAGCATATTGTCTTCAATTTCTCTTAGGACAACTGTAATACCCAGGAGAAATGAAAAACAAAGGTTACTCAGAGTTTTGGGGGGGAAACAAGGTATATTATGGGAGATGTGCAGATGGCAAATTCGTAGACTGTATGGACTTTGACAGTCTCATAGCTCGAAGTGCTTTGCATTAACATTGTCATAACGGAAACAAAGATTTTTTTTCGTCTTTTAGGCTACAGCAGTAGGTGATTGCCAGGTATCTTACGTCGTCAACCTAGAGAACAGCCAACAAGGAAAGAAAGACCAAGTTTGCAAGATTACCAAGGTGATCAACTATGAGAAATGCAGGCAACGCCCTCAGTTTACCCAGAATACCTTTTATGGCCGCAACTGCGATGGCTGTCAGCAGGTAAAGATGGAATCAAATACTTTAAAGCTGTACTGATATTGTAATAGAGCAATTTTTCTTTTTTGCGTTACAACAAAAGATTTTTTGTGATATCAACCGCCTCTTTTTTATACTAAGATCAGATTTTGACTAAAAAGTTTTGTACATGTGTAAAAAAGACAGTTAGTAGTCAAACAGCCTGTTCCAAGCTCCGAGATAATCCGATGCGCGAAATTGAGAAAGCGCGAACAAGAAAGTAAAACGGGATGAAACTGGGGAAAGGAAGGACCACCGCCACCTTTTCCCGGATCACGCGGTCATATTCTTGTGTGCCTTTCATTTACGCATCATCCCGGCTATCTGAGAGCCTGAAACAGACTAGAAGAGAAATGTTTCGTAAAAATTAATTTTGCCCTCATCATGGTGCGATTAACCTCGCGTTATAATGAACGACTTATTTTTCAGAGCATGGGCTATGCACCATACCTCCGCTCGGTCGGACAAATTGACCACACTTTGACAGGCTCAAAAGTTGATGGTTTCGTTATCAGTAGAACTGAGGCTTTTGAACAACACGTGATCACTCCATTTTCTCGGTCAGGAGGACAGGTCACTGCATCGTCCAGGTACAAATATGTTATAGTTGTTCCATAATGCCCTATACTCTAAATGCATACAAGACTTGTCTCTGCTGTAATTGGCTACCAAACCTGTTTTACATGTATAATAGAAAGTATGCTTGACTTACTCAGAGACTTAGCACAAAGAATTCAGATGTATCTTTGGCTGCTCATAGAAAGCTCTATCGTTAATGTTGACTCAATACAGTATTCAAGGTTTGAAATACTGCCAGAAATTTCAGTATTGTTCTTAAAAGCGAGCCTTACCATAGCCCTTTTGAATAACAAAACTTTATATAAGGTGGTTAATTGCACATGATCATGATTTAATATTTTGAATAATATTGTAAGCATGGAATTCAAAAAGATTGTAAGAATTCTTATAAAAAAGATGTCAGCTGTCATTACAACCTGAGCAAATATTCTTCTAAGATAAGTTTTAGCTGAAAAAGGTCAAAATGATTGGTGGGTGTTTGCTTTACGTTTGAATAATGACCAGGCTATTGTTTACTCTTTAGTTACGATATTTCCAATGCATAAATCCTACACAAAGAACAAAAATGACATAAATAAGGAGGTGACTGTACAAGGATTGACAGAAAACTACAAAAGAGACAGTTCTGTTATTGTTTTAAAGTTCAACTTTTTAATTCTCTCTGCTCCTTTCAACAAAAACCAGACAAATGTTACAGTTCCAGAAAACAGATGCTGTGGGAAAAGACTGTAAGTATCTCAAGTTGTTAAAGATATCTCTTACTTCGATCTTAACTCAAAGTTCTTACCGCAGAATTTTCTAGGCTGGGGTCCACGACACCCATAGAGAAGGTAAAAGGGGGTCATAAGAGAGAAAAGTGGGTCACAATCTTTAGATACAGTTAACTCAACTGATTGGGTGTTTTCTAAAGATGCCATGTCCAATTAAATTTTGGCTTATATTGAAAGGAAATTTACGTATGGGTACATTTGTTTGTGTACGTTTTGTAATAGGTTTCTTTTCCTTCTTTGCGCCTTGAGAGCCCTTGGGCTAACTATAGTGCAGCATTTCCCGGAAAAAGGCGACAGTGCCGCAATGCTGCCGCAGTCTGGTAAGAACACTGTTAACTTCAGCAGAAACTGGTGGAGTGACACCCCAGGGGGGTGGGGGGAGTACTTCCTATAACTGCCTATAGAGGGAGGTACCTCAGGCTTTACTTATGAAAGGGTAGGGATTTCACTACCTGAAGTATAGAGAAAGGGTATGGAAATCTGTCATTTCGGTATGTAAAAAGACTCAAAGAGCTAAGAGATGCATTTTATGGCCGTGAAGAAATGCTGAGAAAACGTTCTGCTTTTGTGATTATTATTTTTAAAAGCCAGTGCATTTACAGGAGTTAGAACGGATTCAAAGTTCTAAGCTGGGTATGTGAAAGTGGTACCATTGTCCATAGATGGTATATGAAATGTTTCCGTCAAAAAATGAACATGTGAGAGTACTAAATTAACTTTAGAATAACCAAATGATCAGAAATTATTTTACTTAATTAGCCCCTGAAGTGACCAAGTTAATCAGCCAGACATGTACCGCTGAAGATCCCGACAAAAGCGCCCGCGATGACGTTCAACACCAAAAGTCATTAGTTCAACAGGTGAGATACCCAGGAACCGTCACCCGAAAATAGAATTATGGTAAAGTATCAGTCAATTTATAGTAGCTCTTCTGTGAGTGGTTATGGAAAAGTACTTTTGCATTTATTGGCCTTGCTCAAAATCCCCCAAAAATCGTCCTATAAGAAGTTTATACATCACAAATTGGGACCCCAGTTATTCAAAACTCAATTAGTTACTACATGATAAATCAGCCATAATTATGTCCTCAATGGATAAAAAAAAAAAACTTTGATCATACAATACTTTTTGATTTTGATAGGCACAAAAATTGATTGACGAAATGTGCAAAGCAGCTAAAGATCCAGTCAGACAGCAGGCAGCGCAGAGGTTTACCGCTGTTGTCCTACAGTTAAGGAAATGTAACAAGGACTCACTAAAAATGGTGGTTGATGACATGCTTGAAAAACAGGATCCAGTTGAGAGGTACAGATGAAAGGGCCTCTATATGATTCAGCAAGAGAGACTGTGATCACAGAGACTATAGTTATTCCAAAGCCAGCTTTTGCAAATCTAACTCTACCTACTACTTCTTGCCAATAGTCAAAGAAGACAACACACTATTTCTGCAAGTCAACAGTTTTCAGTTTCTGTTATACAATAACTGAGGAACGTCTAACGCGCTTATTGGTCGAAAGCTATGTTCTATGAGTGTTTTTACAATAACTGAGTGATTTCCTGCGCACCGATCAGTCAAGAGCTATGATCGATAAGAGTTCATCCTTTAAATTCATCGTCGAATAAAAAATAATAGTTGATCTCCTCCAGAAATAAGATGTGACAAGAAACTTTTATTATAGCCTTATCAGAGATTCGTGTTTTACTTTCCAGAAAATATTGTTTGGATGCCCTGTCTTATGTGGGCACCTCTGAGGCTTTCCAAGTCTTGAAGCAAAAGATCATCCAGGACAAGAAAATTAGCAAACAAGAAGAACTTAAACGAATGCTTCTAGGATTAGCCTCTGCTCCTAGACCCACCGTTGAGCATATTCAGGCTGTTTGGGTAGGTTAGAATTCATAGCTTGAGCTGACAACACTAAGATCAAGTAATCATCAAACCCTGCTGAGAATGCAAAAACCAACAAACCAAACAAACGAACAAAAAGTTGCAACATGTTGTTGATATGATGCTTTCCATAATCAGTTAGTAGTGCTTTAGATCAAGGACCTAATTTCAATTGGTGAATTGTAAGAACACTGTATAGACCAATTTCCCAATCGGAAATGTCACAGACTACATACTAAAAACGTAGCACTTTATGCATAAACAACACAGGTTTCCTTCATAGACTAGTTCCTGTGAAAGATTCCTCAGCTCAATCAATTAACTCTGATAATCTAATGTTTCACATATGGCATTCATGATAGAAAGTTTAGAAGAAAAAAAAACAACCCCCCCTCCCCCCACAACGTTTTGGTATTGACCCTGTTATATATTTTGTACTTTTTTTAGGCGCTTTGCGAACAATTTGCCGCATCTAAGGATATCACGAATCACCGTCACTGTTTCCTCTCTTTTGGGGCTCTTGTACACAAGATAAATCAGCGATCAAATCTACAGCAGGACACAAAAACTATAACTACCTGTCAGCAGCGTATCAAGGTTTTGAACACCATTCATTGCATTCATTGAAAGCGTTTTTAATCCTAGGTTAATCCAAGCTATAATTATTATGGCTATAAAATCAATCGTTTTATTTCAATTGTTCTTTTCGTTGCTAACAGCTCGTCGCATTTCACGGTTTAAGCGATTCAAAAATGGTGATATTCACAAAGCAAATTATTATCAAGCGGAAAACTTACAGTTCCATTTTAAAAACTGTGTCCATATTTTGTAAGAATAGGAACTGCTACCCAGCGCTATAACCGTTACATGTTTATACTACGGTGTATATCATGTGGCATTGTTAATTAATTTACTAACACATATCTTAATGAAACTGTTTTTGCCTCCAGGATATACTGGACCGACTTAAAGACCCTAACACATCACAAGAAGACAGACTCACCTATATCAAGGCTCTTGGGAATGCAGGAAGTACCGAGGCTCAGCAACAGCTTCTTGACAACTTTAAGGACCAGACACAGCCCCTTCACATCAGAATTAACTGTGTATGGGCTCTTAGACGCATTGCCTCTCAGTCTAGAGAACAAGTAAGTGATTTCAATTAGCTTGTTCAGTTATTATGTTGGGGTCCATATTTAACACACTCAGTATATCTTATTATCTTAAACATTTTCGTTTTCGGTCATCCCATAGCTCGGAAGGGGCAGGACCCTAAAAATGTTTGAGATTCAAGTTGCTACTTTTTCCTCCCCTGTTTGGGAAATTTGACACAACCTCACTCAATAACGCATTTGCTTGAAAACCTATTATGAAATACTAAAACAACATGTAGATAAGTTGTTAAGGTTATTCCAGTGGCCAACACCAGTCTCCATCAGGGTAATACGAGCAGATTAGTGGCAATTCTTCTTAAGTATCTACTTAAAACAGTGACCAGACAGAGCAATGAAGAAAATAAAACACAGAATAACAAAAATCAGATAACAACGGCAAAGTTAACAACATCAGAAACCTTGAGCTTCTACGCATTAAGAATTAACCTTTTTAGCCAATGGTTCGGCATCAAAAAAATAACATTAATGACAGTCCGTGCTAACTACAACAAAAGTGTGGGAAAAGATATGTCCCACTAATGTGTTCAGGATTGTGAAAAAAACAATTTTTACATCATCTTCAAACATATATATTTGCAGACTTATCCAAGGCTTATTTCTACTTTTGCTGATGCGAAAGAAAATCCAGAACTTCGAATGGCTGTTTTCCTGCTGATGCTGAACTCCAAACCGAACTTTGCTACAATGCAACTCTTAGCCAATACCCTAAGGCGTGAGATGACCAATCAAAAACAAGGCCCTCGCAGCAACCAACTTGCATCTTTTGTTATCTCTCATCTGTTCTCACTCGCCTATCACAGCAATGTGCTCATGAAAACCAGGTAATTAATGGGCCCAACTTTGACAACTTTTCAGACAATAACAATCTAATAACCAGTGTAATGGTTTTTATTGCCAGTCAAGCCACTAAGACTCGGGCATAAGTAAGTGGATAAGTGAGTGGGGAAGTTTGTGCAATTCAGTGTAGTAGTATAAACAGATAATAGCATGATTTGTACATGATATTTGGTATAAATACCACTTGTGATATTTCAAAATTGTTTCAAAATTACGTATGACAATTTTGAAATATCACTCGTGGTATTTATGCCAAATATCACTACAAATCTTGCTATTACCTACACTAATTCAGTGTATAACGAGTTTAATAAGAGAGAAAGGGTTTGACATAGCCACGATCAATTTTTATCAAAAGCGAAAAATCAGCAGTATCTTTATCGCTTTTTAGCCTTGTTTTAAGCATAAGCCTAGTGAAAATTAGTATATTTATCAGTGAAGTAAAATATAGCTCCTACAGTACAAGAAAGTGCAACGTTATCTTCATTCCCCGAACGAACTGAACACATCAGAGAGAATTTTTGAAATTTTAAATAGCTGTTACGGTCGCTGGTTATCGAGTCTGTTATTCAGTCTGAGTAATGAATTTCTCTTTTTGCAAAACACTGTTGGTTCCAATTCCAACTCGCCAAGGTAAATTCACAATTTTTAGATAGCCTGCCGATCACTTTGCCTTAGTTCTGCAAACCAACAGTATGTCCAGCTAGCTTTTGTTTTCGTTTGAACTGTTAATTTTTTAAATATCCCCCGTACCATTTAAACATGTTTCAAACATGTTTCATGCGACCCAACAAAACCTGGGAACCAGAATTCTAAGGTCCATGACGTATTCTCGTATCCGGTGCTTGAACCAAACACTAAAATCGACTAGTGCTCGTACCCAGGATTTTCACAAGTTCAGTTAAGGTTGCGTTCTCCTGACGTCGAACGCAATTAGCCATACTCTACAACAACTGCAAGGCGTCTACCCAAGCTTACAATGACAGCAAATAGTTCCAGAACGGTTTAAAACAAAAATAAAGACTTTTCTGTCGGTATGGATTATCGACTATTCTGGTATACTAAGTTTCAGCGTGACAGGAGAGAAAAACTAACTTCGGAATTGCTGTTATGTGCCTTATTGAGAAAGGAACCGACGATTGTTGCAGGTCGATGCAGGCCCGTCTGGCAATGAGAGTTTTGCCAAGAATGAGTTTCGGACTGGAATACTCGAAAGGAATGAGATGGGCCCAGTACTCAGGTGGGTATATAGAACTCACGGCCGGAAGAGAATGACGATTTCAATAAACGTTTCTGTCTTTGTCACATACTTCCTTTCGTTACGGTCACATGTAGTTAGTTACAACCATACTCTAAGCAGCATCACTGCACCCATTGGGCAGATTTTTCGGCGGAGAAGGGCAAGTCACTAATCCCCCCGCACCGTTGATTTGCTTTGATCAGTCGAACCTTCCTCATACAAGTTATCCGCACTTGAATTCTGTGTTGTGATTGGTCATTGAATTGTTTGCATTTGTACAGCTTGAAATCTGCTGAGTAAGACTGACTTTGGTTTTTCAACAGAAAAGTTCCAGGTGGGATTTGAGTTCGAGGCGAACAAATTCAATGTCCCCGATAGCATGCTTCCCAGAAACATGAATGCACGATTGCAGCTGAGCTTACTGGGCTACAAGATGGATGCAATTGAGGTAATTAATAAAAGTAAATAAACTACGCCGTGCTGTATTAGCCGGAGAAAACAGCCAACGTCTCGCGACGCCAACACTGGTTTCCCCGCGAAATGGCGTCTGAGAAACAAGCGTAGAAATTCCATACTGATGACGCGTCACTACCCACATCTGGATAGTGTTTCTGATTGGTTTTAAATTTGTTTCATCCAATCAGAAGCACTACCGACATCTTGGTAGTGACAGGTCATCAGTATGGAATCTCTGCGCACATTCCTCAGACGCCACTTAACGAGGAAACCAGTGGCGGCGTCGCGAGACTTCGGCTGTTCACTCAGGCTATGTTGACTTTGTTGTGGAAGATTAAGAGTTTAAAACATTAACGTCCAGTTCTGTCCAAAGAAAAAAAAAACTAGAAAAATAGGCGGACTACCGCGCTGATAAAGGAGTTAGATCAATGCTGACTATGAGTGATTAATAATAATAATAATCTAATAATAATTTACCAATTTATATAGCGCGTATTTACATGTGCTGATCAATAGCGCTTTGCAATCATATGTTTAAAAGAAAACGAAAATACATTACCGTGATAATAAAATAAACTAAGTTACAAACTATAAAAATGCTTCTTAAAAAGATAGGTTTCAAGTCGAGATTTAAAACTGTTAAGTGATGTTGCTTGACGAAGCTCCACAGGTAGCTCACTCCAGAGTTTCGGAGCTGCTGCTGAGAATGATCTTGCTCCCAACGGTTGTAAGCATCTTTCCCTTGGGATGGTCCACTAAGAGCTTACCAGTAGACCTAAGATTATATAATGAATTCGATTTTATACTAATAAGATCGCAAAGATAAGTTGGCGCATAGTTAATAGGGGATGGTCCACAAAGTTCTTTGTTGTAAGGCCTTGAACACAAAAGTTGTTTACCAGTAGACCCAATAGAAACGGCTGGTTACGTATATGCATAACGTATGAACGCAAAACAAAAGATTTTATACCTAATAAATCTTGGCATCTTTGTTTGCTCCTTTGATGTTTGCCGGGCTTCATAACCAGTCACCTCCATTAACTATGGTTGGCGCTAGGCCATAAATACATTTGAAAGTCAAAAGTAAAATCTTATAATCAATACGCAAAGAAATGATTGTGATTGAGTGATTACAAAGGATTCCAGCTTCAACGTTCCGTCCGCCACTCTGTGGCTCAATTGTTTTTAAAAACTTTAGTATTAGTTAATGTTTTAAGATCTCTCAGAAATGAAAATAATAATTTCTGCCTGAATTTTTTTCCTTCAAATTTTGTCATTCCATATGTATTCTACCGTTTTTATTGCTTTCAGTTTGGCTCTCGTGTTGAAAACTTAGACGATGTAATTGAACAAGTTATATCCAAGGTTCGCAGGCGACAGAAACGATCTTTATTTGATTCTTTTTGGCCGTCCTGGTTCAGCCGCAACGTTTCTGATGACGACAGCAACACTACTGAGAAACCAACAGGACGTTCAACTCGCGCCGTTTCGAAGTCTATGTCTAGGCGCCGCCGTGTAAGTGTAACGAAAAAAAACACTTACCACCAAACATCGTCCCGTCCAACGACTCGTCCCACAACTCGTCCAATGACGACCCGCCCAAGCTATTCAGTTAAGCAAGCGGTAAGTCTTTCATTTCTTATGACTAGAAAAGTTCAAAAACTCGCGCACAGTCTCATAAAGACATCTTACTCAACATATATTATTACTTTCAACGGCTTCCTCATCGATTGTAGTAGAAGCCTCGTATTTCTGATTTGATCGAAAATTCACTAACAATAGACTTTTTTGAAAATGAAAGAACGCATCGAAAGAGAGGTTAATGACACAAAAATAGGGGCCATACCAAGGAAAAGGAAGGAAAAGGTCCACGAAAAACAGGGGCCATACCAAGGGGAAGGTCACGAAAAATAAAGGCCATACCAAGAGGAGGGTCCACGAACCCCTCATCCAACCCTCGTTGTATAGAGCCTTACTGATGGGCAAAAATGACTGTACTCCTTTCCAAAGAACATAGACACTGACGCTGTCGTGGAAATTTTTGTTTAAAAGGTACCTCGATACCAGTTGCTCATTGACCTTCTGTCGACAACGTAAGAAATACTGATACGACCTTGACAAAGCCTTGTATTTAATTCTTTGTAGAAGAAACAACAACGTGCATCTGTTTACATGAAACTGTTTGGTGACGAAGTGAAGTTTGCAGAATTGACGCAAGAGCATGTCGATCAGCTCGCAAACGATATTGCAGATCTGCTTCTTGGGAAGAAAGATCGTATTGAATACCCGAGTTTAGGTAAACTGCTGATCTAACTACTCTCATCGGTTCTCACCTATATACCGTAAGCTCCCGCTTATTTTTCTTTTATACTTGACTACATCCACAGTTGTCATTTTTCTTGGCTATGGCCTGCACCTTAGGCGGCTTGACTTTTAAACTTGATTTTATTTACAACTTTGCAACCGTTTATTGATTCAAAAACAACTAAAAAGGAGTTTTTTCCTTTGTTTTCTTATCCTTCAGGTATTGTTATTTCTAAAGATGGTGTTGCCATTAACCAAAACCAACAAAAGGCAATGCTGCTTGCTAACGCTCGACACATCCTCCCAACACTGGCTGGAATTCCGCTGGACTTACAGCTCAGGTCTTCAGCTGCACTCAGCATGAACACAGTCGCAAATGTAAACATCGGAGCATCACTACTAAGTTTCTGGTATTTCAAGAAATTTAACGGCAACGTCGAGATTAATCCAAGGTAAAAACATTTATACTATAAGCCAAAGCCATTAGCTCAGTTCTCGAACCATTGAAAGCCATTAGTTCTCAGTTCGTAGATTCAGTTTTTTAAGTACCCCAAAACAAAACTTAATAAATGGCCTTACCAGTAATAAGTTCCTTATTTAGGTCGCTTATCGGTGGTTAGAGCGTCCAACAGTCGTTTGGGAGTCTTTGGTTACGAATCAGGGGTCCGTTTCTCGAAAATTCCGGTAACATTTTAGGTCCGAAGGCAAATTTTGAAATCAAAACCAGTTGAATAGTAGCGTAGTTCCTAGCTCACAAACCGGACGATTTTGGTTTGTTAACTGATAGCTTCTTATTGTTATTCTTAAAATTATTGAACCTTTGATCTTGAATGCAAACCCGGCAAACACAAAACAGCTGTTCGGCCCCTAAAAGTTATCGGGACTTTCGAGAAACAGGCCTCAGATCAGCAACTTCATTCTCTTCATTTTTCCCACCGATCCCTCCTCTAACCTAATATCGTATCCTGAGTGAGCAGTTAGACTTAACGCTGGATTAACGCTGGGAAGGGTTGGCTCTCTCCTCCGCGCCTTAGGAAAAAATGAAAGCGCGCGGGAGACGATGGGATACCCAGCGGGAGTCTATGCGGAGAGGAGAGGAGAGGAGGGGCTGGGCAGTTTCCCCTGAATCTTACACTACTCCAAATAATTATAACTGTAGATTTATTTATTTACTTATTCTTCTTTTATCGCTTGAGGGTGAAAAAACGTCTCCTGTGACAATTTGACAGATACAGCTCTTTTTTCTAGAGGATCCGACATGTAAATTTTCATGTAACAAGTTTTGGGTCAAGCAGCACTTCACTGAACGGTTCAAACAATTGGCTGTGAAAACAATAGAAACGGTGACTTAACAATGCCCCTACCCCTGAAAACAAATGGCAATATTTTTTTACTCGACCACTGAAATTAGATGTTCATGTGAGGTACTGGACTACTGGATATTTTGTTTCAGTGTTCATGTCCACGCTGATTCTCGCATTGGAATCCATACTCCATATCTGCGCGTCGGACTACGGATGAGAAAGACTGCACAGTCTGATCAGAAAGTTCACTTTACAGTGGAGTCTGGAAAACAGTACAAACTAACCTACAACATTCCACAAGACCGTCGAGATGTCGCGCATGTCAAGTAAGTCAATCAAGAAAAAGTGTACACAACAGGTTTCATCTCGAAGCGTGTTCTTTTGGTGTTTTTCTACATTGTAGGTTTCTGTCGAACGCGCTTCTTCTTTAAACATTAGTCTTTCAAAGTAAAAGTCATCGTGATTGGTTGTTAGGCTCTCTTGTCAAAAAGTATAGCAATAAAATCTCCAACAAGGGGGAACTAACCTTTTGAGCCTGAATCGTGACGTGATAAAAGAGGGTTGGATCTTAAATACTGTAGGTTGATAATCACATATTGATGAAGTAAGGATTTCGGGGAGGCAGTCCGCACAGCTCCACCTGAATTTTCCAGGGTTATTTCCTCCTCGGGATGAAAAGTTGAAATATCGATTTAATAACACCCACTGCAAGTGAAAATTAGGGCATTTTGAACTCTGTCTGAACCAGGAGTCTCGGACTAAGAAAGATAAAAGTCAAATGTAAGATTTTCTCTGTAAATTAATTTTAAGGGCAAGTACGCAGGGATTCGCTGAACAATATAACCCAGAGACTTGTGAGCGCACGGAACAACAGATTTCAATGGACCTAACCACTAGTCATCTTAAACGAGTAAGTCAAATCTTGAAAAAAAATTGGAGAACAAACTAATATGACGGTTTATTTCTTTCAGTTTTATGTCGAATTATTTGTAGACATTCGTTAAATTCAGAAGAAGTACGTAGAATGTGCAAGGACAAAATGATTGAAGACATCAATGACTACTACAAAGGATGATTTCCACCTCTACTGTGCACCAAAACCAAACACAGAGAGCTGTCCCTCTTAGATTTAAAGACATCGAATTTTTAGTAGCGACAAACCCACGAAATAATTCAGCAATTAACTAACTACGAAAGAAACTACCCTGTCCCCTTTTGTGGATTGGCAGCCTACCTATATGTTTTCGTCCAGGAATAAATGGGAAATTTTCAAACACTTCAGTTATTTCCTTTGTTATCTAAGGTGCAAAGGTCTTGTGCTGGTCAGGACATGTTCGGTGTTCAGTTGTGCGCAGAAGCACAAGTCCCCGACATTCCATCACTAAGACTTCAACAACTCCCAGTCCTTTCAGCTTTTGGTCAAACAGATGTTCGCCTATCTATGGAACCTTCTTCCGACAAACCAGCCTCAATTCAGTTGACAGGCGTAGTCAAGAATGATGAAAAAGGTCAGAGAGATGAGTTTTCTGGGTATTTACTTCGTATACCGGACACAAATGACGTAAAACAAAGAACAAAGACCATGAAACAATACCAAACAGAATTTTCTCTGAACAGAAAAGAAAGAGGTCTTTTGTTTTACGTCATCTGTATCCGGTACACTAAGTTTTGACCGGTTTCTGGGTAACTGACCATCTACCCCTCCCCTAAGTCACAATTTTGCCTAAGTGAGTACTAAGTGTTAAATGAGACCTGGGAGAGGGGTAGGTGATCAGTTATCCAGAAACCTCAATCGCTCGGTCATGTTTATGACAAGTGCACAGCGGAACTATCAGCTGACATGTACTGCGGCATTACACAAAATTTTATTGTTAGTATTTTACTGAGAAGTTTGAATATGTTTTAACTAAAATCTTTGAGCACCCTTCGAAGGTTAATGGTTATTCCTTTGGTTCTGTAGCAATGCAAGCCGATGGTGAAATCAGTGCCTCGTCAAAAACCGTCCAGCGACGAATCCCGTACAAGGTGACTTACAGAAAGGGTAACCAAAAGCAACTGGAGTTCGAGTCTAAACTGCTGCAAGTCCAGGGATGTGAAGATTGCAGTATGAAAGTTACAGCAAACCGCAACGGATTGATAGTACGGTTTGGAAAAGGTAAAGCACAGTATGAGATCACAGCCTCGGGACAAATTCAGAACCAGGGCAAAAACTTACACTTGCAAGCCCAATGGACAGAGGTGAGTACACTTTCACTCAACAAAGTGTTATACGCGGAGGCCCCGCCTCGAGGTCCAACCCCATACGACCGAAAAGGTACCCCTTTCATATACCTTCTATTAAAAAAGGTACCCGTTTTACATACTTTCTACTGACAAATGGTATCCCTTTCACATACTTAGTTAAGAACTTTGCATCTCCTTTAACTACTGTCAATGCGCGATCTTTAAAATATGAATAGATCACAAAACCTGAACGTTTTCTCGATTTTTTTTCGCAGCCGTAAAATGCATCTGTTGGACCTATTGGGCCATTTAAGAGACCTAAAATGACAACTATTGAAATTCCTACCCTTTCATATACCCGTAAACCGGAAGCCTGAAAAAGGTATAGACCTTTTCAGTAAGTACTCCTTCCCCGAGGGTGAGTACTGCCTTTTAGGACATTCTTTAGGGCTTTGAATATCGAAAAGAGCCGAGTATAACAGAAATAGTGATACCTGAAGAAAGTTATAACTATTTGTTTCAGCAGCGAAAGGTTATATCCATTCCTTTTTACACATTTCACAGCTTCCAGAACAATGGAAAAAATTCTTCTACAACTGGCAGCCTCAGATCTGGTACGTCCTCCAACAGTTTGCTTGGATAAGACGCACAGAACAGAAGCCCAAACAGATTGCCTTTGAATTTCAACTGACGACACCACTTACTGCTGATTTAAAACTCAAAACACCGGACGCGGAAGTAGTGAGAACCAATCTTTTCCTCCCAGTCCGAATTGAACGGTTGCCTCAATCCCTAAAGGATATGGGGAACTACTATTACGGTAAGAAGATAAATCAGTGGTGTAGCAAGTCCATAAACATCACAATTTCTCACAAGAAATGAGTTCTTTTGAGCCACGGGAGTTCGAGAACACGAATGAGGGGAGAGCTGCGAAGCCGCGAGGAGTGAGGACGAAGGACCAAGCGGAGAGAGAGAGACAAAAAAAGAATAGCCCTTTTTTCCTCTCTTCGTCCCAATCTCTCCTCCTTTATACTGTTAATTTACATGATTTTACTTTTTCAATAGCCAAGGGTTGTCCCTTTCGTAAACTCTGATGAAAGAAGGGCGACCGCTGGCGGTCTATATCATGTCTCATTCTTATTGTCCTGGAAGTTCTAATTAGATTTCTATCCCTCTGGTTTGCGGCATATATTTTTAGCTCGTTGTGAAGTTCAAGATCAGACGATCAAGGTGTTTGATCATCAGCAGTACCAGCACAACATCAGGGGAGAGTGTCTTTACACACTGGTACAGGAGCATAGGAAAGGCAAACAGAGTAGAATTCAGGTAAGGTTGCTTCATGCATTCCAAGCTGGAACTTTCTTTTAGAATCAGGATAATAGGTTTTCACCTGAGCAAGATGTTCGCCTCCTTAGCCAGTATGCCACGTAATCATTTTTTTAACGGTTGTGTGAACATTATAGAGAGTTATACCAAGAGGTGCTGTCTACTCAGCAGTTCGTAAGACAATAGTCAGCTTAGCTAAAGATCATCTACATCAATACAAGTTGGGAACCCTAAATTCCAAGTTTGTAAAACTACATTACGTTTAGGGGAATCAACGAAATGAACAATATCATTGGAATACTGTTACTTAAATGGTTACAACGTTCATCCTTTGAAACGAACGAATTTCATCCATTTGAAAAAAAAAAGAAAGCCACGTCTCACTTGTACCCAGAAAGGGAAGGTGATAATAGAAGATTGCATAAGTTACAGAATAATTCTAGACAATGTAACTGAAAAGGAATACAAAGTATGTGATAAAACAGTCCAAAACTGTCCAAATCCTGATTTGAAAAAGGTTATGGCGGGCAGACAACACTCTTTAGAAACCAATTCAAGTTAACTAAATTATTCCAGCTAATCTTTCTTTCCTGTTGGTTTTCATAAGCTTTTTGCGAAGATTGGCGAGCAGGGACAAAAGACAGTTGTTCTTTCCATCCAACAACAACAACAGCAATCAAAGGAGACGGTTGAAGTCAAGCAAGATTCTACAATCCTGATTGACGGCAAGAAACAGGAATGCAGTCAGAAGGCCTGCCAATCGAAGCAGGGTGGAGCGACTGTGCAGAAGGTTCATACAAGTGATGGCAAGACCCAGATTCGCCTTTCAACTAAGGTGAGAAATATTTTTCCCGCTAAACAGCTTTCGGGGACCACCTTATACAACAATAAATAAAATAAAAATAAAAAATAAATAACGATTTGCAGGTAGCATATCCACATAGTGATTCTTCGTCTACCTGATTCCTGGTCGAATTGGAATTTGGAAATGTTGGTTTTTGAGGAGAGGGGAAAACCAGAGTACCCGGAGAAAAACCTCTCGGAGCAAGGGAGAGAACCAACAACAAACTCAACCCACATATGGCGTCGACGCCGGGATTTGAACCCGGGCCACATTGGTGGGAGGCGAGCGCTCTCACCACTTCGCCACCCTTGCTCCCCAACTGACTAACCATGACCTAAGGAAGTATTACGCAAGGAGGTTATTCTAAATGGCCTGCCCTAATATCTGAGCACACTTAGGCATCGACCAACTTAAACCTTTTCTAATCAGCGTTAGCTAACGCATTTAAGCACTTATGTAAACACAAATGTATTTATTTTCCTTTATAGCTGGGTCTGTATGCCACTATCGAAGGTCCCCATATTCAAGTTTCTGCCTCTCCTCTCTTGCGCAGCCGCGTTCGCGGCCTGTGTGGTGATGCTGATGGCGAACAATGGGATGACTACAGAGATCCACAAGACCAACTGCAGAAACTGCAGAAATTCATTCAGTCATGGCGACAACAGTGTTAAAGGTATGAAGCTTCCTTAGTTAATTCCATGATCAATTTCAAATTACCGAATTACCACCAAAAGAACCTATAACTCAGCATCATTTTCTTCGCCAGCCACACTCCAAAATTTAGTTCAAGAATCATTAATAATTCATAAAGAAAAAACAAAAAAATAAATAAAATGTTTAATGAGTGTCTTTATATCTGATAAAGACACGACTAAACGTTACGTCCAATTTTTAGACCAAAATAACCACAAATCTAAATATTAGAGCAGAATGAGTTGATCTATATCAGAGATTTTGAGGCCGTTCAAAAAACTCGCTGTTGTGTATTATCAGGTTTAAAAACTCTTTAGTTGGCGAATACTCTCCTGCTCGTTTTTAAACAGTACAAGAACCACTGCAAACAACACATGAGTCTCACTGAAAGCTTACCCACGTTCACGTAACTTAAACCCGCCTTAAAAATTCCATCCGCAGATTTAAAACTGAATCAAAGTTTATAATCTTCTTGGAATGATCAAGCTTAAAAGATACCGTCTAGAGGCAAAAGACAACACTGAAAATGTAACACTGTACGTGACATCCATTGTTTTAAGACTTATAACACCTTATACGGATCAGTAGGGCTACACTGGATTTTATAAAAGGCTGTTTAAACTTTTCTTGGTATTGCTTTTCATTGCAGAAGCAAAAAGGCAAGCTCAAGGACCAACGAAAATGGAACCGAACATTTCTAACTTTTTGATTTAGTGGGGTTTTCACAGTTTGCTTTGTTTAAGTATTTTTAATTTTTTATTGTTTGAATGTTTTTAAAAATTGCTTTTAAACTAGGGAATGACAGAATAGACATAATTCGTTTTACATGTATCAATTTTAGGTTTTAAAAATGGAAACCGAATTAGGGAAAACAAAACTTTTTTAGTTTATTTAAAACAGTTTTCAGACGTAAATGGATTTTGTAAGGTGCTGGGTTTTGCAAATAAAATGAGAAAGCATTAATTTGTGTGTTGTTAAGTTGAATGTTGATTGAAAAAAGGGACTGTCTGCGATTTACCATCCAAACGTTTTCCAAGGGAAATGGTCTTAACATTTACTCTTGTGGCAAGTTTTCTTTGTTAAGGAGAGCCTACTCGTGAAATAACTGTACAAGGAGTTTTAGTATACAGAAACACACTCATTGGTACTCAGGAAGTTTTTAGTGTGACCCCTGAGTCCTGCTACTTCCATCGCAAGGTTAATTGCAATGAAACCCTTCAGTGAATTGGATATTGGCCCTGAAACTGGACCACTGCCTACGTTGGTTACAGGTACTTAAGTAAATGACGTATATTGGCCCCGCGACTGCTTAACAAAGAAAAGCTCCTTTGTGAGGCTCTCGTCGAGTCTTCGCTATTCTTAAGGAATTTGCCTGCTAAGTTCACTGAAATAACTTTTCCGAGGTTTTCTTTTCAGTAATGCGGTTGGGCTTTTGGTCCCCTCTCACTAAGGGTAGAGAACTCTCAATCATTTCGTGACACGGGCCAATTGCTGTGTGATGCAGTGAGTCTGAATTAATTTCAACTCATTTTTGAACAATGTAGCTGTCACCGATGGAAGTTGATTTATTCTTTTCTGCGCGAAAATTAAGACAAATGCCGTAGACCATAAATCACAGATGCAACTCATAACTTTAAAAAATATTAGCTAATGTTACTCTGAAAAATAAATATACACTTAAAATATATACTCAAACTCAGATTCTAATCTCTTTTTTGAAGTATATTAATGCTAATAAGGTCAACAGTTAAGAGTTAATATATAACAAACGAGAAAACGTGATACTAGTGAGGTCACGAAAGCTTCTGGACGAGCTGTTAAAACTACGCATAACGTTTGCGGTAATCATGGTTTTTCAAGTGAAAAGACTCTCCATTCAAATACCCCAAGACATTACTACATTTGTAAATCCTTACTCCTGAAAATATGGAAAGGTTAAATAAAGCTGTATCTTTCTTACAATTAGTTTCTAATACTCGACGTTCGAAAAATTTGGGTTTTTATTATTTTCGAAATGCTTTTAAAAACTGGGAGGTAGAAACTCAAACGTGCTGTCCCGAAAGGGTGAGGTCGATGTGAAGTACTCCCTGATGAATTACTACATCCGTGGCTGTGTTTTCCTGTTTGACGGAAACGTTTAATTTGAATATCCTAAAGGTCACTTTTCATTACACCTGAAGATAAAAATTCGTATACAAAACTTTAGGATGACAGCTGGCATAACTGGAAATCTTTTTATCTGCTCATTAAATCGTTCATCCTTTGGTAACAACTGAATTACGCCGCGATATATCAACATTTGCATAGTTATGGCTAATTATTGCGCGGAAGTCCTTTCAAAAATAGATGCAATCATTGGCAACAAATCATGTTAAGAGTACTTTGTGTAAAATATGTCTTGCCACTTAAATAAGTCACATAAATCTAAAATGGTTTCATTCGTTTCCAAAGGCGCAATTCCGTTTAAACCACGCACTTACGTTAATGTGGGCATAAGTTTCTTTAAAAAAGGCAAGCGTCTTTTGATTGGCTGAAAACTACCTACAATCAATTGGATGCTAAAAGCCGTGCTCTACTTAAACTGTGATGTCCCTAGCTGGCTGATAAAGGATGAAAAAACCTCAGCCGCTACAGGTCATTTGCAAAATGTATGTCTTGACAGTTGTTCTTCTATCACTGGGAGCGGCTTGTAAGTAGGAGCGCTGTTTTCTTTTCTGTTTTTGTTTTTGTTTTCTTATTTCATTTAAGATCGCTTTCCCTAAGCACAAAAATAGCCATTGAGGTAGCCTTCTTTAATGCAAACTGTTTTACTAAAACAATTTAGTGTAGTTTGGAATGCAAGGAGAGAAGCTGGGAATTCCACTAAACGTTTTAATCAATGTTTAAAGAAAATTGAATATGTATTGGTATGGATCAGAACTACTAAATTACTACTAGATTACTACTAAATTGCTCGAATTACTAAGTAAACACTGACCATTTGCAAGAAACAAGTTGAATTTTTATCCGGATTTTCAAGTAATGAATGGTGGCTAAGAACTAAAGTATAGCAGTTTTCTAAGCAGGGGAATAAGCGAAATGAAGAAAAACTAACAATTATTGTTTACAACAAACAGCTGCATAGACAAGGATGGTCATCTGTTTAACTTCTGAGTTGGTATTATAAAAACGTGCGCAACAATACAATGCCAAGTGAACTCAACTTCGTCTACAATAACAGAGCTGTCCTTCTCTTAAAACGAAAACACTCGTCCAGTTCTCCCTTTCGATTTATTCTTTTCCTACCGGGTCCTTAGTTCTAAAACCGTTAGTTTTTTTGTTAATGCAGTTTCATGAATTTGATTTTGACCAGATTCATTTTCTTTTTCATTCTCTGTAGCGTCCATTCAATTAGGTAAGTACGATTCCATTGTCCTTGTGCGAGCCTGAAAACTCACTTTTGAGATTTGCTGCTGTTTATGACGAGTCAACCAGTTGGTAACAAGACGCTTATTAAAAAAAGTCTGCCGTTTTGAACATCCCTCAACCAAATCCCGTTTTTGAAGCTCGTGTTTGAACAACGCAGAAAATACGCATAAGCATGTAATTTCTCGTTCGCTTCCAGGATTCTTGGAGGGCCAACGATACACGTACAACTACCAAAGCGAGGTAATTACATCTATTCCACACAGTTCTGACAAGGCCCTGGGACTGAGGATGAACTCACAGGTTCATGCTGATTTCTTTAAAAGCACAGCGATGCAGATAACGGTCAGTTTTTTATCTTTATTTTTCTACTGAATATGTGTCTACTGTGTGTATTTTACAAGATCTGTAGAGTCATAAATATATATGTATCACCTGAAATAATAACGTGCATGACACATTACGTCATTCTCTAATTTGGGTCTCGAGCACTGTACTGAATACAATTAAGCAAAGAGGTCCTCTCTGTTATGTAGCTGTTTCGATAATATTACATATAATTAGACCGTATAGGAGCTATATTATTGCTTTCTTTCCCATGCGCAACTACATCGTGGACAACGAAACTCCCTGCAGCCAGCAGAGCTTTTCTTCCGCTTGCTTGATTTTGGCGTACTCGAGAAAGACTCTCCATGAATCAATTAAGATCTTTCTTAAGCATGCGCGACTAAATGCGCGACATGTTGCTAGGATATAGCTCCAACCCAAGCCTAATACTCGTGCGCTTGCTACAGCGGGCTGGGTTGAAATGACCAGCGGTTTACCAATAACTGGATGCTCCCCCTCGAAAAACACAGTTTGACGAGTGAGAACAAGATTGACTAGTCCAGACGTTTGGGCTGCTGACTCAAAAAGACAAAACAAACAAACAAAAAACAAGAAAAAAGGAGGCTCTGCTCGAAACCTTGAAAGCACTTAAAAAAGACAATCTGTTTGTTGTTTTCAATTTAGTTGGAGAACATCTCATTTCATCAAGTTACTGGAAACGACCAACACCCCAAACAACAGGAACAAACTGCAATTGATGACAAGACCTTTGAAGGCATTGCAGCTACCATTTAAAGTCGTTTTTAACGGTGGTAGGATTAAGGAAATCAGTGCCCATAATCAGGATCCTGAATGGTCCGTAAACATCAAACGTGGACTGGTTAATCTGTTTCAAATCGCACCAGAAATGAAGTTAGAGGAAGAAAAAGACAAGCAAATCTTGCACCAGCTTGAGGTTGGAAATGATTTCCAGAATGTTTTAACTGAAAGTAAATCAGCAACAAAATAAAAAGAAAGAACTGGACACCGCATTGAATTCATTTGAGTTTGCAAACTTCAACATGTTTTTTTTTTTTCAGTCTGAGGCTCGTGTCAGTTAGCCCTTTAGGAAATATCCACTCAAAATTTACCTTCATGATACTAATTAGTCCAGTAAATATTTTTCAACAGGCTCAAAACTCACTCATCAGAACAGATTGGACTTCAAAATGAAAACGTTAGTGCCTTACGAGCCTCATCTTCAACGTTTTCCTCGGCAGAACACGGCGGCATTTTTTTCCTTTGCAACTAACTACCATATACTCAAAACTACTCCCTCAGAAACCTCAGTAGGACTGATGATACAAGAGTAACAAGGAAGATTGAAGTGGACAAATTGAAAAACAAATGAACGGAAAATTTTTAACGGAATTTGACAGTCTCATAGGGAGATAGTAATTACCTTAACCTTAACGAAAAATACGTCGTAATTTTTCTTTTCTCTTACAGTCCACAGTAATGGGTAATTGCCCAGTGTCCTACGTCATCAGCCCGGTCAAGAATCAGCCAGACAAGAAAGACCGATCTGTTAAATTGAGCAAGTTAATAAACTATGATCAGTGCAAAAATCGCCCTGAGTTAAACAGAAACATATTTTATTCGCAGCGTTGCGACGACTGTCAACAGGTAACTCAGAAAAAAATTATTGTAAGCTGATGCGTGCTGTAAATGGGCTTTCAAAACAATCTAATAATTTTTGAAGTTTTCCTCTCCGAGAACTGCAGTTGCGTGCCTTAACAATCAAGCGCACTTCTTCAAGCAAGTTTATAGAAAAAAATTAACTGTCACTTTTTTGGAGAACCCGGGTAAACTACTAAAGAAGGCTGTCCTAACTTGCACACCACTGAAGCATGCGCTCTACAGCGTTTGGTGTTGTCTAAAAGTAATTGCTACAAGTTCACATTGGATTACTAGAATTTCTGCTTCTTTCTGATTTGTCAAGTGAAAGTGGTTACTAAGGTTTTAATTAATGACAGTCCTACATTTTAACGGTAGTGATCAAGTCTTTTAGTCTTTTTAAGCTTAAAAGCTGTTGGTAGGACAACAAGGTTGTGGTTTGGGGACGAGACGACTGAAAAACATCTGGTTCAGTTTTGATTGTCTGCAGAGGATCTGCAGATTTCTGGTAGATTTTCAGAAGTTTTATTTTCTTAGTTTTTATCTGCAATAACCTTGAATAGAACAAAATATTGTTAATTAGAAGAGTAAATTGTCCTACAACAAATTTTGGGTAACCCTGCATGCCTTTTCTTACAGGCAGCTAAATCATATTCAGACTGACTTTCAACATGCCCTTTTAAAAAATTGTAAATAGTATTATCCTTAGTTCCGCTTTAGGAATTTACGTTTATTGTCCTTTCAGAGCAATGGCCATGCACCATACCTTAGCACAATCGGAAGAGTAGATCACACTTTGAGAAGTTCCAATATTAGTGGCTTCGTCATCAACAGAACAGAGACTTACGAAGAACACATCTTCACCCCATTCTCTCGGTTTGGGGAAGAGGTCAAGTCATCTGCCAGGTTAAAAAAAATCCCATTTATGTAATATGTCAAGCATGAGACGCAGTGTTTCATCACCAGATGAAACACTGAGAAGAGGGTTGAAAATGCGACGCGCAGCGGAGTATTTCTGACCAACTTCGAGGTGTTTCATCTGGTGATGAAACACTGTACCGAATGCTTGACATTACCTCTCAAACAACATGATTTTTGAAGGAGAAATTAAGGATACAAAAAACGAGCAGTTTTTCATCTGATTTCCTAACACTCATTAAGCATTAATTTCCTTTGTATTTTCTTCATGAATTAATTTGAGTTTGAGAAAGTAAAATACCAAATAAAGCTCTTGAAAATTTTACCCACGAATGATGCGTGTTACAAAATAGTGCTCTGCCTACTTAGCACCTGCATGAGGCGCTTATTCTTTTTTGAGAAACGCGTGTGGAAAAAAGAAGGGCATAATCACAGACTACGTTGCTATAAGTTCAGCTCTGTTTTCCTTATGCTGATGTTTAACGACAGAAATGTGATGTTCATATTTTATGTTCTTTTTCATAAAAAGACAAGTCTTGCAGTTTAAGAAAATAGATGCTGTGGGAAAAGCCTGTGAGTATATATCATCATAATTGTCTTCAAGTTATCCGTTTTCCGCCTTATCGTATATTAAAACAAAATACAATAAGCAGAAGATGAACAAGAGAATTCAGCACTTTCAGGATTCAATGTTTATGTGTATCCGAAGAACTAAACACGCATAATTAATACATAACTTTTTTCTCATTAGTAACCGATCGGACAAAGAAGGTTAACCTTCAATTTACCGCTGAAGATCCCAACAAAAGCGCCCGCGATGATGTCCAGCTACAAACTCAATTAGCTCAACAGGTGAGAGAACTGTTAAAGAGCGATCGAAAATGAAACTTACGAGTTTAACAATTCAATAATATTATACTTTAATAAAAAAAAAAAAATTCAAATAAAAGTGCTCTTCAGTTAGTCGCACTTAAAGATATTACTCACGAACTCAAAAGTTAGAACAACATTGTGTAGGATAAACAACACAACACAGGAAAGTAACATTCGTGTGAATGACAGACCATCAAAGGATCAAAACTGATATTCTATCTCTAGTGAGAACTCTACAGCATGTCATATTGTATAATAGACATGGACACTACTCAACAGTCCTTTTATCTGATTATGATGATACAGTATCAGATTCTTGAGACTGGAGCCACTTGACAACGATACCTATAATCTGAATGAGGGTTATATTCTCTTATATGTAGACGCAAAGACTTGCAGAAGAAATGCGGGAGGCAGTTAAAGATCCAGGCAGCCATGAGGCAGCACAAACTTTTATGGCTCTGATCCAGCTGCTAAGGAAAAGCAACAGAGACACTCTAGAAAAACAGGCCGATAGAATGCTGGGGTCACATGACTCAACCGAGAGGTAAAGTTAATGGCGGTTATATATAAAGTAACAGCCGAGCGGCTAAGGATATCGTAAAAATTATGAGAGGTCATTTAACAAACTTTCTTAAGCACGGTTTCATGAAGTTCTTGTCCCTTAACGTAACAATTTCAACCTCTTTCTAACTACAAACTACTAAAATACCAACTACCAGTGCTGAGCCAATGTTCACACAGCTGAATTTTGGAACAGCAATTTTATGGTCTTCAAAATTCAATTTATCCTCAGCTTTATAACTGACCATCATTTATCTCCTCCCTAATTTCGCAAGGAAATATTTTTTGGACGTCCTATCTTCTGTGGGAACTTCTGAGGCTTTCCAAGTCTTGAAGCAAAAGATCCAGCAAAATAAAATCAGCACAAAGGAACAACTTAATCGAGTTTTCATGGGACTGGCTTTTGCTTCATCGCCAACCGCTGAGCACATCAAAACCGTTTCGGTAAGTCAGTAAAACACTTTTCTGTCTGGCTCTGAATAACCCCACATATTTAAAGAAAACAAATAAGCCAAACTCGCTTGAGCAGGATTATCAGTTTGAAACGCAGAGAAATTGTTCTTAAAAAACTTAATAAAGACATATAAAAAAGGCTGAACAAGAATTTCTACACATAGGAACTGATACTGGCTTGACACAGACTCAAAACGTAGGACAACGGAAAGAATTTTAACTACAACTAACACGAACTTGCTGTAACTCTCCAAAGGAAACCCCGTTCTATTTAGTATTTAGAATTTTTTCCAGGGGGATTACTATACTCGAGTACCTTTGCACACTGATCCGGCCACCCAGTTTTGAAATAATTATCGTAATGCTAATGTCAGTGTGTGGTGTTCTCCTGAAGAGGGCAAAGGGTGTTTTTTACAGTTTTTTGTTAAGTTTATAAATAAGAAACATGTAAAGTACTTTAGCACATAACGGCTGGATGACTTCATGACGATTGCAGCGTTAGTCACCTTATAAATTGTGCGGATTTTTAGGAACTTTGTCAACAACAACGCGAAATCAGCATCCGCCGTCAATGTTTACTCTCATTTGGCGCCCTGGTAAACAGGGTTAACGAGAGAGCCAGACTACAACAGGACATGCAAACAGTCGCTGCTACCCAGGAACATGTACAGGTATCTAAAAACATTTACAGCACAAGTTCTTCAAAATAACATAGCAGATATTTTTGCATTAAGAGATGCTGTCATTTCGTAAATCGTAAAAACCAGACGGAAACCTCAGCTTTTACAACGTCCAGAAAACAACAAAAGGAAACGAATTTTTTTTTTAATGGTCATAATTCTACTTTGTTTTTGTTGTTGTTGCTTCTTTTGCGAACCTGAGAGAATCAAACAACAATTTTTTTTCTTATTTCAAACGAGAATTGAATAAAGGTGAATAGGCAAAGAAAAAGAAACTCAAGCCGGCTCTATTTAAACGGTGCTCTCATAATATAACTACTTTTTTAAAAGCTATGAGTCGGTTATTAAAACGAAGTCTAACTTAGAAAGCGGTTTAGGAAATCTTTGCACCTCCAGATCTCCTCCTTAGTGGGTTATTTTAAGAAGATAAATGCTTTTCCAGTTGACGCCATATGCTTTCATGAAACTGTTCACGATAAATGGTGTTTACATAAAAGCGTTCCGCAAACTGAAAATGGCTTAGCTTAGAGCGGGGGTTTGTCAAACACCGGATAAACTCCGTTTAAATAACTGGCCGTATGTATTCAATCGAGTAAAGCAGACGAAGTAATATTTCTGGCATTTTGAACTAACTCGACGCATCTACGAAGATAGCGCTTTAAGTCAATAAGAATGAACAGTAGTCTGTAAGGTTTATTTCAAAAACAGCGATTTTTAACTTTCACAACAGGGGATACAAAACTACCTCGCAAATCCACTTACACCGCAACAAGACAGACTTACAGCCGTTAAAGTTCTTGGAAACGCAGGGAGCATCCAGTCACAAGGACTACTGCTGAAGATCATCAAGGACCGAAGCGAGTCATCACAGATAAGAGTTAACAGTATCTGGGCCCTCAGGCGTATTATATCGCAGGCAAAAGACAAAGTAAGCGTCTTTTTAAGTTATTGAACGTCTGTATGCGTTTTATAAGATGAACATAAGAGAAAGTCTGGTAGTATGGTCAGAAAGGATTTACCTCTGACCCTTTAGTTAATTGTTATAATGTATGAAAGACCTGCACACACAAGAAAGAATCCAATTCTCGCGCACAGGGTGAAAATGCATATATTTATGGCTATTTAGAGAGAGTAAGTCACTGTAAAACGCCATTTTCTGTAAGTATCATGCTGTTGGCTTGCATATTACAGGTAGATGCTGTTAATTTCAACACTTCAGAGAATTCAGATAGAAAACTCTCTAAAGTCATACACTACAAAAAAATATGTCAAACCTACTGGAAGGACAGAGACTATGGTAATGATAAGAAGTGTAGTGAGATAACAGGCAAGAGAAAACTACCAATTATGCACTAGTAACATCAAATCATGCAACTTACAACGGCAAAAAAACAGTGCTTTGATTGCTGGTAGCCGGCCAATTAAGTGCTTATTTGAACGTTACTCTGTTTATTTTGCACAGATTTATCCAAGTCTTATTTCAACCTTTTCTGATACGAATGAAAGTCCAGAACTTCGAATGGCCATTTTCCAATTGCTACTTAACTCCGAGCCTAACATAACAACACTTCAGTCTGTCACTAATATTGTTAGACAAGAGATCACGAATCAAGACCCAGGCCCTCGTAGCAACCAAGTTGCATCCTATGTAATTTCTCTACTGTCCTCAGTCGCCAGCAACGATAATCCTGTGATGAAAAAAAGGTATTGAAGTCACCTTTGACAACGTTTTTACCTACCTTCCCCAAATATAAGCATTTGAAGTATAAAGCTGAAAGAACTTTCTGATTTAATGCCCAAACTTGCAAGAGGCAGTTATAAGTCAAAGAAAGAGAAGCGCGTCTTTAACAACAAATGCAATCTCCATGGAATGAGAAGTAACTACTGATTGAACAATTGTCCTGGGGCATTTTGTTTCTAAACAGTTTACATGGCATCAGTCTGATCCTTTTAAAAGTGCTGTTCGCTTTAGCCACGAAAATGAAAGACAATTTTCACGAATACCTTAACAAACAGAACGCAGACATACAGTTTACCAAGGAGATCGAGGAAAATAGTATATAGAGCGATTTTCGTATGACCTTGAAATGAAAACGCGCAAACAAAACAGAAACAACAGACAAACGAAAATAGAGCGATTTGATTGGTTTATCGAACGGATATGAACGCGCGTGGCTTTTGGTTGGTTAAGCGAACGCTCGGGTGAAAAAACTTCATGCCTGAGAACTTTCTAGAAATCAATCGATACTTCGCGTTGACGTCACACTGCAACACGATTGGCCAATCGAACAATGCCTTCTCCATATTAGGGTGTTTTTTTGGCGGGAAAACGAAGAGGCCATGTTTTGACCTTTTCATCCATTGGCTGATAAAACAAATAACGAACAGTTAAAGAAACAATTTTTCAAGGTCATACGAAAATCGCTCTATTACCTTTTCTAGACTGCTTGGTCTCTTGCGACAATAACAGAAAATGAAAGAATCAAAAAGGTCAATTTTGATTTACCATTTGCTCATTCAACTATCTTATTGAACAACTGCCAAACACCGCTTATCAACTGATTATTGTTTCAGGGCCATGCAAGCTCGTGGAGCCTTGCAGTTGCTGCCAAAAAAGATGTTTGGGCTGATGAGTTACTCTAAAGGAATACGATTGCCTTATTACACAGGTTTGTTACCAAGGAAAGGATTATTAGATCGATGTACCAGACTAACAATAAACCAACTCTTCTATCAGAGTAAAAAGTTATGGCAAAGCAAGAGATTCAAACCACACAATGTACAACAAACAGAGAGTCCAGGCATAGAAAATATATATATAAAAAATGTTTTTCCAGTTAAGGCCGAACTGGCAAGGCCAATTAAAATTAGTGAATGACTGATGGACTACTTTCCTCTTAGTGACCATGCCCTAAGATTTTATAAATTTACTACACAGTCAAAACTGAAGCTTAGTTTAAGACTTTTTTGACAAATTACAGGCCTCAAACATTGTCTTAAGCGTGTTAGTGCAAGAAAGGGAAACTAATCTGCTGTTTGTTTTTTTAAACAGAAAAATTCCAGGCCGGAATCGAATTTGAAGCAAACAAAATGAATGTCCCAGAGAGTAGCATTCCCAGGAACATGAATGCGCGACTAATGTTGAACCTCTTTGGCTACAAGACAGACGCAATTGAGGTAATTTACTCTATGAAATGATAGTCACAGAGGAGCTCCGTTTATACGGCCCACAGGGCCATAACAATTTGGTCATATTAGCAGGATAATCTCTTTTTTCCCTCGTTTAATAAAGGTACCACACTGCGAGCTTTAGAAAGAAAAAGGCTATTATGGAGGGTAACGAGATATTAAGACAAGATATTCCATAAACGCCTTTTGTTGAAGCATATATCTCGTTGTTTCTAAAGATTTTTTGTTTGATTATTTGCCTGTCCTGTATACATTAAAGCTTATAAGACCGTAGGCTGCACTTATCAGGGTTATGTATAGGCAATGATTTCTCCGGAAAAAATTCAAGTAGCTGTAATAATTATAGGTGGCTGTAGGGCACTATTCCACGGTATATATTATGACGTATTGTGGACGAATACCAAATTTTAATTACAAAACTACTATAAACCATGGAGTTAAGCCAACAGCTATTTGGTTATAATCTTATATTTGAAGCAAATAAATATAAATTTCTTTCTTTCTTTCTTTTTGTTTGTTTACTTTTTTTCCTTCCATCCTTCAATCATTCTTTCATTCATTAGTTTGGCACTCGCATTGAAAACATGGACGACACAATCCTTGAACACCTCACACCGAATGTTCAAAGGCGAAAAAAACGATCTTTGTTGGGATCCGCTCTGTCCTGGTTCACTGAGGGAAGTTCAGCTGGAAAAGCGGTAAGTCCACTTTATCAGGGACCGCGGAGGGGGAGGGGCTGGTAGGGCCGCGGCCCCACCACTTTTTTGCGCCGCTGCCCCCACTTTTTGAAAATCAAATACTATGATTTTATTCCTTTTTTCGATTTTCAATATGAAAAAATTATTTTCAATTGTCAGCCCTCCCACTTTTCACCTTGCTCCGCGGCCCCTGTTTATTACATATCTTCATCCAAACGCTCACAAGTTGAAACTTGGAAAAGATGTACCCAATCGGTGTTTAAACATAAATCTAAGCAGATCATCCTATGAAGCAAACAAGGCTTTACGAATGGGAAATTCGCCGAATAGAAACTGCATAGCTACTTACTAATCTTATCTTTAAATAATGAAAACTCTTTAAAATTGCCACAATCCGCGACGAACCCCCTTGCACTGTTTAATTTCATATACATAAAGACCTACAGTGTACCACGACCTTAATGCAGAAAAAACTCGTTCACATTTCATATTTTACATGACAGAAGCAAGGAAGCGTATCTACTTACATAAGGGTGTTTGGTGATGAACTGAAGTTTGCAGAAATTTCTCCGGGACACCTTGATCAGCTCGCGGATGACGTCACAGACCTGTTGAGTGGAAGGAAAAGCCGATTAGAACTCAAAGATCAAGGTAAAACCTATTTTTATGCTCCATGGCAATCTTTAAAATATAACTGGCTAAATAGAACGCAATATTTCGATTTTTTTTTTCAACATAGGTATTGTTATCTCAAAAGATAAAGTAACGATTGAGCAAGCCTTAGAAAAGGCGATATTGCTGAATGATGCTCGACGCATGCTCCCCACACTGACTGGAATTCCGCTGGATATACAGTTTACGTCCTCAGCTGTAATCAAACTGATCGGAGCCGCAAAAATGAACATTGGAAGCTCGCTATGGGGTTTATTACCAGATATCAGCAAAATTACCGGCGATGTTGAGATAAAACCCAGGTAATAGTCTTATTCTTCAATTCTGTCTACAGAGTTGCCGTAAATGATCGATTAAGCGCCACGGCGCTCATTTCATTTTCCCTGTTTTAGGCGCAGCGCTTCTACGAGAGCGGCGCTTATTCCAAAGCGGCGCTTAATTGATTATATAGGGTAAACACAGAATTACCCCAGAGCAAAACAGATACTACACTGTGAAAGAACTGCTGAAGTGGTTTCATTTAAAAATGGCCACACCACGGGATATATTGTCCACAGACTCTATAATTTAGACTCATTAAGGGATTTTAAAAAATGTGTGATAAATCGACTGTTCTACCTGATCACTGAATCATTGTTGGAAATGATGGCCTAATATTGCGCCTGTATTTTATTTTAGTGTTCACGCCCACGCCGATGTCTCTGTTGGAATTCATACTCCATATTTACGTATGGGGTTACAGCTGAGTGGAAGCGCCAGTGCGAGCCCTGTTCATAAACTCTACTTCCTAAATGATGCTGGAACAAGCAGAGTAAGATACGACATACCAAATGAACGGCGGGATATCGTGAATGTTAAGTAAGTTCATGCGCAACCTCTTTCTCCTCTGAATTTGTCTCCAAAGAGGTAATTTCAAGTTTGTAACTTACTTTCAGGACAGCCACGCAAGGTTTTGTTGAAAGTTTGAACCCGGTAACTTATGAGCGAGATAGACAACAGATTTCTATGGACCTTAGCGCTCCTCATCTTAAACAGGTTAGCAAACTAAAAGTATGAAATAAGTATTTCTAAGTCGGTAGTGTGAGCATCCTGTATAGACTAAAATGCTGAATTTAAGCCATGTGTTAAACAGAGCTTCTTTGTTGGCTGTCTAAATGCATATATATATATATGGGTATTTCTGATTTCCAGTTGCACAGTATCTTCACCTCATGTCAAGATAAGTTTGGTGTTCAGTTGTGCGTAGAGGGACAAGTTCCAGATATTGCATCTTTGAGGCTACAAGAAATCCCAGTATTATCCACCATTGGTCAGACTGAAGTGCGTGTATCTATGGGCCCTTCCACTGACAAAACTACGACCATAGATTGGACAAACAACATCGTCAAAAACAATCATGAAACAGGTGAGAGGAAGAAGCAGATATGTAGGATTCTTCGTTTCTAAATTATCCCTTAATATTCATGAGGTTTCTCTGGTGTATTTGTTACACAGAAGTGAAAGTTAACGGTCAAATCAGTTCGTCAAACACAGCCCAAGGAAGAATCAGTTACAAAGGCACTTACAGAAAAGAAGACAACAGAGCACAACTGAAAATCGAGTCTAAAGTTTTTGATGTACGGGGATACGAAGACTTCACAGTGAACTTTACCGCAAACCACGACGGATTAAAACTGGAATTTGGGGACGCGAACCTTCAGTATCAGATCAACGCTTCGGGACAAATTAAGGACCAGGGCAAAAATCTGCGCCTGCAAACTCAGTGGACAGAGGTGAAACTAACTCAAATTTTTTTTAAAAAAAAAAAAGGAAAACGAAATTAGTGAACCACGTGAAGCGTATTCAAACTAAAACGGCTACCTCCTTTGACGCTTCATAACGCGCCTATACTCTGGAATCTTTAACCATAACAAAAGGGGTTTTGAACATAAAAATGCAGCAAAGCATATGCAAACATAATCATGAGTTTTACCATTCTCAGCGGCACGATTTTTACCCATTACGTTCAATTCTATTTACAGCTCCCAGAGCAATGGAAGACAATATTTTATAACTGGCAGCCTCAACTGTGGTACGCCCTCCAGCAGTTTGCTTGGATCAGACGCACAGAACAGAAAACCAAACAGGTTACGTTTGAACTTCAACTAATGACACCCGAGACCGCCAATCTAACTGTGAAAACCCCGGATGCAGAGGCAGAGAGAGCCAATCTCGCCCTTCCAATTACAATTGAACGCTTACCACAGTCGCCACAGGATATCTTCAATAACTTATATGGTAAGAAAGAAAGAAACTGGAGCGAGTGAGTTCTTTTTTTTTTTTTTTTTAGCACTTTTCACACAAAAGGCTACAAACCGACAAAGCACAAGCTGCCAAATAAGGTTTTATAGCAAAGGGTTCGAAAACTACAAAGAGAATTATGAAGCCTTTTTAATTCCACTGAAAGTACTCCAGATTATAAGTCTTACACTTGTTAACGTTTGTCTACATTGACCCTTTTAATAATATCCGTATGAATGAGTTGCGCACTTGCGACGGAAACGCTTTTTGTAACTTTTGTCTTGCATCACTGTCTTGTTCAAATACAAAGCCCCCGCTTAAGCTCTTCTTGTGTCGTTCATTTTCAGCTCAGTGTGAGGTCACCAACCAGCGCATAAAAACATTTGATGGAGTGCAATACCAACATAATATTGCAGGCAAATGCCCCTATGTATTGGTTCAGGAGCACAGCAACGACAAAGAGAGTAAACGAGTCGAGGTACGGTACCGCCTTGTGAGATCATTCCAAACCATTTTGAGGTTGCTGCGTTTGAGACTGGGTCAGAATAGTTGTCGAAGTGCACAATGGGATTGTTTTGGGAAAGCTATCATTTCTCTCACTGGCTATTACAAGGTTGCGCAAGAAACTGGGTAACAGGCCCATAGTGCAATTCGAAAAAGCACCTACCAAGTTTCAACTGCAGGTTGAAAATGGCCAATAATAAAATACTTTTTGAGAGTGAAAGCCTGTGGAGTACTTATCGAAAAAAAGTGAAAGGCGGCCAAAAGCCAGACAACTAAAGGTGGTCGGCGGTTGTCCTACGAGAATGGCGAATCTTAGCTTTTTGATTTTCTTAGACATGTATCTCTATAGGTTGCTTCGTGTTTCACACTTCAAACGTCCGTCACAAAAATCCAGTCATTGTAACTACTCTATAAAGTCGCCTAGATTTTAAACCGACAGAAATTATTCAAGACATGTGATACTTTTGTTTCAACAGCTGTCAGTGCTCCTTGACGAGAAGACACAAAACTGGACAGTAATGGCGTCCATCTACCCGCAGTACAACGAGACAGTTAAGATTCAACCAGATTTATCGATCCTGATTGACGGCCAGAAGAGGGAATGCAATCAGACTGTCGCTTGTCAATTGAAGCATAGCGGAGCCACAGTGCAAAAGACTCAGACAAGTGATGGGACAACCCAGATTCAGATCAGTTCAACCAAGGTGAGAGACATAAGACTAGAGTCATCCATTATGCGCCATTATTAGTTATATTAATAATAATGATGATAATAATAATAATGATGATGATGATGATTGTTAATATCATTAATTATTATTCATTTAAAATCTAGTTTCCTCATTTTTGGTTTTGCGTTTTTTTCAAATAGCTGGGCCTGTATGTTACGATTGAAGGTCAGCGGCTTCAGGTGTATGCCTCACCTCTACTGCGCAGCCGCGTTCGTGGGCTCTGTGGTGATGCTGATTGTGAACAGTGGAATGAGTTCAGAGATGCACAGACTGACCAAGTATTTACCACGCTGCAGGAATTCACTCGGTCATGGCAGAAAACCTGTTGAAGGGTGGAGTTTTGCTCCCCCGCGCCCCCACCTTAAAAAATACTTAGTAAGCGCTTGATACAAAAAAAAAAAAAAAAAAAAACAGATTCATGCCCGATATTCAACTCAAAAACTCTCAACAGAACCATGCATTTTTTTTCGTTCACATAAAAGAAGAGAATGATGACGATAGGTTCGCATGCATTCTTGTAAACCTCGCTGTCTCGATTAAGGTAGTAGCGTAATTAACAAGATGCAGAATGGAAAAATAATTTGTCAGTACAGTCGTAAGGTTGAAAAAAAGGTTGGGTTTTTTTTTATTAGTTTTCAAGTTTCTTTCAATACCCTGCTTATATTTTAAATAAACGATAGGGAGCTGACTGAATCAGTGTAGATAATAATAATAATTTACCAATTTATATAGCGCGTATTTACATATGCTGATCAACAGCGCTTCATAAACTACAGAATACCTCGGCTATGAAAACTTTAATGAAAGTTTAATTGGATGGGGATTTTGTAGCTTGTTAAACTGAAATAAAGTCACTAAGCTTTGTTTTCTTTTTGTTGTTTTCGTACTATCACTGACAAATAACACTTGAGTAAAAGAAAATCTCAAACTGTACACCATTAAAATAAAAGTTGAGATCACTAAAGTGAGTCAACCGCTTATGAACGAAGCTGAACGAGCTTATATATTGCACCATTAATCCTTTCAGTCCCAATAGTGATCAACATCAATTTTCTCCTAACAATATCCATATGTTGCCAAGAGAAATGGTTATGAGAGTTAATGAAATGATCACTAAAGATAAAATGCTTTGATCTGTTTACAAACTCTCTCAACTAATTCTTCAAGGAAGTGTATGAAGATCAGTATGGAGAATTTATGTGTGGATTTAGGGGCTTAAAGGATTAAAACGTATTGCATGCATGATTTCATCTTAAAAAAGGGAGCGAACTATATCGCCGGCGCAGAGTAACAGGCTGGACATTAAGTGATTCGCTCTGGCAAAAGCTTAAAATGTCAACTTCGCCTTACCTTTTGTCAGTTACTAGTAACTCATTTTGTGCCGTAACCTTCTAGTATGAGTAGTCAGCTGAAGTATGAGATATTCAAGCAATGAAAAGTGCAATTATTTCACATGACGGAGATGGACACCACAAATCTGGCAACGCATGTTCAGCAAGGACTGAATTGTAACGGCGAGTTTTTCTCATTATTTTGAGAGATAATGCTTTTTAATTAGGATTTATTCCACTACCCAAAAGTAAGAAACAGAGTGGAATAATCGAAAGTCGATGTTTGGTTTTCATCTGGAAATTTGAAATAAAATACCACGTTAATTTTGTTCACTAACATTTTTGTTGTAAAGTACCTTAGGGACGGACCATAAGAAAACTTATGGGGGGAGGGGGGGGCGGGCGAAGTACAAAAAAAATATCCGCGCAACGGAAAATTAAATGAAAAAAATTCATGCACGCCAATTAATCCTAAAAAAAATTCATGCTAAGGCCTAAAAAAATTCATACAAGGAATTTGATAGCGAAAAAAAATTCCTGCGGCCCGAAAATTCCCCCCCCACATAACTTTTCTAATGGTCCGTCCCTTAATATGGATGGCATATGCATCAGACTCAATATAACGCCGCACGGTTTGCTTGTTTTATCCTAATGAGGATTGTTTGTTTAGTAACCCGCTGAATCATCTATGAGAACTGAGCTGCATTGAGAAAACAACATAACCACGAAATATACTGAAGTTCGAAATACAAACACAAAAACGAAAATTCATAAGATAGGAAGTAGTTTCCAATACTTAATAGGGGCCCACTTTTCCGGCAAACACTCGCTGTCTAAATATATTTAACGTAATTTTAATTTTACAAAGGGTTTGTTTTGTAGGGATCTCTAAAGGTTTACGGCTGCCGTAAAGAGAATAAAAGATAATATGATATTGTGAATGACAAGTATCACAGAAAAGAAAACAATTTAAGGAAGTTTCATAACGGATATTCCTGAAAATTCAAACTACACTACACCACCTGCCCTGCAAAAAGACAGCTGTAAAATGGCTGCGTTAAACAAGGCTATCTCTGAACGGCGCTTCAAGCAAGCTCGTGGATTCATTACCTCCGGTGTGAACGTCAATTCTAAGTGTGAAAAAGGAAACACTGCTTTAATCCAACTGTGTTTTCTTGATAAAGATTCTCTGGCGATTTCTATCGCTACTAGTTTGTTAAAACGGGGAGCGAAAATCGACGCGACGAATACCAATGGCCTTTCAGCTCTGTCCACGGCTGTACTAAGCCACAAGGAAAACATTGTCGCGTTGTTTTTGGAAGAGGCGGGAAATTTTGATATGAATTCCAAAGACAAAAAAGGTAAAACAGCGCTGTTTCATGCCGCAAGCATTGGTAATATTAACATCTTAAAACTGCTCATCAATGCATTGAGAAAATATCAATTAAGTGTTGATGTAGCAGATAACCTTGGAATGACTCCACTCATGCAAGCCTGTATCAATGGAAATGTGGATTGTGCTAATTATTTAATAAAGGAGGGCAACGCATCCGTTAATATCAGAGACAAAAAATACAGGAGAACAGCTTTAGAATGGGCAAAAGTAAAAGGAATCTTAGGGAGAGTTTTGCTAGTCCATAGTGAAGTGAATGTGAATGATCAAGAAAACGGGATGAAAGAGAAGCAAAGAAAAGACGAAAAATGGGAAAAGGAAATTACAAAGGACAACACAGGAGGATCGTACAGAGTCCAATTCAGGCGCATTTTTCAAGCTTATGAATGCCAACTCACTGCTTCGTTTAAGCCAGGGAAACAACCGAAGCCAAAAGTGCTTCAACCTACAGCAGACGAGGGGAGCGGTGTGAAAATTTTTGTCAGAAGTCGTCAATTTTTTAAAGGCAAAAGTACATATAGACTCCTTAATCGCATGTCTTTGGAGAAGACCCTGATTCGAAGGTCTTCCCATCGAAGGTTTCAACGTTCTCATTCGGTCACTGACCTCACAGGAAAAGACTTAAAATCTGCGGTAAAACTCGTGAATTCACCGTCTTCGCAAAGGAGCCACTCAGCTCGTTTCAGGACAGCTCGTCAAGTTTCGGAAGGACAGAATGCTATACCGACATAACCTTCAAGCTCGACGCCAGTTTTCATTGAAACGAGTGAATAAAATCATTAGTTATCAAAGATTACCAAGCAATAATATATAACGTTTTCATCCAAATTCTCTGAACTGATGAATAAAAAGTAGGCGAATAAGGGAATAAAACAATCAGCAGTAAATATCCACAAAGTAACCTGCGATAACATTTTATATCCATCTTTGTACAACTATTTTGTTATAATACAAAGAGAATAAGCGGCAAATAAACTCGAAACTAGATAGTGGCAGTTCTCTTGGCATCTTTCACAATTTACTACATGATACTACTTCATCCAACCCTGTTGCAACGTTGTACAGAAATAATCTTGGTTATCATCATCATTATCAGCATCACCATTAACATCGTCATCATGTTCACCATCATAAAGATAATGATGAGGATCATCATGACGGAGTTATGTCCAGAAATACATGGAAATAAGATTCATACTCGTTATGATGGACATCATGATGGACAAAAATGTATTTTGTCCAGGGGCGGATCCAGTTTTTTAGTCCCAGCTCTAATCCTCACTAAAATATTTTTTTTTTTTTTTTTTCCAGAATACCAGTTGTTTTCATCTCAGTCAAACCCCCTGCATTCCCCCTAGATCCACCTCTGTTGTCAAACATACTGTAAGTTAAAGTCACAATGGATACTCACATAATTTAAATTATTGTTCATTGTTCTCATTATCTATGTTCTCATTGGCTAACAGCTTACAGTTAATTTTGGAAATCAACGCAACCTACAGATTAACTATCAGCCTCGGCCTTCGGCTCGGCTGATAACACTTGCCACCTCATCCTCATCACATTATTATATGTGATATGAAAATAATAATCAAGTGTAGTAACGATGATGAATTCACAATGATCCAAGAGTTCCAAAAATTGCACTGACAGAATTATGAAAGCAAACTGGAACATTATAAGGAATGGGATGAGATTGGTAGGCAGTAAAAATAAAAGAAAATTATTTTTAAATGACAATGCATCAACATCATTCTAGCTTTGCCTAAATGCAAAAACCTTTCTCCACCTTGAAAATAGACAAGTTCTATTGATACGTGCAATAGCCTCAGTTAAATATGTTTATTTGATTCCAAGCCACTTTTTTCTACTTTTATTAAATATAGATTCCATGAAAATCTTCATGTAATTATTGAGTTCATTAATGAACCCTATATAAATGTTGTTGTTCAATTTGATCCTTGGCTTTACATGTAAATTCATTTTCCTTTGTTTCAAACTTACTATCATACATTACAGAAAAGAAAAATAAAATTTTATCAAAAGACAGAATATAACAACAACATAAATGAGCATGTCCCCTGTGACAGTAGACTCTTTATAGCCTTCTAGTTTTGGTGAAGTTCGGGGTTCTGGCAAATAAGTTATATCCAGATCTACAATTTTCTTTCTGCGCTAACTAACCAAGTCACTAAGAGGCAATGACCTGACAACATTGCTATATTCTATTCAACATTTATCATTTTCTGACATTACAGCTGCAACAATATTTTCCATTTTTGTCAATGATATAGCCGATATTTTGATCAGAGAGTTGTAAATACGAAAATTAACATTACATCACATGTAACTTAGCAGGATCCAGAAATTGGGCGATTCCTTGTGTTGCTTTTAAACAAAACAGAAACTGACCTTTTAAGATATATAATTATCATGATATCATACTTAAGTTTACGTGAAAGTTCTCTACAGGTTTCAGTTTTCTCTTCGTCATGCATTACCACAGTTCTCAAAAAAGTACCTGAAAATTTAATTTCCAGAAGAAACTTTAAAAAGGCACACAAACAATGTGTCTAGGCGGTAAATACCTATCCCATTCTTCTTTTGATCATTAATTTAAACTTCCTTACAAACAGGTGTCAAATAATGAATTAAAAGAGAAGAGATCTGACCATATTGATTTTCTTATCTAATATTATTATTTACCTGAAAGGATTTAAGTAATATTGTCCATTTGTGTTAACCAAGGTGTTAACCAAGGTATTTGTTCCTCTAATTTATGATAAAGCGTCTCAGGCTTTTTAAATCAAAGCTATCAGGAAAAACCTTCACAGTCAATTCTGACAGAGTTACCTTACCATTATGCAGTTTCAATGTTTACAGTGTAGCTTTACATTCCGTCTGTTACAAGAGTTTCAGAATACAGTTAAAAGTGCAAATATTCCATACACCAAAGCACAAGGATAGGCTACAAGAGGTTGCTGGTGATCCATGGCTAACGCTGTCACAAATAACTTTGATGATGCCACACTACACCAACCAATAACAACCGTGGTAAGAATTGATCCAAGTATTCCTTGAAGTGACATGAACAGCGAGACACCAGACAGTGCTACCATGGGAAGCAGACAATAACCCAGGACACTAATAACACATCCCACAGACACCCCAGTCATACTCATTAAATTAAGAACAACGTACATAGCCATACATCCCAAGGCGCTAAAACCATAAATGTAACCAAAATGAACTTTTCCGTGTAGAAGAAGAAATCCTCCGAACGCCAAACAAAATATAAGTGGTCCTGTTAAATCGGTGTCATCCATGATATGGGAATCAGTCATTTTGAGCGGATTTAAAACCGAAAGAGTTTTTTCCCAGATGTGATCGAAGTTGATGCCAAGTTCTTCAAGGAGGGGAGGTTCATCATCGAAATCGGTGACATGAGCTTCGTCAATTTGGCGTACTCCTTGACTCATACTACCAATGTAAGGAGAATAAGTCTGAGGTGCTGCCGGACCGTTAGCTGGATATTCGTAACTGTTATATCCTCCTGTGTAACCGCCGTAATTGTGAAATTGTTGACCATAGTTTTCTTGGGCCATTGCCGCGTTTTGATCGAAATTTGAGGCATAAAAACCATCCTGATAATAAGAACTGTCACCTTGATAAAACGGATCTTGGTAATTGGACATCGCTTAACTGAAATTAACACTCAAATACGAAAAATTTTAGAATGAATTCCGGTACGATATAGTCGATTATTGTCGATTTCTGTCGATTTCACCAAGGACACGTTGCCGCAATACTGCGCATGTCTTTCACGCGACTATCATCGCGGGCGCAAAATGGCGCAAAATGGCGCGCTGAGAAGCAAGACCTTCTTGGTCATGACTTTTACTGTTTGTTCACCTCAGACAATGCCGAAATATGATTATAATACTGTGGAGGACAACAATTTACAAACTTCTGTACCACTCAAGAGTGGTCGTTGTTTGAAGTTAAGTGATAAAATAGGCCGAAATATGCCAAATTTTCTATCGATCTCTTTAACCATTAATAAAAACAGTGTGCAAATCATGTTACCTGTTGTGTTTGCTGTCTTCTTGCTGAGATTCAAGGCCATAACGGTGGATAAAGATTGTCTCTGACCTGGCATTGTAGAGATAATAGGGTCAGAATCGTACACTACTGAGCGATCAACCGTGCTTGAACCGCTACATTCTTGCAACGAGGTACGTACTTACATTTTGCCTCTTCGAGTTGAAATCACAAAATAATATAATTAAATCCTCATTAACCGATCCAAGCGGGCACACTTTACTTCTTAATAACGTCAGACATCATCAAAGAGGAAACTTTTGCTCGAAACTGGGCACAAGATTCAAATACTGATACCCGCGCTCTGCTCGGGGTCTACGGTCAGCGGTAGGGCTCATATGAACAAAATTTCCTGCGATCCTGCAGCGAGTAGTTTGTCTGAAATTAACTCAAACCTTTAACTTAGCTATTAGCTTATCTATTTTCTTATCAAAATAGTTTTCTCCACTCCTCATGAGGATCCAGTTAAATGTCTCAAATAGCTTAGTAGATAGCCCAGGAGCAGGTTCTCCCGAGGGAACGGGGCTAATGGAGGAAAGAGGGGGAGGAGACCCCAATATCGTTCCTCCACTACAGCGCCCCAAAAGCAAGCTTTTTAAAAGACTGAAGATGAAGTTAAAGTACTGAGAGTCCGGGCTCCAGTAGCCTGCGAACAGCAGACGCATTTCCGGTCGTCGCGTCTCTCCCTCCGAAAAATAGCTACTTTTCGGAGGGAGAGAAGTGACTGACGACCGGAAATGCGTTTGTTGTTCGCAGGCTAGGGCTCCAGTAGCCTGTGCACAGACCCCCCCTTCCGCCCCCAACCCCCCCCCCCCCCCCCCCCGCAAAAAAAAAAAAGGGTTAGGGGAGAGGGCGTCTGTGCACAGGCTGGGGCTCCAGAAGAATGAGATGGTTCAGACAAAAGGTTTAGTTAGGCATGTAATTCCTTAAAAGATGTCTACTCTCAGTGAGGCCAGGGTTGGGCCAACGCTCTACCGTCCCTCTTTCCCCGCCCCTTCTTGCAGCAAAAAGTAAAAGTTGGAAAATGTCACTGCTAAAGAGCTTGAAAAGAAATTATTTGCTTCTGGTAAAGTTAACCATTCCCAATAATAATTAACAGTGTTTTATTGATTTATTTTTTCAACATTGGCTTTAATTTGCTGGACCACGTTCTTTGTCCAATATTGCAACCGTCTACTCTACTTTATCAAAAGACTGTGCTGTCGAAAATTTCATGCATTATTACATGGAAATGAGAAGAGAAAAATTGAAATATGAAGTGTTTTATTCCGGAAATGATAAATAATATCAAAAGGTTACAGATTATTGGACAATTAAAACCCGCAAAGATATTGATTAAAAGAATTTAAGTGAATAATGAAGTCCTTGGAAGAATTTATTTTAAATAACTTAATTAATTCTCAACAGCGTTGTTGATCAAATGTTTTCCTAGGGAAAATACTTGGCTAAGGCGCATGACCAAAGTATAGCACATCCCGCCGCATTCTTCCGTTAAACCAAGTGATTAGGGGCGTGCTGGATCCATGGAGAATCATGGATTTCCATCGGGTATCAGGCTTAATATTTGATATCTTTCTTCGTCATTAACAATCGACTACTTAAGGCTACACTGCTATTTAAAACTGTCATCTGATTCAGTTTTAATTTTACGTGACACGCACGAAAGTCACACACTTCCCCATCGCGCGTCTCGTGTCTGACGCTCCTCGCTCGCTTTGCGCTTGCGCCTTCGCTCACTTGAAAAACGCGAACAAACAACGCCTGTTTTGAGGGCTAGCTCGGTCCACCGCAGCCATATAACCGGTCAGCTGTCATCGTCCTCCGAGTTCCTTATTCCTTGTCCAGAGCGAGGCGGCATTATCCATCACAAGTTGAAGAATTCTTTACGCTTTCATTGATCTCTGTTACAACATGCGCATGGCAATAGAAAATCCAAGTACCTTCACAGCTATAATTCTAATGATTTCCTTGTGCAGATCTTGAAGAAGGTAATTGTTTTTGTCTCTATACTTAGCTCTCAAATGAACACTGGGAGGGAATTCTTCTTGCTTCACATTTTCAGTGTAGAACTTTTTATTCCCGGATATTTTGCTACGCACCAAGAGAGGTCAGTTTCTTCTTCAGTTCCGCGGCTTTCTCTCGTATATTTGGTTCCTTATCACTGTAGACATATTTAAGGCTGTCTAGTATATGCTCCATCTGTTCTTCAGTCAGTAACGATAAGCGAATGTGCCCTGGAGCAAAATCAAGTCAGCAAGTAAGTACTTATTGTAACTTGGAACTAGGAGTTACAACAAAGTTAATTACGCCTGTTTTACTGAAAATGGGTTTCACGTTATTACTGATGACTGGCAGAGATAGCCGTTTTGGAAAAAAGCCAACTACGATGACTCTCCGTTTTCAGTTGGCTTTTGCCAGTCTTGGATGATATCCTAATTAAAGAAGAAGATCTACAGTACAAAACTATTCAAAAACTTAATGAAACTATCCATCCTAGGGGCAGAGACTAAAAGCAAATTTAAAGTCAGCTTTTATGGAGTTGTAATAAAACTATTTATTACTTATTATTTATTTTTTTTATAAATTATTTATCATTTATTATTTATCTATTATTATTTATTTATTTATTTTTATATTATTTGTTTTTTTTTCGCTAAATTTCAAATCTTTTTCTTCCTAATTTAACGTTAGCGTGATAACTACATAGTTTCTGATGTAGATGTAGATGAAAATAATGCTTCCAAACTGTTTGCATATTAAAAACCCGTTGAGACGTTCATAAGGCAAACAAGCAAGCAGGCTTTTACCTTTAAGGGCCGAGTGTACCGCGTCCAATACATCAACAGCTCCAAGGCGTACTGCAGCATACTTTTTAACTTCTATATAAGGAGGAAAGCAAACAAAAAACAAACGTAAAATTTCGAGGTAACACATCAATTAAACAAAAACTCATTTGTGTATCATTTCCAAGCAGAACAACAAGAAGTTAGATTGGAAGAACATGATATTCCACAGAAGAAAATGTAGATGGTTAAAGAGTACGATTAAACGTTGTATCTTCGCAAACGATGTAACAAACCTAAACATTCACAGACGGGTGGTATGAACTGTTCAAGAAGATTTCTCAGCATTGTTATCCTGTCAATACTCTCCTCTCCTCCCCCGTCCGGAGTTCCATAAGTCCAGTCCATTCTGATGAGCAAGAAAATAAGTGAGGAAAAAATCATCATATACAACATGTGCAATGAACGAGAAACAAGCCTTTAAAAATAACAAACAAAAAATAAAAACTAACCTTTCGATAAACAACTTAATGGCCGCCAATAAAACGACTTGTACTTTCCACGTGTTTGAAGTGAGAGCAGTTGTGATTATTGAGCAGAAACGTTCTCCATATTTATCTGTGAGAAAAAAAAAAATGGTACAAAATAGAGGGAAAATTGGAGCACTTCAAGTCACGGTCATGATGGGCATTTAGACAAATATTTTATTGATACACAAACAAATTTACTCTACTCTTAATTTATCATTATTATTTTCATATTTCTTTATCTGATACAATGGTATTTACTTTAAGAGGAGTAGGAAGCAGGAGAATTTCTATTTTGATAATTTAGCTTTGATGAAAAAATGTTATCCTGTGTGCAGACATGTGTGTGACATAAAGTTTCGCATCAAATAGTCTCAAAAAACGTTCTCACTCATGTAAAGTTGTTTTATTTTCTATGCCAGAAGCAATCACTAATATCTAGCTATCCTGCATGTCAGGCGTTCCAAAGGGAAAGGAAAGGGAAATCGCGCGCGAGGGAGAAGGGAGGGGGGAAGGGGGGGCGTAAACAGCGTTCCTCACTTCCCCCTCCTGGCGTTCTCGCGCACCCGGATCCACCCTTCCTCTTTTAACGCCTGTTACGCAGGGTAATATCCGGTACAATACCATTTTTTGGCCTCTCGTAGAATAAAATTAGCAAGGAAAAGTTGTTAAAGTACTAAGAGGAAATAAACTTGAGTAATGATGTCCTTTGCTTATGAAGACCTTTCATATTGATTAACGGTATCAACTATACATCAAAGCATTTCATGTGCTACCTCTAGGAGGTTGACAGCAGTTTTATGCTTTCCAAAGCTGGGGGGAAATTACCCCAACAAAACATTCTTTCGCAGCAGAATTTACAACAACTTTTTCATAAATTACCTTGTGAGTCTACCGCATTTTTTGGCCATGACCGTCCAAGACATTCAAATGCACAAACTAAAAATTCTTGATTGACCTTTTTATCCTTTTCTTCCTCCTCCTCAATTTCGTCTTCATCTTCTCCTTCATCTTTTGGTTCCTGATGATTAAACAATGCACATCAAAGACGATTTGAGTGTGCAGCAGATACACACCTATAAACTTTTGCTAGGGCAGTAACGGTCCAGATAGTACATTATATGTAATTCTTAAAACACCGTAAAAAATTCCGAAAATGAGCCCCGGGGCTTATATTTTTCAAAGGCCCCTTGAGGGGCTTATTTTTGGAGGGGCTTACATTCGGAGGGGCTTATCTACGGAGGGAAATTTGCGTTTCAAAATCGATTGGGCTAGCCTTATAAGTGGAAGGAAATTTACCGGTTTTGCTTTGTTTTACTTTGTGTTTGAGGGCAATTTCCAAGTCCTCGGGGGGCTTATATTTGGAGGAGCGATGTAACGGAGGGTTTTTTGCGTTACGAGATTGGGGTGCTTATATTTGGAGGTGCTTATACATGGAGGGGCTTATTTTCGGAATTTTATTGCATATAGTACAGTAGGAACACAAAGCAAAGAGCCAGCTTTAAAGATAGAACTTACTGAACTATAGAATGTAATATTTTGGGTATTCTTGTTAAATACAAATTTCTCACGAAAACTCTCGTTATTTCAGAAAAAAAGGAACATTATTTTCAACTAAATTCAAAGGCGAGTGGATCGTAAAAAAGAGTTCAGCTCGAGGTTAAGAAAAATAAATAGTACGTGCTACTAGCATCTCGAGGGACAACGCAACTTAAGGTGATGTTACACGGGACGATTCGCAACGACGATTTTTAGCGCAACACCGCGTTGTAATGCTGGGAAAATGTTGTAACCATTCGAAACAATGTCGCAACAATGTTGAACCGCTGTGTTGCACTAAAAATCGTCGTTGCGAATCGTCTCGTTCAAGATCACCTTTAAACAATGAAGATACGTTGCTCCGGAGAAAATAGCGCATGCAAAGGTTTAATTTGGCACACAAAATGTTAATTTAAGAAAACAAGAAACTCACCGGGGCAATGATAGGAAAGAGGAGCTCTGATAGTTGCTGAAACCTGTCGATAGAATATTCCTGAACGATTTCTCCAAAGCATTTTAACGCAGCCATCTTATATGTGGGATTTTCTTTCCTACATTCCTTGTATATCGAGTCCAATACCTGAAGAAAGGAGACAAATTCATCTTTCCTCTTTGTTGACATCTAATAATCCTATTTACTTATCAACCATGTCAAAGAAAATAGAAAAAAAGGCCCTTGAAGGAAATTGCACCTTTCGGGCCGTCATTATAGAAAACGAGAATGCGTGATAACTAACGAGACGCCGATCAAGTTTGTCCCACGGAGCGGGTTCTCTTCAGCAAGGTATTCAAACAGGGGTCAGTAACTTCATGCCCTGGAGTTACCCTACAAGGAAAAAGCATTTTATCCAAGAGAGATAGGGTAGCAATAATTAGTTTGCCGTACCAAGCAGGTTCAACTCTCAATGTGTAGGCCACACTTGACATGCACGACGCTGAACCTAACCAGTATTAAGCCACTTTAATGAAGACGAAGGTATGAAGGAATGGTGAGGGAAGAGGTATTTTTCTTAGTCAGCGTTATCGAATTGCTGATGAAGTACTCAGGCCCCGGTTATTCAAACGTTGGATAGCGCTATCCACCGGATAAATCACTACCCAGCGGATAAGTATTAGGGAAACCAATTGCGCTATCCATTGGATAGATTTTTATCCTGTGGATAGCGCTATCCAACGTTTGAACAACCGCGGCCAGATCTACATAGGATAAATCAGACATTTCTAAGAGGCACAATCAGTCTTGTTATAAACAACCGTTTCATACTGAGCAATTTACATCCTTTGATTACGCTGTAGACCTTTCTGTCTTTTGACTCACTTTTGAAACATCAGGATCCACTTTAGGTGAGGACTCCTCCATGGGTTTCCTAACAAAATAAACGCTTGTTAAACATTCTGACCTGTATCATAACGCTTAAGCAATCTGAATAGGCATCTTATTTCTCCCCGTCTGCCTGTGCACTTTTCATTAGCAATGAGGTGGGGATAATAGAGACCATTTAGGCATGATGTTCGGTTTGTGCTACTGTGCCTTAAGCTACAATAATTGGTTTCAATGTCTTAGGATATGGATGAGCTCCTCCGGGATGACAACTCAAATTAACGCTAGTTGAAACATGTTATAATACACAACATACCTGCATTTTATACAAACACAAGAAACTGCAGATAATAACGATTCCTAAAAAAGAGATAATAATTTCACGACTTGCCAAGAGTGAAAAGGAGTTATGGTTATGGACAAGAAAAGAAAAGAAAAAGAGTCGGAAAGACTGTTATCAAAGCCCATACTTTTCCAGTCCAAGTCCTGCCAGCCAATCCGCTGACCAAAGCACCAAGCAACTGACCAAGGTAGGGTTGGGAAAGAGAGTTTCCTGAGTACAGAGAGGAAGGAGTGTTAACAGAGAAAAAAAAAGCAAACAAAATGAACGACAGAATAAACAACATCCCTGATGTCTCAAAATTCATGAGGTAAGATGAAAAGATTGAGTCTGTAGGCGAAATTTCCCTTCAAGAATTCTTTCGCTATCTTCCAGAGAGAGTTTTCGAAAACTTTCATCCACCAAAAAGGCATTTAACGTTAGTTTTAGCATGGCTTTAACTGAAAAAAGCAGCTCTTTTAAATTAACAATCTTACCAAGCTTCAGCGCTATGGCCGATATTGTTACAGCAGCCTGGGCCTTAGTTGTCCATGACTGTGACGTCAGTGCAGAACACGTGATCGAGACTATTTCATCTGAGTAAAGTCTTATGCCCGCCTCGGTACCTGAAACGAGATGCACGTGATCAAACTACAAACACATGATCATAGCAACGCTTGTAGATACAGGCAGAGTGGTCAGCGTGCAAGACCTGAAGTGAGCCAGACCCACCCCACCCAGGTAAGGTTGCTCTGAACACTCTCTGGAGTTGCTTGTTACAAGGCCCATCTCCCCGCCGACCACGAAGAGAATTTCATCATTGTGTGCCACTTGCTATACTTGTTTCTAAGGGAGTAACTCAGTCAGTATACATCTGTACTCGCATCTGAGCCGTTTAATCGTCCTAAGACAATAGAAAATAATAACACATCCTTATTACCTGCTGTATTTTCCAGCCAAATTTCTTCCCACAGTGACTCATTAGAAGATGTGCTGTTGTTTCCTGTAAACATAACCACACCTTAAACCAGTCTACACTGAAATTTGATGAAGTTCAAACTATGCACCTCCTGCTTTTGTTCCACCACCCCACATCTTTCTTGTTGGGGCAAAACTCTCTCGACAAGTTGTTCACCAATAAGATGTAAAACCTATTTATTGCAAGAACAACGTTTCCTTGCTTTGAGTCTGTTAAATGTATCTGCTTTGATTTGTTAAATGAAAAATATCTTTTTGTATCTTTGATTGAGAGTTCGTGCAGCACTTCCCAGTTTTAAAAAAAACTTTTACGTTCATTTTCATTAAATTAATGACGAAAAGATAGCGTTCCTACTCAAGTCAATTTCTCATACAAACAGAAGTAGCCCGAGGAAGAAATTTAAAACAGCAGCTGATCCAAATGTCACAATACGTGGCGTTAGCCAGCCTTTGTTAACATGATTTTATCAACGACAATGACTAGTCAATGTTACCTCCATCTGTCGATTCCTTCATTCCGTGCATAGCAAAGAAAACCGCTGGCAAAGCTTTAGCTGCGTGACGCTTCATTACATCCGGGGAATATCGCGACACAGCCTGAAGGGTAAGACCGCAGGCTAACCGCAGGCCTTTGTCTGAAAGAAAATTCAGTCGTGTATTAGAGTATTAGATAGGCGAGATGAAACAATTTCTTCACATCAAGCAGTAAAAGTTACCTTCTTTTTCAAAGTACCAGTTCTTTATTTTATCAATAGCTTTCTCTACGCTACTGTCCTTTGCGACCTGAAAAGCGATCAATTCATCAATTAGTCATATCTATGGCGCTACGTGCACAATAGTTATAAAATTCATGTAAGGAATGAGATTGAATGAAACAAATTTTAACGTGTTTGTTTCTTAGGTCAACACAGTATGTTGTTACCTTGACCAAATGTCCAATAGCTGTGGCGTAGGATTTCCTGACAGAAGCGCTACGATCACTTAATCCTGACAGCAATGCATTTAGAAGCTTTCCTGTTGGTTAAAAAACGAGGAAAAATATTATTGTATTAATATCCTCATTCATGTAAAATGGCCAAATGGTTAGCGAGTTCAGCATCAGAACTAGAACAGAGGTATACCATATCTTGCGGAGGTTATAACTTAGATGGGGAGAAAGGCGAAAAAGAATAATTCAGTTACATATTTAAGTTCAACAAATGTACTTTTCGTACCAACTTTGTTCGTTCACATTTATTAGTAACCGTGTGTATTCGTTCCAACTGGACAGACCATTAATAAGGTACAGAAACTGCTCGTAATAGGAGTCTTACCAGCAAAGGGCGTCAAATCTTGAGAACACTGCATAGTCAGGGAAACAACAAAACCGGCACTCCCTGCCTAAAAAACATTAGAATCGCGTTACTCATGTTTTTAATTTCTCATCTCAGCAATTCACTGTCAAAAAAACCTGACGAAATGAAGTTACCTTTGTTCCTAGTCCTATGCCGGTTCGCAACAGATCGGAAAGTCTGGGAACGAGTTCTGGCAGGACTGTACTGTCAACATATTGAACACACTAAAACAGAACAAATAATTATCAAAACGAGTTTCAAATAGCCTGCGAAAACATCCGTTTCTCCTCGCTCTTCGCCGCTGGGGACATTTCGCGAGCGGCGAAGAGTAAGGAGAAACGGATGTTTTCGCAGGCTAAGGTACAAACCGCACACATAAAACTGACATTTAACAATAATGTTAACATTCACCATGTTGATGGTTTCCATCATGGGAGACATTTTGGAAGCAGCAATTCTGACGCCTTCAAGCTGAGAACCGAAAAAAAGAGAAAAAGGCATTGGCATTTTGAGAAAAGTAGTGAGGTAACACCAACAGAAATAATACAAGAACAAAAAAGCCCACCTTTTCTTGAACTTCCTCACTTTTATGTAACTGGAGACTTAGATAGTTCATTGACTGTTGAAAAAGCGATCAGAAATACGGCGTTTGTACCTTGCGTTAAATAAAAATGTTTCTGGAAAAATATTTTGTGACTAGCATGTGCACGAAATGAATCTACAAAAGATTGTGAGCTTGATAAACTAGACATTCTTTGCGCAATTAACTTATAGAACTTGAAACTTGACAAAGAATTTCTGATGATTCTTTCAATCCGTTAGTCACCCAGCAAATTTTTATTGTTTGATGGATACTATTTAAAACAGTGTGCACAAACAGAGAAAAACTGCATTACAAAGTTTAACAATTTCTCTTCAGCGTTTGCAATAAACTGTCATTAGTATGTCATTAATTCTTTGTCTTCTACGCGTAACATTAGCACTCTCAAATGAAAACTGAAACACGCTCAAACCTGATTTTCCAAGCCACTCAGAGATTCTAAAAGAGCTATCACTAACAACGGTATATGAGGCTTTAGCAATGCACCCTGAGAAAAAAAAACAGCACTGCTAAGTAAAGCGCCTGTACGATAAATAACAACACAAATAATTAGCAACACTATACCTTCTTGAAGAAAGAAAAACAATTAAAAAACAACAACGTACCGCATTTTTGCTGATCTTCACTATTGTAGATAAGCTGTCGATAACGAAAAAATATTTAATTTGTTAGATGATTGTCTTCTAATGTTTCCTTCTGCAACTTTAAAGGTGCTCAAAATGATCCACTATCGTCCAATTTTGTTGGATCTAGCAACATTGGATATTGTTAAGTGTTGTTGCGTGTGAGGAGTTCAAACGAATCCAAAACAGTCCAACGCTCGGCCATGTGGTTGTACAAGTATCAACATGAGGAATACATTGGTTCCCGAGCACAACATATGCATGGCAACATGATACGTCAAACAATAGATCCTGCCACTCAGGGCACAATGATAAGGGCGTTGGCCATGTTTCCATCGTCGGGAAGATTAATCTTATTTTAATCACAAGAACAACACTATAAGCCATAACGTTACTATAGAAGTGTATTGCCTGGCATGATAAAATGAGAATACACCGAGGTTAATATCTGAGATTAAAAGAAACATTCTCCTAACGTTCATCTCTTTCTGGTGTAGCCTCCCCGCAGACGTCCTTTGGGGTTCGTTCGTCACGCATTCATTTCTTTCCCCACAGAGAGAAATGAATGCGTGACGAACGAACCCCAAAGGACGTCTGCGGGGAGGCTATTTCTGGTCCCAAAACGGTTAGATAGGCTTCTCCTATACCATTTCCTATTTCATGATTGATCATTTCATGCATTTTGTGTGTTTAAAGTACGTTGGTGTCTCAAAAAACGTAGTTATTTCAACGAGAATACAAGCTAAGGTAAGGTGAAGGGTGAACTGATTTCAAAGAACTTAAGTGCTTAAATGAAAATTTTCTAACTCACTCATACCTGATAGCTCGAACTTCCTCTGCTTTACTTCCAACTCCTTTGTGTAGTAACGTTGGTAGAACTAAAGCGATCGCCTTTTCACCTAATTTGCCCTGATTCACATCACAAACACGAATGGAAACCTGGGCAGACAAAATAACGAGGTTTAAAACCTCCCTGTTTACGGATATGACAAAATGAAATCACTCTATGCTGTGTTCCAAAACTATGGGGACAAAGCCAAAAGGCGTCTCATACACCAGGCATTAAAAAAGTCTAGCCCATACCTTACTTAATGTCCTACAAGCCACTTCAGCTGCTTGTCTTACAGTTTCCTGAAATAAATATTGTAGTACGTTAGAAAAGGTTTGGAAAACATAAAATGTTAAAAAAAAATTAGCAAGATACAATCATGTCTTCGCTACAACAAACGTCAACAAACCTTTATGTCATCACGTGCTCTGAAACACAGTTCCCAAAGTCTGGGGATCGATTCAAGCATGTCATCTACGGAACGACCGCTGAGAAGATCGCTCAGAGCCATGCAACTATGAAGAGGAAGACAATGAAAGATAGGACTGAGTCAACAATTAAAGCAAAAAAATCAATCTCTTCCCCAGGGCTTTTCCCAGGTAGAAAAGGAGAGGACGCTGGGAACGAGATTGCAGAAGAATTTGGCCCTTCACTAACAGGCAAACCTTAAAAGCTTCATTTTTACCTGGACTGGCGCACTCGCCATAGGTTGCTTTCTAAACTGGTCATCAAGTCTTGTAGTATTTCATTCACATATTTATCAACCTAAAAAGTACAAGGATAAAAGAACAAGTTACGAACGCAATGACATGTGAAAGACACACACTACGTTAGGCAGGCATCTGTGCAAATAAATTGCTGGATATCTTAAAACATAAAAGACTGAAATATCTTGAGCGATTTTGAGCTGTTTTACATCAGTCTTTACAACCGCGTATGTTGTTCATTCTACTGCGTAGATCATGTTCACTTTGATATCGTTATCCGTAGTTCAAAATATGATTCCAGCATTTCATATATTAATTTTCAATTCAGTAATATGTGGTTGGAGACCTTCGGGTTCCAAAAAGTCATCCAGATGACATCAAATGATCTTGGGAATTATCTCGTATTGTTTTTTTGGTGAACCGTTTTAGTAGCTTTGAGGTACATTTGTCACTACTAGTTCCTGTTAAGAAAGTTTTATTTAAAAACACACCGTTTTCTTTGTCTCTGGCACAAGGGCCGCCCAGATGCTGGCCATAGCTTGCTGTATCTTCACATTAGGATCGTATTGATACCTGGTAATCCAACAGTGCGAATGTCGTTAGAAATTTTGCAATTGGTTGGTTTTGAATTGCCTCCCACCATTCCAGCCGCCACTCTACAAGGAAAATGGTTACAAGCTTTCGCTGCAAAGATTTCTGATCATTCGGGAGACCAATATACTTGCGAAGACTTTTAGTAAATTTTGGCTCATGAGTTAACTGACATTATTGCAATACTTCATTTCATAAAGGTGTGGATTTGGTTCGACGCGTTACCGAGCTGTCGTCCTTTACTGATTTCATGTTTGATCATTAGAAGACTGGCCTGGTTTTTAATAATTTACCTGAATAGCTTTGGAATGATTTTGGGAAGGTAAGGTTCCAGCTGCTCTCTGGAGTGAGCTGCTATAGATGAGAATCCAAAAGCTGCACCCTAAAACAAAGGAGACCAAGAAATAAAACAGTTCAAACAAAAAGCGCTGTTTATTGTAGTTACCCGGCCATTCTACAATCGAACCTCCATCTGCGACCGACTTCTCGTAAGCAATTACCTCCCATAAGCGACCAGTAAAACTTTGCATTTTGGATGGTCGCTTACGGGAGGTTCGTCTGTACTTAAAACTCGAACCCTGTACCAAAAATAACAACTGTTGTCTACAGCATCATTAATGTAAAGGAAAGACTGTCATTAGAATGTTGCAGATACCTTACGGGAGTTCCAAAGAGCATTGTGGTTTGCCAGATGCATAAACTTGTAAACCAGATCTGGTTGGTTAAGATCACTAGCAATAGAACACAGCTCCTTGTACGTTGATAGTCCACCCCTACGACATTCAGCAAAATGAAAAAACAAACGGCCATAACGTAAGGATGAAAACAAAATAGTTTTTGTGATTAAGAAAGCATTCAATAAACTGTTTACCTAAATGACCAAAAGGCTATATCAGAAAAGAATTTAGAGACAGATGACCGCAATACACCTACCGCTCAAAAGCTCCTTCTTCAAAGATCTTGGTCTCACCAGTAACAGGCTGGTTACGTCTGAAAAAAATGGTGAAACACGTGCGATATTTATTGGTTCCAGTTACTTTATGAAAGCAACAAACTAGCAGCAAATTTCAAATGGAATGTCTACCACAAAACCTTTAAGTAAACCAAGCATATAGGAGCAAAAAAGGTTTATATAAAAAACGTCCTTCACAAAGTCACAAATCAATGGCTTTTCCGACTTTCAAAGTCAAGGATTTGATCCATGCATTGAAACGTTAGAGCCAACACTCGTTTGATTTCCAAGAATAACGAATATTGACAGACGAATATACTGTCCAGAATCGGTACTTAAGAAGTACTTTCCGGTCAATGTTCGGTTGATTTACCTTCTGCCACTTGCCAGTGTATCGACCAACAATGACACAAGTTCTTGCTTATTTTCTTCTCCACCGTGCTCATATACAAGACCAAGGCCTTTAGAAGCAACTTCTTGGGTAAGATCTGGATTACACAAAAACAAACATTTGTCTACTGAAACAACTAATCTGTATTTTCACAACTACAACTCCCATTCCTAAGTTAACAACCGACTTAATATCATGAAATAGGGCAGGTATAAAATTCTTTGTCGATTATGGTACAAAACTATACCCGAAGTCCCAAGATAGTGAGAAACTTAAAATATTTCAAATTTCTCCCTGTACCCAGTAGGTGATATCTGCCAGGGAGTGGAGGGATAGACCACTTGGTACATAGAGTATAAGAGAACCTATAGAGTGGACAATGTAAACGATTCTGTGTACTCAAAGGCACAGTCTCTTGATCCGAGCAAAAACCACAAACTTCAAACCAACTGCAAAAAGAACCCTCAGTCTTTGCTGACAAGAAAGAAGCAAACGTTGCGAAGAACGCCGTCATGACTAGTTAGTTTTCTAGCATTGAACAGAAGTACAAATCTAAACAGTCCTAGTGCTTTTAAACAGAAAATTTATTTAGTTCGTACCATCTGTTTCCGACAACATGTTCATGAAGACCATCTGAATTTCTTTGAGGTTTGCCTGAAGAAAAAGTTGTCAAACTGTCAAATGAGTTCCTATTCATTGACGGTGAGAACTGTTAAAAACTGACAAGGTTTAAAATTCTTACAAATTACAAGGCGAGCTAAACTTCAACGTTTGTGGAGAAAAGGAAACTCATTCTACAGAAAGCATCGGAGAGACTTCAATTCCTTGCGATCAATTTCATTGCCAAAAAAATACTCTTGTCCAAAAAATTTTGTTGTGCCTTGAAATTGACTGGAGCTTATAAGCTGAAAAATCCTCTCTCCCGCTGGCTAAAACATTGGAAGAAAGTGTCAGGTATTCTAAACCATTAAACTTAACTAACTGTATTAAATTAACCGGTCATAAGAGGAAATTTGATTTATTAATGAATAACAGAGCAACAAATTTGACTAAACCTGAACAACATTGTGATTTCCAGAATACTTCACGAGAGACAACAACCAGATGCATGAAGCCTTTTGAGAAAAGAAAGAAATACATAAGACACCACGAACAAAAATACCATAGAACACAATTCACTCAAAGATTTCGTTCTGTTGTATGGTAGCATTTGTTTTTGAGAAATGAAATTTCGAATTTTTTGGCGGGTTTGATTTTGCCCAAAATAAAGAATGAAACAACACAAAGAACAATCAATTTGGACAGAGACGATTTTACTAACCTGCCGAACATATGGGGCTGGGTTAGTGGCATACTTCTTGATAATCATGTCAATCAATTCTTGCATGGTTCCTTTCAGCTCTTCACAATCAGTGTTTTGAAGTTGTTCCACTGCCCACGGATCACGCGCAACTTCCGATGCTCGACCTGCCCCTGCGCATGATAAGGCCTCCCCAACTGTGAACTGAAGCTCTACTTGACGAATCTGAGGACAGCCACATAAAAAACGTATCCCGTTTAAAAAAGCATAAAAAATGATTAGCTATCATGTCTGATTGACAACAATATTGAAACACAAATGTAACTAAGGATGGCAAGAGCTACAACCCGTAGACAAACACCAATAACAACATTAACGCACATATCGTTTTCCTTTAGATTTCCTTGGTTTCCAAAGGCTGGAAAGACATGAAACAAAAGTAGGTCGTCATTACCTTAGAGGCTTCACACAATCCATCAATAAGTTTTTTATGATGTGGGAATTTCTCATCTCCAACCAAAAGAAACCCGAGGGCATGAGCAGCATTTTCCTTCACCTACCAAATAAAAAAGAACAGTTCACTTCACGACAGTGATGTAACTAAACCAACGTGAACAATTGGATATACAGCCTAGATACAGAAATAGTACAGTTGTATTGGTGAAGTTTGCCTTTTTATAAAAAAAGTTTATCTGGATAGTTTTCTCCCTATCGCACAAAAGGGTTTAATTCCGCAGCTAGTATACTACTTTTAAAAACTTTCATGTTTTCAACGAAGTGGGGCAGAGAGGCCTAGCTAATTTTTCTTTTCTGTGAAGAACCAAATACATTGCAGTGAGAAGAGCTCAGACACCTTGTCTTTACCTAAACTTATTGTTATGCTAATTACTATTATCATCATTTTTACCTTATTACTTCACCAACAAACGCGTCATATGAAAATAAGGACTGAGACCCAAACAATCATGTACATACTTTATTCTCTTTTGCCTTTTGTAGAGTATCGAGTAGCTTATCTACCACAGTCAACTTGCTGATACTTTCATCCTCCACAGGCGTTGTATTCTCTGACGATTACAAAAGCACAAAAACGTCACTTGACACCAAAATACGGTGGGTAGCAAAAAAAAAACGGGTCAATAAGTTGTTTAGGCTTTCCGACTCATTCCACTTTTTTGGGAGTTTCGATTCCTATTTCAAAGAATAAAGCTGCTTCAAAGGACTCTTTTGCCATATCATTGAAACCGACAACAACCACGGGGGGCGGGGGGGGACGTTACAAACCTTGTTCCATTGACTCTACTCCTGCAGGGAGAGGAAGTGGTCCATTACGTCCAATCTCAGCGATGGAGTTACAAGCTGAACAAGTTATTAATGCATTTCGACTGCTGATAAGTCTAACTGAAAAAGAACGAAAGACAGTTTTTTTAACAAGGCGCAATTGGAAAACGTTAAGGGCTAGAAAACAAAGGAATTACAGCTGCTTTTTAATGGTATGAAAAACATGGCCTGTGTCAGTCTCTCAACTAGACACCCAGGGACGTCGCAAAAACACGACACGCGTGACCTCTACTCTCCCCAGCCCCCGCGTGTCTGTTTTTGCACAAGCTTTCACGATCTCTGCAAATTTGGAACCTTGAACAGGAGGGAAAAAAACAGTGGCTCTTACATGCCCGAAGAAAGCCAAATTGTAAAAAAGGAAAAACCAGAGAACCTATACTATTTTCACATTTAGCCTGTGCTCGGCTCTTGGTGATTGCAGACGAGCGAAAAATTTAAAATAAGGGCGAGCAGTAAAAAAGCGAACCAGCGATAAACGGTGTGAACAGCGTCCCTCCCCAGCCCCCATGCGGTTTTTGCGTTCCGCGTTCATCACTATCTCGGAGCCTAGAACTGGCTATTTCACACTGCACCTTTCCTTTTCTTCATATCCTAACATTACCATTGTAAGGGATAAGGAACACTCTTAATCTATGTGTCTAACCTATTCTTTCTACGCTTTGACTGAGAAGGTCCATGCATCTAATGGCAGTGTCTGCAGATCCTTCGATTTCCATGTCTTCCACCAACATTTCACCTCTGTTAACAGCTTTTAGTCCTTCTTCATACAGGTATCGTGCTATGATGAAGCCGAGTGTACTCACTGAACCAAGTTGCATCTCAGATTGCTACAAATGACCAGTATATGCTAGATTTAGTCCAAAAATTGCCCAAAAAAGGAAAATAGTCACCATCACCGGGTATATTACTAGCGCTAAAGTGGCGTCAAGATGTTTAGTCTATCCCAGTTAGATACAATGTTAGATCCTGCAAGCTACAAAGATGGGTTCCACAATCCAGATCACGTCTGAACGAGTTTTGAGGTTTTGGTGTTTTTAAAGGCACAAGGTGACTGGAAGGATTATGACACATCTTTCGCATGCTTCATGTAATATATCAAACATGAGACGCAGTGTTTCATCACCAGATGAAACACCGAGAAGAGAGTTGAAAATACGACGCGCAGCGGAGCATTTTTGACGAACTTCGAGGTGTTTCATCTGGTGATGAAACACTGTGTCGAATGTTTGATATTTCTTCTCAAACAAAATCATTTTTGAAGGAGAAATTAAGGATGCAAATACTAAGCAGTGTTTCATCCGATTTCCAAACACTCATTAAACATTAATTTTCTTTGTATTTTCTTTCTGAATTATTAATGAGTTTGAGAAGTAATATATCAAACATGAGACGCAGTGTTTCATCACCAGATGAAACACCAAGAAGAGAGTTGAAAATACGACGCGCAGCGGAGTATTTTTGACGAACTTCGAGGTGTTTCATCTGGTGATGAAACACTGTGTCGAATGTTTGATATTTCTTCTCAAACAAAATCATTTTTGAAGAGAAATTAAGGATGCAAATACTGAGCAGTTTTTCATCCGATTTCCAAACACTCATTAAACATTAATTTTCTTTGTATTTTCTTTCTGAATTATTAATGAGTTTGAGAAGCGCAGTTCACATATATGTTTATCGATATCTTCAAATTGTCTTTTCATTTAATTTTCAGTTGAACACTATACAGTCTTATATTTAATTATTTAATGAAAGCTTTCGTAAATAAAGATAGTCGCAATTATCTTATAGTTATTCAAAAAATATATTTTAATAAACTTTACCTCGCTATCAAGATCTTTGTTGAGTTCTTTAATCACATTTAAAAACGAATTCTCGCCCATTGTGCACGTAACAACAGCTAGTAACTGACCAGCGTACTGTCGGGCATCTTCTCTACTTGAGAATGTAAAACTCTACAAAATATAAGGATGCGCTCGATTAGTGATTGGAAGTGGCCATATCGCGACTTGGGCACCACTGAAATCAGCTAGATATGTCTGGAATGGTCTGCTCAAAACGATTAATAGACCACGCAACTTTGTCGTAGGACACGCGCTAACGTTTAACCTGTCTCAAGGTTTCTACGCTGTGGCTAAAAAAAGAACGACAATCACAAGCTAGTGGGCGCAGCAAAAGGTGGTTGTAGTGTCAAAGCGTATCCTCAAAGTTGTCCATACAGATGAGTTTCTCAGTAGTGCTGAAAAAAAGTACAGTTTATGCATACAGCTGCAAAACGTAATCCTAACTAAACGAAATCCTAAATGTGACCATTCAAATACTTTCCTTTCCAAGTGCTTTCCTGCGGTGCTATTTATTGTGCTGTAAATGGAATCTTAAAAATTGCCTGTTCAAATGAAAACTCTTTGTGACTTTGCTTGTATTCCCGCTTCTTAAAAAAATAACTTGCCTTTATCCAGTCAAGCTTTTCATGAAATATTCCAGCTAACAGTTTGGGTGCCACTGCAATGACTTGAAGAAGACAGCAAAGAGCGACAGCATGAAGATCAGCCCCTAAAAGAAAAGCAACGATTATCATGAAAAGCCAGCGATTTCGACAAAGTTCGGCGAGAAATCGTGTGCCGGGAAATGTTTTATTGATAAGCTACAGGAGCAAGTCGTTATATCTACGCTTATATATTTGTGCCACACAAATTGAGGGCCCTCGACGCGTTGGCCACAAGTTCAAAATGTTTAACTCCATGGTACAAACAAAACTGTCTATTTTTCAGACTACGCTAAAATATTGCCATTTTGTTGGCTTAGCCCATCACTTGTTCAGCTGTGTATACAGTTAGCCAGGATGGAACTTTTTTTCAGTATTCCTGAAACTCAATAATATGAAACTGTAAGCGAGTTCAAGAAGTTAAGTTACAACTACTCGGTACATACCTCCAATGGGCTGAAGTGCTTGTCTTGAAAGGTCAATATATTTTCCCATTGTACTTGATGAAAAATCTAAAACTCAAAACGTTAAAAATGCCTTTGAGTCTTAAAATTAAAAAAATGGCCGTAATTTTACACCAACTAACTAATAACGAGAAGGAACAACTCGTTTTGCAAAGATTGATTTAGATTTTTCTCATAGCGAGCATGTTGCTTCTTTATTCAGCCTTGTTTGCTTCTCTTCCACTCTATTTATTCCAAACGTCACGTTTTCTAGTAACAGATTAAAGTGATCACACGCACCTCCTGAGTCAGGACCCATTAACAGTTTTTTCACATATCGAGCGACAGAAGGAAGAATGCAGTTTTTGACTCTGTCCTCTTCAGTTACTCCTGCTGCGTGTTCCAGACATCTTTGCAAATACAAAAGAACCTGATACAAGCAGACAAAGAAAATGTCAAGTGAGGGCATCGGCTTCAAGAGTAACCACGTCATCCCAGACAAGTTGTATGAGACAAAAAACTGTCTCTGTTTTCTCTGACAACGTGCTCAGTTTTAAGGACGTCTTATTTACGATCTCCAGAACATTTAAAGTTTTAATAGAGCTCGTGGAGATAGCTTGAGTTCCACAACTTAGGTTGATCAGCCTTTCCAAGACCATATGGATCAATTAATATGCATACCTATCTTGTCAATAGCCTAAATACACGCGATATCCACCCGCGAGGAGAGGTGACACGCAAAAGGGAGACATCCTCGCAGGAGACGATTTCAGCTATATTCGGGTACTTTTGCGTTCGCGCTAGTTCTCGAGGCAAAAAAGAAGTGCTGGTAGTCTAGACTAAGCACTACAGTTGACATGCTCCGGATACTGTTTAAGGGGGGAGGTGAGGTCATTTCAAGAAGTTCAAGGTTTTGCCTCATAGGATACGTACATGCTAAACAATGAATGTAACCTTTTTGTACCTTGTGAAAATGTAAAGAAATGCTTTAAAACTGAATCACTAGTTGTTGTTTTTTTTTTTGGCCAATTACTGTAATTCAGATTTCAATACGTTTTTTTTGACATGATCATCTTTGACAAAAAGAGGAATAAAACGTCCTCATCATACTACTAAGATTACCCAACCCAAATAAATTTCCCTACCTGTGAAAATACAGGCGGATTAAAAGGTAGTGCAGTGGTACCGGCTGTGTAGCAATGTTTGCCTCGCAGTCTTTGATGGCTCTAAAGTTAGATCAACAAGATATATTACATAACATTCTTTTTCATAGTCCTTGCAATCCTTTTCCAAAACAAGTTCTCCAACAGTTATCTTTACGTGATTTCATGATGAAAGGATGTTGTAACTGTATGGAAAATAGATTTTCCCGCTTTTATTCTGCTAGACTGTCGTGTTTATTATCTTTAACCATGTTCTCTAATATATGGTCATTTGCATTTCATTCCATTTTAAAAGAAAGCTCGGTCAAGAGAGTAACTTTACGTTATTGGTAAGAGGTACCATTCTTAACGCAATTAAATTACTATTTAAGCAGTTTTCAGACTGTTCACAGTCCTCTATTTTTCCGTCGAGGTCGAGCGCTTTGCGTCACGTCCATTTGAAAATCAAAATGGCCTCCATTAACGGTAAGACGCGCTATATTTCGACGATCTCACGAAAAAATAGGGCACTGTGAACAGTCTAGCAGTCTTTCTTTGTTAAATATTTAAATGTCGAATATCTCCATGTGATGTCAATGCTTTGTACAACAGAGTGGTGATCAGAATTAACAACATGATCACAGAAAATGAATTTGCTTCATATTTTATCACCTTCTCCCCACTGCTTGTATAAGCACTGCATTTCAGCAAGAAATGAGAATTTCAAGTTTGATCTTAGGGTTCGTTACCTTCTGCGACACAAATGACACCAACTCAGGAAAAGCAGGGAGAACGATTTCCTCAGAGTTATCATTATCGGCCGATTCTTTGTCATGAACTTGTGACGCTCTTAATCCTCTTTTGGCTTCTTCTTTTACATCATCTTTTCTACAGTAAGAAAAGGTACAGTACAGACAGTGGTCAAGCTCTGAAATGCTTGCTTTGGCAGATATATATATAGTCTTCAAATATAAGGAGCCAGTTAAGGACGAACTGTGAACAGTATTTATGCTGCTATTGAACATGTCTTACTAAATTTAGCCGCTAATTGAAAATGATGAAAACCTTTTACACTGTGGATGATCCAAACGACCCATGTCATCAACAATTCACTAAACTTGAAAAAGGTCGCTATCTTATTACGGTGTTGAATCTTTTCTATTCTCGGTTTCAGTAACTTTATTCCATTTTTTGGTGTATAAGAAATGGCTCATCATAGATCCCTGAGGAAAGAAACTTGTTGCCAATTAAGTGGTTCTCAATTAATGACTTTTTATTTCATTAATAGGATGTTAATGTTACATGTACATGAGATTGTTTACGTGATGACTTACAGATCAGCCACAGCAAGCATACACACATAACGTGATGGTATGTGAGTTCGAGGAAACACAGCATTGGCAAACTGCACAGCAACAAGTCTTGCTTGGTGGGTATCCTTGCAGAAGAAAGGAGAAATTGATTATGACCACAAAATGAAGACAAATTTGTTACCACATCACTTGGCAACAGATGACCACATTTCAAGAGAGACTTATCAGCACAGACGTTTAAAACTGTTCTCTATAATTGTATGTATAGACTGAGACAATCCTACAGAAACAAATAACTGTATTGTCTATAGATACACTTGCTCTAAGCCTTTAACCCAACACAAGGTGCTTAGTCCACTTTACTAACAGCATGTTCTTGCGCTGCTGGTTAAAACATGATTTTTAATGGCAAGTCAGATCATTGGCTCTGGAAGTGACAAGTTGTTGTTGGTATTGTAAAAGGTAGGTACCTGCTGCACATAGTTAAGTATAAGTGCCTCTATGAGGGCTAAGATAGTACTATCAGCATTCTTGTAGGATGGGGCCATCATGGAGAGAGCTTCTTGTACTGCGAGGCGAGTATCAGACTCTTCCTGAAAAAAAAGGAATCATTATTAGGCCAGGATAACAGAGGAGCTTTCAATATGGTGAAAGACAGAGTCAGATGATCAAAAAACATCTTGAGCTGTCCCAACTCATCCTTGTCCTCACAGTAATATCTGCTCCTGTGTGTTAGAGCGGGAAACAAAACATGATATCCATGGATCCCTTGACAGAGGGATAGAAAAAACACCTTGCATAACATTGCTTAAATAAGTTCCTCATTATAAGAATCCTCAAAGAATGTTCAAGATTTTTGCTCAGGTCACAAGGCATTTATAAGCAAAACATTTTAGTCCTAATAAATTACCATGAAAAGGCATCTCAGTATAGCATAAATGAAGCACAATAAATACCGGTAACCACCTCATGGCAGCATTATCATACACTGTACCAACCTGGCAGAGAGCTTGGAAGAGCCTCTGAATAAGTGCAACATCTTTGCAGAAAAGCACAGGAATTCGCCTGATTGCAAAATAAACATAGCATGAGAAGCAAATTTGGTTTAAGAACTTGATCCTAGACATTGACGAAACTTTGAAAACTTACTTTGCCAGTTTTCCAATTGCTGTGTATGCCAACCTCCTTAGTTTTGGATCCTGCCAATGAACCAACAAAGTCATTATAAAAGCTTTTACAAACCTTGTCTTTGGGTCATATTGAGTATTTTGGGATTCTGCCTGAGATACACACTGCAGAACATTTATTGTTTATTGTACCGTCATGATCTTAGAGTACTGAACAAACACAAAATACATTAAGAAACAGTGAGTTTTCTCTCTCTCAAACCTGTTTATCCTCACTGATAAGTTTAGTCATTCCATTAAGAAGCACAGGACCCATCATGGTGATAATCTTGTCTGAGCTCCACAAACACACATGGTGAACAAACTGAACAGCATACAGTCTCAGTTTGGCATTTGGCTCCTTTCCAAACAAACTGTCAAAAATTATCTGTTTAAAACAAGAATAATGTAAGGAAAAGTACACCAATGACAATTACGTTTCTTGTACCATATGTTGTGATGTTAATTCAACATTAAATCATGTATAAATGGCAGTGAATTTTTTTCCTTTTTTTCTTGTTTCTTGGATGTTCTGTCAGTTATGACTTGGTGCAATGTCATCTTCACTCAAATCGTTTGTTTTCTCTTGAGCTTCCTGACACTTGCTTTATTAATAAATGTATTATTGTTTGCACACATACATATCATGTTGTATTAAGACTCAATTCACTTCACATGTTAAAAATGAAAAAAAACTGCTATGAAAAAACTACAGCTTGTCATCAGAAAAAATTTCACAATCCACACTACCATTCAGAACAGGTCTGTGAAATAATTATCTCATCAAATGACAAGCAGAGGAAAGGCATAAAGGCCTTCACCTTTAGCCTGAAATTCATCTGATTGCTTCGAGTCGTTTTCTCCTCTCAACAACGTCTGAATCGACCGGCCGTTAATGCCATCCAGTGACGTCACTCACTACCCGAAAACCGGGTAGTGATTTTGATTGGTTGATTGTCTAAACATTCGCATAATTATGTATAATTATGAAAAATTTTAGCGGGATCGTCGCTTGATATTCAGCGGATCGCATCCCTGGCATTCTTTCGTGTAGTTCAAACATTTCGATAAGCTTAATCTTTATCTTAAACAGCAAAATTGCCTTTGCCTTCGAAACTGAAATGCTAAATTGAACTGCGAATGAAGAATCATTGCGGAGAGTCGGTAGGTTTTTCATTTAGAGCTGCTTTGTGGTTTCGGCGGCCGGTGATTTTGTTTACGCGAAGTTTTCTGAGGTCAATGTTATAATTCGACCTGCTGCTATTTTCACCGTCAAGTGTAATGATTCTGTTAGCTTTTCTTTTTTGTTTCCTTGTTTTTTTTTCTTCGTTAAGGACCAAATAGCTTCTTTTCAATTAAAGCAAATCGTTGTGTTTTTTAACTAAGTGTTGCGTGTGTGTGTTTATTTCATTGCGTGATTGCGACCGAGTTTGATTATAGAAATACAACCGGTTCAGAGTTTTACTGCATGGAGTTGATAGTTTGAACGTTAAACATGAATTACGATCGAAAAAATAAAGCAGTTCTGTATCGTGCAGACATTTCCAAACGAGATTTCTCGGTTTGCCACTTGAAAATCGTGTTTTACTTTTTGCATGAATTAAAGCAAAGGTCAAGGAGTAGTGACGTCACTGGACGGCATTAACAACCGGTCAATTCAGACGTTACTGAGGGAGTAATAACGACTCGAAGTAATCGGATGAAATTCAGGCTACTTCACCTTTAACCAATATGTAACTGTTTAATTGAAAGTCACATCTTAAATCCTTTAAGCCCCTGCAATATCCACATTCAAATTCTCCATACTGAGGTCTTTACGTTTCCTTGAAGAATTAGTTGAGAGAATTTGAAAAAAGATCAAAGCATTATCTCTTTGGTGATCATTTTTTCAATTCTCATAGCCTTTCCTACTGATTGTCCCTTGATAATGTCACAAGAAAATTGATGTTGGTCTCTCTTAAGACTTAAACGGTTTTAAAAGCAATATGGCTTATGTACCTGTAAACAGGCAGGAAACTGATCAGCAGCTTTTCTTGACCTTAGAAGGTATGGATATATTCTCTGTTTCAATCGCACTCCAGCGGGAGTCCTCCGATGATCAGGTGTCACTTCTGTTGCCTTTTGGGTTAAATAGCTATGTTAGAAAGGTATTATCGACCTTTACCAGAAAGATACATAAGATATCAAGGCAAAACAATACACTTCTCTGCCTGTTGATACACGATAGCAAAGTTTCTGAGCACTGACCCCACCCTGACCCTATGCCCAAATAATTCTCAATCCATCATGAGATTGTGGTACTCATGATGAATCTTAACTTCTCAGCACCCAGTAAAGTCACACTCCCCCTTGCCATCCATTTTCCACATTATGACCCTTTACAGTCTCGTGCACATACCAAATTCATTTATTTTATGCTCTTTGAAGATCATCATAAAAAATCAAAATCTGTACCTGCTGTGTTGATCCTGTTGTGGTCCCCTGAAAGATGCCAAACATCTTGCTCACAACTTTGGGATTCTCAAAGTCTGTGGATCTTTAAAGACAACAAAAGAACCCAATTAATTTTTAATTACAATCATTGAATCAGAACAATAAATTGAACAATAAAAGTAAGGATGGAACCCATAATGAAAGAGCATAAATGGCTGTGCGCAGCATTAAAGATCACTCTCACCTGGCAATTCTCTTCAGTTCATAGTCCCCTGTATCTGTTAAACTGTTGACAAAAATTACTTTGATCTATCAGAACAAAGGTAAATAACTATGTAAATATACAAAATGCCTCAACAAAACCAAGAGCAAATGCCATTAGGCAAACACATTCATTTGCAGTGCAAAAGTAATACAAAGTCAAAAACAATAGCAGTGTTATTCCCACATTTTTGGCAGTGTCTGTTCTTCTTGTTCACAGGATCACCTAGGACTCAAGGTGAAGGTTGTTTTGTGATCATGGCCAAGGTGATTCATGAACAAGACAGACAGATGCTGTAGGAAATGTGAGATCAAACATTTTTTCTATAATTTTATCCCTCACTCTTGATCAGATTTTTTTGTTTAATTTATTGAATCAACTGTTAGTAACAATATCATTAAGATGACTCTTGTACAAGGTGCTGCTATTGATTTGCTATGCTAATTTAATATACAGCTGGATTATAACATACCTATGTCTAGTGTCTCCAGTTGCAACAATGAAATGACAGAGAACATCAGTTGGCTCAAATAAATCAGAAGCCAGAAATCTGAGAACTCCAAGCTTTACCTGAGAAAAGAAAACAATAATAAAGTACAATCAAATTGTTTCTTTGAGGCAGACACTTTTGAAAAAATAAAATGGAACCTGGAAAAGCCCCAAATACTTCTGATAAATAGCTAGATACTCCAGTTAGTTTGCCTGGATTAAGAGAAAAAATTGGTATTAGCTCAGGAGTCATTTGGGGCATTGTCTTGCGCACCCAAAAAGGCATTCAAATATTCTGTACACTAGAAAAATACAAAAAGCACCCCTTTCCCTTTCCAAAAGAGGAGCACCCCAAAAAGGTGCTATGTTACAGGCAGCACTATAAAATTTGAAATATTTTTTACTATTCAAGGCAATTCTAAGTTTGTGGACAAATTCCAGAGTACATATTCTCGGTTTTCACTGTCACGCAATCAAAAATAAAATTGCAAACCATTCGATACAGAAAGTCCCGAATCTTGGAAATAAAAGAAGATAAATAAGCAAAAGACCTTGCCAAGAATCAGGTCTGTGCGATATTTCATATGCGAGATATTAGGAAAAACGTTTTACCCAAATTTATAGAGCTTTGTATGGAGGCGCCATGTTTGTGTCCCTTTGAGGGGCACAAATATGGCCGCCGGAAACCAACAGAAACATCTGTTTTTGAGTTTTCCTACTAATGCGTTAATTCATCGCTTAAAAAAACTCATAAACTATTAAAGTGATATTTATTCTGACAGAAGGAATGTTTAGATAGCAAAATCTCCCAAAACTGGTAATGTTTTTAACCCACAGAAGAGCAGTCCCGGCCGCCAGCTAAATGCCGCGTCACGCAAAAGCCTAGAAATTCAAACGTCCTCTATCGCAAAACGAAGAACCCTTTCGAACCAAACCTCTGTTTAAATAAAGGTGTTTAGGTGCTGTAATACCTCATGAAACTCAGAATCTCAGAAGAATCGATAGTTTCTTAGTTTGAATTTTGATGACGTCATGTGAAAACCGAGAATATAATGTCTAATACATATTATCACCTGTTCCAGTGTGTTAGGCTCCAATGGCGAGTCTGCAGTGACACGTTTTACCGCTGCTATACTCAGCCCTGGAGGAGCTACTGACTGAGAAGTCATAGCTGAAGACTGCTCTGCTTCTGCTGCTGTGTTTGATCCTGAGGATAAATCAGTTGTAGATATTGGTTGCCTTGGTGTAGTGCTGAAAACAAAGTAATGAAAAGTATCAGATGAAACACAATTCAAAGTTTTGTGAAGACATAGGCTTAACTGTAAATGTAATGCTGAAACATAAAACACACCTTTAACATAAACTTTACCTGTATGGCATCAAGAGAGCATCTAAAAGAAAATCCAATAATATCTGCATGACTTCTGGTTTCTCTGTGAACTCAAACATCTTTTGTCTGTCTTCTTTAGATTCAGGAATCTTAACTTGGCCTAAAATTGGCAAAACCAGCTGAAGAAGGCTGAAAATAAAGCAAAGATAAAAATTGGAAGATTTACTGTATCAGGGACCAGTTATTTAAAGCAGGATTAAGATAACCCAGAATTAGTGGCAATCGTGAAAGTGGGGTGTCACATATCAGATAGGCATTGTGCCATAATTTGGTGCAGTTTGAACGCCTATTCGGCCCATCACGGAAGTAAATAAGTGGGAGTGAATACTGTAACACACTGGGTAAATATTCAAAAGCAAGGACTGGAATTTAGTACACCAAGCCTTGATCTTATCCATACCCTAAGTACCAGAGGTTTTCCTCGCATGTGGCGGGAATTTTTGGTGTTGGCCGAAGGCCGCCACATCTTTGGCCATATGCGGAAGCCACGAGAAGCAAAGCGCGGGTCACTATAAAGACTTGACAGAAACCAGAAACTGACCTAGAAAAGTCTCTGGCACCCAGGGTATCTTATCCAAACTGCATGTACTGGCATGATGTTTGATGTATGTGAATGACGTGTGCTACCCCACACCGTTGCTGTTCATACCACACAGATAGCTTTATGTGGTGCCACAAAAAGTTATCAGGTATAGCCTTATAATATAATATTGCATAAAAAGAGAACCCATATTAATCAACTCACCAGTCCTGTTGAGGTGAGGGTTTTCCACTGACGCAGCTTATTAGCTGTGGTGCTAACTGCACTTGTCTGTCAATTGGCAGTCTGGGGAACCCCATTCTTAAGTATAAGATGGCAAAATTCTGTGCAACAAAGAATTATCAGTCAATAGCCAGCATTACAGCCAGGCTTATCACTCAAGACCTAGATAAAAAAAAAACCTTGGACTATTATGAAAAAATGTTTCTCTTAAGTCTTAAATAAGTGCAAAGTTTGGCTGAACCACAGACTAGAGTCTCTTACTAGAGTCTCTTTTAGTTTTTCAAAGTTACATCTTCCAGTGGTTTGTTTGCATTTGACGTTTGTTTCTAAACTTCCCAGTGCTTCCATTGATTCTGATGCTGAGTTCATTTAAAACTATATAACTAAAAAACAAATCAAAATATTATAATTATTGTAAATATTATTTTTAGCATGCTACGACATTCATGATACGTGAAGAAAGAAACCAAACTGTTAACTGCAAATGCTGGCATCTCTTGTCACTTCCAGTAATGCAAGGGACTCCAAGTACTAGAAAGCTAATGGTTATCAGTTCTAAGTCTTTTGAGCAATACTTAAAGGAATTTGATTTTAATTTGTGTACTAATAAAACATTAATATCTACTTACAGAAACAAAGGCAGGAACTGAAGAATCCTACAAGATGATGGTCAACACATTAAATTTTGGGTTAACAAGCAACTTGTCCATTGAGATTAATGTTATTGCCTCAATTAGATTTTGCAGTTTACATTTCATAATTCTCTGTTAAGATTTGCCAAAATTATTTTCTGCCTGAGTAGAGGGGGGAGGGGAAAACATTTCTTTAGTTTACAGAGATTACACTCCGCAGTTATACCATAAGCAACTGAATCAGAGCAGATCAGAGGTCAATCCTGTCATTAGAAAGATACTACATATAAACTCAGGGTTCAAAATAAAATCACAGCTTTTAGCCTGAAATATCTGTAGGCTTTTTTTGTCAAGGCTTACTTTTTCCCAGCTGTCAATAATCACTTTTTTTCACTTTTCGCGATTTGCTTGTGTGTACTGCCACACCAATAACTTAAACCAAATCTGCCAAGAACCAATTGAAAAAAAGAAGGAAGAGGTGGGTAGGGCAAGAGTTTGAGTATATACTTGATACCTTTCTACGCCAGCCCCTTCCCAATTTGCCAACATCATTTTGATGAAAATGTTGTGGTTCAATTTTGTCCTTGGTTTCATTACCATACATTACCATACCCAAAAACAAAGGGAAATTAAAATTAAACCAAGGATAAAATTGAACCACAGCATAAATAAAAAATAATCATAAAATTAAACTCACTTGATATTGTGCAAATAGTGAATCGACTGGGAGTCGAATCTTTGGTCGGCTTTTTAAACGCTTGTTTAGATGGGTCAGCAAAGTCATCACCTACATTCAGAAGAAATGAAGCTTTTATAAGCTTGAGTTTAAGATTAACCTTAAATTGCTGCTGTGTCATCAATCAACAACTGTGTGATTCTTTATTTAATTAAAGACTAGTGATCCTAAATCTAACCATGAATTTTAAGAAAATATAATTACTGTCCTTTCATTCACCTTATTTTTGACTTCCTGGTGTGGACTTGCAACTTTTAGCAAAATGGGGCTCAAGAAATTCCCCACAGTTTTCTCAAGCTGGTCATCTGTTTCAGCTGATGCGATACGAAGGAAAACTCTCTCGAGTAGTTCTATAAATAGCAAACATTGGCAACACATTCGTTGACTTCTGTTTATCATTTAACTGTGACTGGTGTAAAATTTATCGGTGAAATAGTAGCAAAATCACTTACCAAGTTCATCTTTCGCGCTGGCCGCCATGTTGAATTATCGCGTGCGTGTTCTTTTGTGTAAAACAGCTGACTCAGGGTGAAGTGCGTGAAAATCGGCTCATCACTCGCGCGTATCCCACGCGAGTAAGAAGTCGAAGACAAAAATACTTCGATAAATTACTTCAAACGAAGAAAAATGGTGATACACTCTAGGCAAAGTCGGACTCAACGTTATATAAGGAAAAAATGCGCAATCAGAGCTCCTGAAGCAATTTCATTTAGGCCTAGAAACTACAGAGGTCGGGAGAGGTAAAAAAAAGCCAGGTCAGGTGTTTTGGTTTTTTTGGTGCATTTGTTGTTTGTTTGTTCACTCTTTCTTATGCACGTTCACGTTGATCCTTTCCCCGGGGGGGGTACTCGCAGAAAAATTGGGTAGGAGTGTGCGGCCCGCTTCCCAAAACCCTTACCCTATTTATGACCAAAATCTGCGATTTTCCCTACCCTATTTATGACCAAACCAAAAATTTGATACCCTATTTATGACCTGACCCTTAAATCAATACCCTGTTTCAGACCTGCCTTATAATTATTTCCCTAGTTCAGACCAATGTTAAAGGCAATGTTTATCTGCTTTTATTAGGTTAGGGGGACATGATAAGGAAGTAGCTTCTTCTAAAAAAGTGCATTCAAGACTACAGTGTAAAAATCGTTACCCTATTTATGACCAAAATGGCGGCAAAATAGGCAAAGTCGATACCCAATTTATGACCAAAACGGCTGAAAAATCCTACCCTTTGGGGCCGCACATACCTATATAGCCCATGTTAGGGAGTACCCCCCCCCCCCCGGGATCCTTTCCCTTGTCGATGGAGGGGTAGTCTGCTACACAGCCGTTTTTAGAGTCGTCACGCAACAGGGAGGAGCGTTGCGTGACGACACTAAAAACGGCTGTGTAACAAACTAATGGCGGGGATGGAGGGGTGGATATTGGATGGATAGAGGTTCATGCAGTTGTCACGTGCAAACATGTAATGACTGAGTTCTTATTTCGTAACGCGGACCTTCCTGGTACGCTAGTCCAGTTTTATTTCAGCTGATTTTTAGCACGAAACTCTTTCACACTCAACAGCTACTCTTGCTCAAAACAGAACTGGCCGTTGTGTGAAAAAATGAGTTCTCCCAACTCTTCCCCGCCAGATGCAAATTTCCGGAAACGCTCCGTCGCGCGTTCTTACTCCAGTGAACTGGGTACCGTCAGTGAATCTGGCGAAGAAGAAGATTGCTTGTGTACGGGCACGTATTTATCAGATATGAACGAGAATTCTGTGTTCGATCGTTCGTATCCAGGTCAACCTATTCTTGATACAAGTTCGACATTATCAGGAGCACCAATGCAAAGTATTCAGACAACGCCATGTCCTCGAGAAGTCATAAAAACAAAAATACGATACCATTTCATGAATCCATTTCAGAAATTTCGAGCAAGGCGCAGAAAACCTTGGAAGTTGGTAGTTCAGATTGTGAAAATTGCCCTTGTTACTCTTCAGGTGAGTATCAAATATTCTTTATTCCCATCTCCTAGCGGTTTTATTATGCATGCGTTTTTTTTTATTATTGTTATTATTTTTAACAACGTAACTTAAAAAGTTTATTTGCTTGCGTATAAAGAGGTTTGTCTAACGTTTAATATTGAACAGATTTTTTTGAAAGCGTTTGAGCGGACGACGAACGGATAGGACCGTGTTGCCGTTCACATGACTACAGTCGACCCTCAACTCTATTGTCCCAAGGGTGACCAACGTCAGTTTTCTCCTAACAATAATCAATACATCATGAAAAGAATAGGTCATGGGAGATGTAAAAAATAAATTGTCCAACGAGGGAAATTCTTTAATATAATTTTAATCAAATAGATGTATGGACATCAGTCTGGAGAATTTGTGTAGATATTGAGGTATGAAGTTTTAAGACAGACATTCCCCCAAAAAAGACACCTAAAATCTCCTGTCAGGTATCCCGATCTCACTATATGAGCGCATGGTAAGTTATACATGTTGTATACCCCCATGATTTAGGATCATGTGTCTCATAGGGGTTGTTAACCGATGTATCGGCCGACATCGTCTCAGTCAACTGTCTGTTGACATATAATTTGATCGATATTTCAGTCAGATGTCGGTCGCAATTTGGTCGAGTCTCAACCAATGTGTGGCCCGTGGTCGCCCACTTTAGTTCATCAATCAATAGTCATCGCTACTTCATCAACAAGTCACTGGCATATATTAACAACAAAATGCAATAGGCCAATGCAATGGCAGATGCCTTGGTCTATTAATTGCTGGCTGACATAATTATTAGTTGATATATGTTTATTAGTCAACTGTTGGATGAGTACCGGTCGAGTCTTGGTCAAGCTGACTGAGTATAGACTGATGTATAGGCCATGCCCCAGCGACCAGCTTGTCTAGTATCGACCAATACCATGGATCAAGCCACCTATATATGAGACACATGATACACACGCGACGAGATTATAAACTCACTTCGCTCACGGCCTTTGGCCCTGTATCTAGAACATTCCCTATAAGATGAAAATAGCCTGTGATTTAGTAACTGATAAATCTGGTATCAACCTCAGCCGATATTTGTAACAAGGAATGTCCACCGCGTGTCATTTTACAGGTACCTTGTAACAAAGGAAAAACTCTTGGGTACAAAGGTGATAAAAAAATGTACAAGGAGTGCAGATTGTCTACTGACGCACTCTTGGTCACTAATACATGTACCTCACTGATACTTGACCAATGGTTCGCCGATACATTGCCAACACACTACCGATGCTATCATGACCAAAACTAAAAAGACCAACAGAAAGACACCACTTGGCCAATATATTGGCTGATTCCTCGACTGACAAAGGACCGGTATAGTAATCGATATATCAACGTACAGTCTACCAAGATGTCGGCCTGATTCATTGGTCAAATATCCGCTGACACCGCCTATAAGACAAGTGATCCATGGTTTATAAGCTACATATTTTATGGGATCAGCTTACTTTGAAAGGGAAAAAAATGTAGCTACTTAATTCTTGGTACTCTGAAGCCAGGAATGGCAAAAACTAATGATAAGCCTGTTGTCCAAAGACGTCTCCAGGAAATTTTGCCTGTACAGCCTACATCTAGCAAAGTAATGACTTAATTAATGGCTTACAGCATAATTTTAAGTCAGCACAAATCCAACATGTACAGGTTCAAAGTTGCAAGTTCTGTAAAATATTTTTAGGAAAGGTGCACTTGCTAGTAGATGTACAGGAGTATCCTCTTTAAACTTGTTGTTGTTATATCTACAGCCACATCCCTATTTAGGAAATACTAAACTGGTGACATGACACTTTTTCATCTTACCATAATATGAGAAAATGTCACCCAGGCGGAAGAATGCATCTTTTAATGTTTTCCTTACTGTCTGATGGTATTTTTTTAACTTCCAGATTTGCTTGTTTGGGTTAGACAGATTTTCATTGGTGACCTTCCTGGAAAACAATCAACTTGCTTTAAAACACTTGTTTCTAAAAGAATATCAAAGTGATGACAAAGTTGTTGTTTACACAAAAGACCAACTGTTCAATTATCTGCACTATGCCCATGAACAAGTAAGTCCCAGCCAACGGTAGTTGTGATTAAGATACATCTTTGAAAATAGGTGACACTAAAAATTATGCCCTTGTAATACACTTTCATCTGAGTCACATCCTTGTCACAACTTCTTGTCTCCAACTGACAAAATGTTTTGCCTTTTGCCAGTGCTTCGGAAAATATGCAAACTATATGGGCATAAATTTTCTTGTTAAAAGGTAAACTTGTGAAACAATAAATTATTGAGAAAAATAACAAGTCTACTGAAAGTTGACACATAAATTCTTGGTACACTCCATCCGAGGGAAGTTATATTAATATAGTCATCTAACTTACGTGTTGTTGTTGTTGTTGTTTTTATCACTTGACAGTATTATCAAGTGCAAAGCATTCCTCTTGGCACGTATAACTACACACACATGAATCATTCAGAGCCACCAAGAGTTCAGTTATGTTACAGTTACTATACAGTCAAAGGAAAAGAAAGCAACCCATTCGCATTAACTGATCCTGTTGTAGGTGGGTGTAGCAGAATTCCTTTCGAGGGGATTTTTGAGGTTGTGGAAAACCTTTCATACTTGGCAAAGTCTGTTCACAGTCAAGATTGGTTTTGTTCAATGAAAATGTTTGGAAAATACAAACAGTTTAACTCAGAAAATGATCATGTTGTACAACATTTGTGATATTCCACTTTCTGTAAATAATTGACAATTTGGACAAGGTTGAGCAAAATATCGTGATATCTGAGACACTGACAAATCACGATATTTTGTGATAACCGAGTTTATTGTTTTTATTATTGTTCGATCACAAATCACTCTTTGAAAGGTCAGTGAAGCAATCTGCCATTTTCACGCAAGAGTGATCACAAGAAGGAGAAAGCGTGGTTTCATTCACACATGAGAAGAATATAATTTGCAGCCAAATACAGTTGGATAACACTGTGCATTTAAGCAGACCATTATTTGCAGGCAATTATTTGCAGATTGTGTGGTGGGCTTTTGGCCAATGAAAAGGGAGAGAAATTTGCATCAAATGATAATGTTATACATTCAGTGAACAATGTTGAAGATTGATGTCAATTAGAATATTTTTGGTATGGAGAAGTTAGTAACTACATCTTAAGTTGATTTGTTTACTTGTTATTACAGATTGCCTCAATTTGCCACATCCTGTCAAACATGTCATAACAAACAAAACCTTCAATTTAGAAAGGTGAGACCCTGTTACCATTGTTAAGTACCAAAATTAGTAGGAGGTTTAATTGGTAGTTGTGCTGCTGTGACCTAACCCAATCCTAACAACTTCTCTTGTTCCTGCTCCTGCATCTGCAAAGTAAACCCAGTGCAAAAAATGGATCTAAAGTCCATAGGTTTTAGCAAAATCGTGCCAAAAAAATCTTACTTAACTAGTATATATATACGAATGTAGTTTTTGTTACTTTTTATTCGTTTTGCTGTTGCAGTATTATTTTCATTGTTACTGATAGATGTTTTCAAACTTTTATTTTTTTTAGGCTTCGTAAAATTCGTATGATGTTCTCATTACAAACAGTGAACTTGAAAGACGTTAAAGCCTGGGACAAGCCTGCCTGCTATAAACTAAGTGTTACAGTGAGTTTTAAGCTAATCATCAAAAACATATTTGGGAATCAATGTTTGTGAGCCTGGTGGGAGCTAGTTCACAGAACTGCAGAAGGAGGTTAACTTAGAATGCATACCATTATATAGCAATTTTCACATCTGTAACAAGCCTGACTCCTCATGTGTCATCACAGGAAACTGTGGGGATGGTGGTGGAGGGGGGCAGCATAGCACACCTTTACTTGTAGCTTTTCACTTACTTTGACATGGCACAGGTAACCAACCTGAAATTCTAAGCAGGGATCATGATTTGGATACCAATAACAGAATTGTGATCACTTATTTTGTCCTTTCCTGTTTTTGTTTTTTAGATTTTGTTTGATAATGTAGATCATGATGGAAGAATGCCAGTTAAATTGAGCATGAACAACACTTGGTTAGATTGCAAAAATGGGGAAATAAAGGGATCGAATACCATGAGTGAGTCGTACATTAACACATACACACATACTGACATATGGTGAAAAATGTTAGTTTTATAGGACACATGCACCTGAATCTCTGTATGCCTTAATTATGACTTGCTTGTTAATCTCAGTTTTACTGAAAGGGGCATTGCTTTGTAGACTGCAAAACAGTCCGTATTTTTGCGTATTCAAGTACGCGCGAGCAGTCAAACAAAAGGTCTGGAATGAGGCTGAAAACAGAGAGCGAGACTGGGGAGAGACGCTAAAAATACGGACTGTCCGTTTTGCATACGTTATATTCGTTCGAATTACCCGCTTCTCCCAGCCACGGGCAATTCCCATTGGCTAAATTTCGATGCAAGCTGTCACCAAGCTGTCAAGTAATGTTTTCAACAAGTCATTCACGTTGTTCCCTACCGTGATGAATTGCTAAAGATTTCGCTGTGAAATGACGGAGGATGTTGATCGCCTGGATTTACTCGCAAGAATTGGGATTAGTTTTAAAAACGGAGCAGAGGGAAGCTTTGGAGTTGCTACTCAGGGGAAAGGATGTTTTCTGTGTTCTACCAACAGGATTTGACAAAAGCCTTACTTATCGGATGTTTGTTCATGCACAGAGTTCTTCAAGTTCCGTGCAACGGCCAACCGTCATTGTTAACTCGCCTGGCTAAAAAAGCGGGATCGGTAGGAAACACACGACTTTTACCTCACGCAAACATGCCGCTTGTTCTAATGAATTGTTTTCTCTGTCGAGTAGATTATGCTTTGGAGGAAAACGTTTTGACTGAGCAAATGTGAATTTTGGCCGCTTATTAAATATATTTCATACTGAGAGGTCGTGACACGCATATTGATTTCCTCTGGTCGGCATGATTTGCCCTCTGACTCAAGAGCATTTTCTTTCTTGGCCCCTTTAGAAATGTAAAGCTCTTCATTGCGGCTGATTAAGGGTTTTAGGTTGTTTTATTTCTCCGAAGTGCCTCCTGGATTTGAATAATTTGAAGCGATTTTCTTTGTGTCCGTGAATGTGTCTTTTTCCTGCAATGTTTTGTCACGCTAGCTGGGCCCAGCTCGTTAGCGTTTTTGGCAGGATTTTAAATTCTCACAGATAGCTAGATAGTAATTTACAGAGCTAAATCACCAAGATGTGGATTGGAATGAGGAGATTTACTCATTCTTTTCAGTCGCAATAATTGTTCATTGTCAGTTGGCGTGTTCAGTTCTTCTCTAATTTGCGAAAGCATCGCCGTGCAGTTTCCCGGGGCAATTTCTAACCGTTGTTCCGCACGGAGAGCAAACTGCTCTTGTGGAGAAATATTCTCCTTCCTCGAGGACAACGAAAAAGTTCGTTTTTCAGTAGGTCCACCCACATTGGTAACGCTTCCCCTTTTCTGGTAGGCGCAACAAACACATTTTCCCAGCTTATCCATCCATTCGTAAAATTGCCGAACTGTGTTTTGAAACAACAGCCGCACAACAATTTGTCCAAAGCCCTCGGCTCTTTTCGGCTTTCTCCCTCTTCGAGGAGCAGGCACAGGCTTTGTTGTCGTACTGCCACTTCCACTCATTTTTGATCCTCCACTATATATACTACATTTCACTATATACACTACATTTCACAGAGAAGCAACGCTAAAAACTGCTTTAGGATTACTGGATTACAGCGTCAAGATTCGAAGCCACACGCGCTATAATAACACGCTAGTCTATCAAATTCACAAAGAGGGCGGAGTTGCGAACAGATTTTTGACAGCTCGACGACATTTTTGAACCCCCTGGTCGGAACGAACTCATTGTATGGAAAACGGACAGTCGGTTTTTTTTCTCTGGGCGTGTGAGGCTCGCGCGCAAGACTCTTACGCCACACTTTACCGATTTCTTTACTGATTTTGAGAAAAAAACCGACTGTTTTGCAGTCTAATTGCTTTGTTGTGGTCAAATTTTTTTATTCGCTGCCCTACTTTTTTATTTTGCTTAACTGACCTGGGTACTGTCACTGACATTTTTATTTCCATCCAATAATTTTGTACCAGTTTAAAAATAATATTGTACTAGTACAAAGACAATTTGTACCATGAGCAAAATTGCATGAACCACAACATATACAGAAGCTGGGGGTAAGGCATTCCAAACTGGGGCAGTTATAACAGAAAAAGAGAACTTGTGCACATTAATGTCATACAAAAAGCATTGTTACTGAAATGGGTGTTGCACGCTGGCTCACATGACGTGCGGAGAGACTGTCTCACGTAGATCGTTAGGAAAAAGTATTTTAACATTGCCTGTTTGGATCTTTAAAACGTTATAGATTCTTAAATATCATGGAAGTAATAATATTGTTGCATGTGGATCTTTTGTAGAGGTACACTTCATAAAAACAGCTTTGGTGGTATTTGACGTGGTTGTCATATCCATGTGTTCACTTTCTCTTGTGTTATGTGGACGATCAATTTACAGATCTCTCAAGTTAGCCAAAGTAAGTTGGTAGAAGGATATAAACTAGTATCTGGGAAAATCAGCACAATACATGTATAGCATTCTGAAAAAAATTTAATGATGTGGCAAAACTAACAAGCATCTGAAGGATATGGATGCCAGCCACTAAAACTTGTCAACTCCCCCCCCCCACACACACACACACACACACACTCACACCCACCCACCCACCAAAACACCACTAGCGTGTTCGGCTGTATCTGTTCAACAGAGGTGTGAGGTTCTCAAAATTTTGTGGCTTTTGGTTGAACATGTCTCAAGTTTTGTGTGTGTTATATGATTAAGACTTTTATAAGCGTTTGATTTTGTATGCCATTTTTGTGTTTGTTTTGCGCCAATGAATTATGCAACGAGGGACCTGAAATATGTTTGATAGCAAACAATTTTTATCTTAATAAAGGAAGTTGCCAAGTTTTTCAAGCAAGACACAAGCCTAGAGGAATTCACTTTCTCAGATTACCAAGAGTTTGTCAGCTTATGGTTTTTTGTCATCATGACAAGTGACAGCCTCACAATTATTGGCTCAATATACAAGATGGTCATCGATCAAAGGGTGAGATTACTTAAAAGGCTGATTTTTATTGTACTTCTCATTTCTTTGCCCTTGAGTTGTATCAAGGAAGTTACCTTTTAACCCTCCTCCCCCCACCCTCATCAAGCGTTCCTGATGTCTTCAACAATTTTTTTGAAAAGTCAGTAGCACCTAGAATGCTTCCTGGTATCCACATTCGTCAAGAAATTACATGGTCAACTTAAGTTTTCCTAGAGTGTACTCAGACATTGTTTTATTTTTCTTCTCAAAAACATCGGTGAGCGTGTGGGTGAGGCAAGCGTTTGAGTGAAGCGAGTGAACAGGAGTCAAGGCAAGAACTAGCACAGAGCATGAGAAAAACAATTTTCTTCTCCCCCCACCCCTACCCTCTTCCACTGGCAGTTGATGAATCCCCCATGCTTTTATTTTTTATCACGCACACTTGACAGACTTTAAAAATAGAGGTTCTGTGAACAGACAAAAGTTTTCCAAATTACTTTTGTAATGTCTTTTATTCCAGGATAGTGATTACTATAATGCCTGCAGCATTTTCCTTGGAACAGCAGTGCTCTTGGTTTGGATTGGTCTTCTGAGATTCCTGGGATACTCCAAGAAATATAATGTAATGCATTTTCGTTACCAACAAGCTGTTGATTACTAGTTCTAAGCTATTGTTTTCCCCTCTGTTTAAAATTTATCTCTTGAGAATTGCAAAGATGACCCCCTTGTACATCTACAGCATACTAAACAGCGCAACACTAATGCACTGTTATTACAGAGTAACTTTCATTTGAATAACAAGATAAGTTTCACTGATTTTTTTTTAATTATCACAATAAATGAATTTTTTTTTTTTTAATTACAGACCTTTACTTGCAAAGCATTAGACATCCTTCTATTCGTTTTCTCATATCTGTATTTGAAAAAGGGGCAAACTGGATCAGCAAGTCAATGAGAAATGTTATTAGGTGGTGGGGTGGGGTTGGGAAGCTTGCCCATCTGTCATCTGTCCTCTCCCCTCCCCCCCCCGTTTTTGCTTTGTGCTTCGCTTTATTTTGTTGTATTCTTACCAGTATGCAATGAGAAAATCAAAGGGCCATGATCATGACAATCTAGCTAAACAGTATTGTTGTTTCAGGTTCTTTTGGTGACATTAAAAGCTGCCACTCCAAGTGTACTCAGATTCTTTGTTTGTGTGTCATTGTTGTTTGTTGGTTTTATGCTGTGTGGCTGGATTGTACTTGGACCTTTCCATCCCAAGGTGATTATTACAGTCAGTATGGTTATCATCAACACATCCAAAGACTGACTGACTGATGACATGTCATTGTTTTTCAAGTTCATTCACTGACTGACTGACTGACTGACTGACTGGTGACTAATTGATTACTGACTGACTGACAAATGACTGAATGACTGACTGACTGACTGACTGACTGACTTGACTGACTGACTGACTGACTGGCTGGCTGATTGACTGAATGCTTGACTTCTTGACTGCTTAATGGATTGACTGACTGACAGACTGATTGACTGGCTTATTGATTGGCAACTGACTGAGTGACTGTCTAACTGACTGGGTACCTGACTTCGTGCCGTTACTGAATGACAATACGAGCGACTACTGACTGACAAATTAATAACCTTTCAAAAACAAAATAATATTCTATTTAAAAGAAGTAGCAGCTGCTGCAGTGTAACTCATATCCACTGCCGATTATTTCATCAGCTCCGAGTTATTCAAAACACTGATATCTCAACAACCTCTATATAATTGGAGTACTGGTAGTGTTTTATCCACGATAAATTCTTCAATCACATTCATCCTTTGAAACAACCTGGGCTTGGTAGATAGAAGGAAGGAGTAGGATAGCAAATATGCCATAGCATTGTAGAAGGTTACGTGTTTTCTTGTTCTTTTCTTTTTTAGTTTAAAACACTCACTATCACTGCCGAGTGCCTGTATTCCATAGTTAATGGAGATGACCTGTTCAACACTTATGCTAAAATAAAAGAAATGAAGACACCCACCATAACATGGATCTTCAGTAAAATCTACCTCTACATCTTCATCGCACTTTTCATTTACGTTGTACTGAGCTTGTTTATTGGTATCATTGGAGATACATATGAAAGACTGAAGGTCAGTGAACTTCACACTTCCCTATGGGCGTTAAATATTAATTAACGTTCTTTTTTGATGTATCATACACAAAAACTGATCGATATCACTACCGAATACACAATTGTTTAATTCTTGTGCCCATAAAGCTTTTGTTTGCGTAAATCCTTTGAAATTGCTAAACTTAATAAGTGTACAACCGTCCCCCACCCCCCCCCCCCTTTTCCCCCACCTCTGTGTAGAAGCACTGAAATATAAATAGTCCCCCTACTCCTGACATCTCTGGAAAACCCCTGCAATTTCAGTATCGTATTTGATGAATCAGGAGTAGGTCAGTGAAAATAGAACGAATCCTTGATTTTTTTTCTTCGCTCGAGAATTTAAAAATGGATTTGATTACCCGTTATGCTTGTGTTTTGGGTCCTGAAATATTCTTAGTATTTGTATCCTGGAAAACTTGGATTTCAGGAACAAAAATCCTGTACTCATGTACTCTGCAGCTCTACAATGCTTACACTGGTTCACACCCTTTTGTCATTTGTATTAACAAAGTTTACCCTGTTTTGTTTCTTGCATGTTCTGTTTTTTTCGCACAGGATATGGGCCATCTTCCAGAAACAAAGGTAGAGAAATTCTTGCACGAACCAGCAAATATTGGTAGATCTGTTAATCAAGGGGAGTATACTTCAATACCATCATCAGCCGAGGCTGTTAGTGTACCTTCTCCTCCCAGCCAAAGAAAAACGACTCCTTACGGGTAAGAATGATTATAGACTCACACCTTGTAGACTTTACTGGTCCACCGGTTACCAGGCGTTTCGATACAAGTAGTTTTGATACAAGGTTATTCAGTCGAGGTGTAAATAGTGTCACGTCATTAGCTTCAAGAACGAAGAATATTCACCCAAAATGTTTTTCTTATTCACGCGCAAATTATACTCGAAGTGAACGAAATTTTTGGGCAATTTCATAGCTTCAGGTTGTATAGAAAAGGCTAGTTTCCGGTCCACCTTATATCATGTGCATGTCGATGTCACTTTGCAATACTATAGCTCTAAATTAGGGTAATTAAAAAAAACTTCATTATGATAAACAATAAATCAAGCACCAGTACTGTTCGCGTTAATTACAAATCAAATGCGTCCTTAAAAAGATAAGTCTATAACTTAGTTTTAAATATGGTTACTGATGATGATTGCCAAATGTCCGATGGTACATGTAATATGTTCCATCAGGAGAACGCGACGCTTTATGTGCTTTGCTCCATAATTTCGGTCCTCTCGTCAGTTTATGTAGCCTGCGAAAACATCCGTTTCTCCTCACTCTTCGCTTTACGTCCTCAGCGGCGAAGAGCGAGGAGAAACGGATGTTTTCGCAGGCTACAGTTTATATCGCGATACCTTTTCAGACTTGCAACGGACTCATCGAGCAACTCGTTGACAGAATGTACCGTTTAGTCTATATCGTAGTCTGATTGAATAGAGTCAGGATTTTTCTCGAATTTACCGATGTGTGTAAACCCCTTCCAATTTAAATTCCCTAAATGTAGTATGTCTGGGAATATTTCTGAATCCGGAAGAAATTTCCCCTCGCGTGTAATGTACCCGGCATGTAGCTTAACAGATGATAAAAGACAACATGCCTTGCAACTAGTAAATCCTGGGACAAACGATTGTAAATACACACTTATAGAAAAATGAAAAAGCTATTTTCTTTGACGCTGTTACAAATTTCAATGGAAAACCTACAGACCTTTTTTGTAAAATTAGCCATGTCTGATCTAGTTGGCGTTCAGTTCGGGTCCACTCCTCTTCTCATTTTTCATTTTCTTTTTCATTCTTCCTTTTTTTTCGTTTTGTTTTTTGTTTTCGTTTTCAGAAGGAGTCGTTCCAGTGGAACGCAAGATCCCATGATGAGAATTGTGTCCATTGACTCAACAGGAGTAGAATAAATCATGAACCAGGAAGAGAGAATCTCAGCATCGATTGTCTTCTCTACTCCGCAAATCAAAGATCGACAAGTTAGTGAACCATATGCAAATTCATACAGCTAGGGAGAACATCGATAAACATCCCCCAGAATTCGCGATTCTCCTCTTCAGGTTCACCCCTAATTAGCTGTCGTTTTTGAAAGTTTCGTAATAAAATGGAATATTGTTTCCAGAAGTATGTAAATAAATATGCAGTGAATAACGAGAGGGGAAAACCTGTGCAAAACAGTTCAAATACATTGTGTATAATTTATTAATGTTATCGGAGCAAGAGCGGTCATGTAAAAATATCTTTTGACTTGTGATTCAATGAATAATACGAAATGTGTTGCAAACACCGCTTTAAATGGGCACAAATAAAGGATTTTTTATAGTTTCACGTTTTGTTTGGATTTTTGTCGTATTCGATCAATGCCAGTTACCTTAATCTGATGCAATCTGTATCTTTTTTATTGTTAAGTCTCATCCTATCATCGTTTACGAAGAAAAACAAAGGGAAAACAAAAGGCCTTTATTTTTCTTCTTTTACAGATATGGACGATAGCCAAACCGGTGGTAGAGAGTATTGGGATAGAATTAATTGTTTGTTCTAAGCTTATTAAAATCAGTCTCGCTCCTTTGCCAAAACTTAAATTTAGAATATGAAATGGCTAGACAACATTTACAGTTGATGTAATCTTTTTGTAATCTTTTTCTTGAGATCTTTGTTTGATTGGTCTCATTCTGGATGTTGTCGGTCGCGTTAAATGGTTTGACATTTGGCTCCACTCTATTTCACTTAAAAAATTTCAAGTCCAAGCGTGTGCTGGTGATGAAAACAACAACATTGACACGTGCCGTTCGTTAAGTGTTATTGCTGCTGTGTAAGAAAATTTTGCCGGAAACGTGCCGGCCAAGAAATCTGATTTCCTTTGTATTTTTCAGGAAATTCGTTCGAATGAAAAGGCCAAGGCCGCTGTTATTTAACTAATGTTAGCATGATTTTGATTAATTGGAAAGTTAAATGCTTGGAATTGGATGGAATAAGGTTTCTGAAACATCTGAACTTTTTTTGGTCCAACATTTTGTTAAGGTCTTGAATCCACCTTGTACGTGGAATGATTCACGCTTCAGTGTCATGTAAAGGCCTATATTTTCATTTGGAATCTAACGAATAACAGTGTTAATGTTTGCAAAAAGACTTGTTTCTTTAGTTCGACAGCTATCTTTTTGCTTTGAAGACTGACGAACTAAAATATGGAAAAGCATTCCACAGGTAAAGAACTTTTATAGGCCTTACGCCCAGTCCTTTCAAAAGTTTTCAACATTAAGTGAAGGTTTGAAAATACTCGAACCAATATTGGGAAATAGTGCGTGGTATGCAATTATAGTTTTGAACTTAAGCGACGGCGACAAATCGTTTGCCAATTTTTTGTTGGGAGTATCAATTTCCAGGTCAACGTTTATCACTAATAAAAATGGAAATAGTCGTCTCAGTGTTTAGTCCTTGGTATAATTCTTGGCTTTTATCCCGTTTTGTTATCTCTTCCTCTTCCTATCTTAAAGCAAGTTCAGGGTCATCCTCATAAAAATACGAAACAAACACAAAACCATATCTCTATCATCTGACATACACACAGTTTCTGTTAATTGTATTGCACAACATCAACACGGATGAACTTCACCATGAAAGTAAATGGAGCAACTAGAGTATAGCTTGTAAGAGTATTAGTGTCTTAAGGACAAACAAAACATGGGCAACACGAAAATGAGAATGCTTTTAACTTTGATAGATCTCTAATTTTCTTATTATAGCTCTGCTTATTATACCTTCTCTAGAAACACGTGCTGAAAACGTATTCCGAGACTACTAAACAACGGAAAAGTACTGCCTTTCCGTAAGTTGTTCAGGTCACACTGAAAAATTTTATCCAGCATTTGTATAAGAGAATAATGTACAGTTGCACAAGAAACTAATCCAGAATAGTTTTGTTGTTTATTTCATTTTTTCTTATGACTGACACGCGACTCAATCTGCATGCTCGACGGTCACTACCTCCGGGTAAATACAGTACAAAATCCAACACCAATACTGCTCTGATGATATCATGAGTGTTCACACTAGCTAGAGTACTTCACCCGCATAATGAGGAATGTATGGTCACACCAAGATCATATCGACAGACTCGAAAGTGTAAACCATCTTAAACAAAGTAAAACGAAGTGTAAATCACTGTTATACAGTTTAATAAACAGGAAAACGCTGAACGACAAGAGCAGTCGAGTAAAGGGAAGGAATGCCTTGACTGATTCAATTGTGTTCTCGTCAGAGTTTTGAAACTAGAATCGCCACAAAAACGTTGTACAACCCCCGCATAAAGAAGACTGAAACACTGTTTCTTCATAATTTGACTTTATTGAATTTCTTATCAAATCAACCCAGAATCAGATGTAACCAAGGCAAAGCACACACATCGAGTATTACCTTAGGTGTTTAAGTACAGTAATTTCTTTTAATTCTAAATCATTTTGACGCCCTCTGGTGAGTGGCGCATTTTATAAGCCCCTCTAGGGGGCAATGAAAAATCAATCGCAGCAAGTCCTACAAAATCCTTCAGAAAGATAAGAAAACGTTAAATAAAACAGCTCAGTTTTAGCTATACACCTACATGTATAAAAAACGGTCAAGGATGGTGGGAAAGGTTCCGCATGTGAATGTTTGTTACAAGAATAAAGTTTACATTGTACTTTGTGTGTTCGTAGAATACACATACTGAAACGACTTCGTGTAACTAGTCCCGTTTCCCTTTTCTTCTCTGGAGGACTGTTGTAGAACATATAAAAATACAGCATTTCCTGCCTGCCTTTTACAATCGAAAACACTCAAATTGCTCAAAATTAAATTTAGTAAGAAAAACATAACTGTTTCTTATAAAAGCGAGCTCTCCGGTAGCTGTGTTATGCTTATAAAGTGTGTACAAAAGAGACAAAAGGGGTTACAAAATGCTTAAAAGAAGTAGAGACAATCCTGTAAAGATGGCGCCTTTTAACCAGAAAATAAAAACGCCTTGAGCTGGGAAAAGTAACACACAATTTCCAAGTCAGTGGATATACAGAAGACCGTGATGAACAGTAGCAGTAAAACCGAAGATTACGGTACAATATCAAGACCTTGGGGGCGTTGCCCATAACTCTCGTCTTTTCCCTCAACAGAGTAAGCTAAAGGCGCCAACTTTCAGGAAGAAAAGCGAATGAAAGATTCGTTCAGTACAGTTGCAGTAGCGACATGAAAATTTTGAAAGAGGTTACGGGAAAGAGGCTTACAATTTCGAAATTTATGCAGTATTGTTTGGAAATGCTTCATTTTACAAGTTGCATATAGATAAAAAATCAATTTATAATCAAACATATATGCAACTCCAATCTGTAAAACCAGAATTTCGTCGCGCGGTTTTAATAATGAAATAAATTCATCATCTTGCACAATTTTGTGCGATTAGCAAACCTTAACGGCTAAATCAGCTTCGTACAACAAAGCAAATGCGATAAATTATTATTCACAGCTAAAATCACTGCTCGATGCTTTTTCACGCCTAGCGTAAAGCGGAACATTGGGAGATGAACTCTGTAAAAACCAAAGATTATATGCCCCAATGAAATACTCTTTAGACATGCGCGTCTTACTTTACTCAAACGAAAGCCTAACATCGCATGTTAAGGAAAATTTAAAGCAAAATGTGGCTTACTTCTGTAACGAAGAAAGCCTTTTTGAGAGGCCTGAATGAGTACACCATACACCATCTTCAAAAATGCTTTAAAAAAATAAGCAAATATCCACCAAAAATAACTGAAAGAAAAAAATATGAAGTATTGCCAGAGGGATAACATTGTTTTGGCTCAGCGTATTCAAGAACATGTGAACCTTACACTCAAGTTAACCGAAAACATAATGGCAGATGCTCACAGGCTTCTCTCTTTTCACACTGATAGCTAAAATTCAAAAGGAAATTGATTGTAACAAAAACAAAAGCTTTGCTTGAATCAGCCCACAAAGACTTTGAACGAACAACAACGAAGCGCTAAAATAACAAACTACGAAAAAGCACAGCAAAATTGATCAAGAAAAACAAAATTTCAACAGACCCGAAAAATAGTTTTTAGCTACCAGTGTAAATGGCAAACAAAAATAACTCTTATGACGCATGCAAGATACCCGCTGGCGCCACACAAGCTTCGCTGAAGCGAAACAATGAAGGGAGCAAAGCTGCTTCCTCTTGCCGCATGGTAAATGTTTTACATCGACATGCCACCTCGCTTGTACACAGAGCCAGGACTTCCTGATGTTGAAGGTTGTTCTCCTTCGTCTTCAGAAGTGCTGAGAACCCTACCAAGAAATAGCAAAGGTGGTGTTCAACTCAAAGATGACAAATGAACGTAGCTAAATCTACAAATAGCAGCACTTGAAAACATTACTAAGTGGACAGGTCTAACTTTGAAGTTCACGATGCATGGGAGTAGGTTAGGAAAAAAAATACAGAACTAATGGAGCTAAAATCCAACAACTTTGCGAATTGCTCCTTTGTTTAATTTCAGTTAAAACTGCCACTGTAGCAAATCAGTGAACAGTATTGCCAAGACACAATTCACGATTTAATCGACGGACGTAAACTTGAAGGCTGGTAATGCTGTGCTTTGATAACTATACTCACTCCGCAATCTTAACTGAACTTCATGTCCGAGAAACAATCATAATATTTTATCCAGACTTAAAAGGCCGGCAAATAATTGGTTTATCGAAAATAGATGGTCAACACGTATTGCTTACAACGCAAAATGCATGTCAGGGCAAATTTTTGGCAGCTCTGTCGAAAATTAAGCAATGTTTATGATCGCCTTGCAGGGAATTAATTGGCAGACGTAAGAAGGAGCAAATACAATAACAAAGAACTTAACAACGCTAACAACAAAAGGTTTACAATAGAAAAAGGAAAGTAAAACAAGCTAACAAAACACAAACATACTGCTCAATAGTTCTCATGCAATTATTTTGGTCTGATCACGACTAAAAGTTGGCAGTAGCGGTCATTTTAACAAGGTTCACTAGAAGATCTTCAGCCTGCATCGCGAATGAAAACACGCTGTGATCTTTGAAATCACACCATTTGACACGTTTTGAGCCTTTAATTTGACAACAAAACTTGCCAACAATCCATTGTTCTACAACAGAGGTCGCCAGACAAGATAGCGACAATCGTACGATGTAAAGGTCGTGTTTACGTACAAAAGCATTGAAAGCCGAAGAGTAAGTTCATCTATAAGGACAAAGATCGTGTTTACGAAAAAAGAAACAGTTTATGAACCAAAAACATAACCTTCCGAGATGCAGAGAGAAAAAAAGATTTATTGTTTGAAGATCGTGTTTGCACTAACCTTGCAATGAAACTTAAAAACAAACAAAGAGCTGAGATATATTTGAGTGGTTATAAGACAAAGTTCAATTCACCGGAAAATTACGGCAAAAGCAACGCCCATCAGCGGACAAAAAATATTTCGAACTATTCCAAGGCGGCCAAAGTTCGAGCTGAGTAAAACAGAGGTTTTCTGAAAAAACGTACTTCTCCCTTTTGAACTGTAATATTCAAAAATACAACTGGAACTAGATTGTCGATTCTTTGGTGATACATTACTTTCTTGGAGTTTTGGCATAAAAACGTGATACAAAGTTGAAACTTTGACACCAATGTAACAAACAAACTGTAAACAATAAACCACTTTGTTTAAACTTTATGGGAGTTATCAAAGCAAAGTTTGGAAAACCGACCATGTTTAATCTTTTTTTTTTTTAACTAGTTAATATATCTCGTTTTCGTTTTTTGTCACCTCGTTGTAGATCGTTACAGATACGTAAACAACAGATCGTTTTTTTTTAATTGCACGATACCATTAAGTCCTCAAATGGGCCATCACAGACCAGAATTTATTAGATTTACTAAAGCTTCAAATCTTAATCTTTTGTTAACTTTTGTTGTTCCGCTCTAAGAGGTTTAAAAATAAAAAAGTTTTTAAGAGAGCACGTACTTTCAAGTGACCAGCTAATGGGTGAACTGTAAGAGCTTACGAAGGAACTCGGTACAAGGTACAATATGATACGAACGTTTTACCAACGAGGAAGAATTTTCACCAGCAAAATAAGATCACGATAATTTTTCACACTCACAAAAACTAGTCCATAAAAAGTGTTTAGATAGCAACGGAAACTTATTCTCCTGTAACTCGTACAAACGGAGCAGAAACTGGCCTGAAAAAGTTTAGTTTTAATGGAAAGTGTCAACGGATTACCAACAACACTACCAATTTCAACAACATTATCATCGAAAAAGACGTTCAAATTGTGATTGGTAACTCATATGAAAACTGACAAGCAGGATATTAAATCGTCAGATTCTAACTGTTTCATTTCTTGCTGTTTACTTACAAAGTATCAATATTCAGCGACTCAAACTTTTCCTCCAACTTTTCCTTGAAATCCAGCAACAAGTCATAAACGTGTCGACTTCTGACCTGAAAGATAAGAAAAATAAGTGAAGGTTAATGCTACCAAAAAAAACTGTCTTCTCTCTCTATAATGCAAAAAATCTCTTTCCCGACAAAGTTAAGTTTTGTCATTTCATCGTCAAGAAACCCTTTTTCAAACAAGCGCTACTGGATTCTAAGGACGCTAATATTGTTTAACTTACTGTTATGACAAATTCCTCGTCTGTGCTGTTTCTTGAGCTGGTTCGCCGTCTTTTAGCACCAGGTCCCCTGTTACCAGATCCTGTAAAGAGAAGAAAGTAGATAACATTATAGTAAAACTGACGTCGCACTTGAAACTTTAATTTCCTTTTAAAACATTTCTCTACACACTTTGCCAGGTTAAAATAATACACACCTTTTCTGGGGCGCTTTCCAGCTGCCTGAGATGAACTTGGTTCGCCACAAGCTGTTCTTTCATCAGATTTTCTGTCTCTTCCAGGACAGGCACAGACTCTTATTTCAACAACTCGTCGACCAAGAGTCTGTCCGTCCTTCTCCAAAGTAAATATAACTTCCACTGGTCTTCTGCTGGGACCAGAAGCACAGCTCGAGAAACACATGAACGCAAACATCTCTGTCACATATTCAGTCCCCACTACAAACCAAACATAAATAAATATTTAAATAAAAAATACTTCAATTTCAATTTGCCAGGTGGTGTTGTAAAATGCTAATCAGTCTAGTGCACTAGAAAAACCATGTTTTTTTATTATTACTATTTCAGTAATAGCCAGTCTTAGAACTTAGCTCTCGCAACTTCAGCTAAGACCTCTATATTGTATGAAACAGGCTGGCTGTGTTTCCAACATCTTGCCTGATTTCAATGTGTTTATATAAGAGGGTAGAATGATGCATAAAAAGAGGTCCTGGGTGTGGACAAGCCATCTTCCTTACCTTGTGGTCCATTGTATGGCAATATCACAGAGTGCCTCGAGGTCTCTGGACAGGTGTGGTAATGAGCAGCGGGGTTGTTACTGCGGATGAACTGATCCTTTGGAGCAGACCCTACATTAAAAAAAAAAAACACTTTAGCTTTTTGACTTGATGCTGGTCACTTTACACCCGTAAATATTCCCACATACGGCATCATAATCAACCCAAAATAAGCAAATAGTATCACAAATATTTCTCAGGCATAGTTGTTATCTTACCATCATTGGAGCTTTCCATATGGTTTGGACACCTCTTCACCACATCATGAAGGTTTGTGGACCCTTTGAAAACAGCAACGGCTCTCAGGACAGTGCCATGTGGTGGGGGCATATTCGTCTTGAATTTGATGGGGCAGAAACTGGCCAGATTCACATACAGCTTTTTGCACACATCAGAATAGGTCCATGTGGCAGATTTTGAAGCTGACTCAGTCAAAGGTCCAAAGGAAATCTGGAATCCCATATCACCAGGGTATTCTGATGTACTTGGAATAGTGGGCAGTCGGGAAACAACAGAAAACATGTTTGGAGGGGACATGGATGGGCCTGGGGGTGACGCTTCACTGAAGCTGCTCACCTGTTGAGAGAAATGTAGCCTTTTCTTAAGCAACAACGTTGCTGTTCTAAAAAAAGTCATACCTCCCTTGAAAAGATATCTTAAACATTTCAGAAATTTAAGCCTAACCTGGAATTTCCAGAGAGGAAATTGTGAGGGGGAAACTTAAATAAGCTCAGCCATATGTGACTGACACAGTTAGTTAATGCAGAGCCCTCCATGCAAGAGGTCCCAAAAAGGTGACCTCAAATCCTTGTTTCGACTTCATTCCTTTCCATGTAACTGTATATTTAAAAGTAACTTAAAATCATCCTAAAATTGAGCCCTGAAGGAGGTAAAGTGTGTGCACTATTGGTGTAAGGTTTGGCAGTCAAATGATGACCGTTTGAGCTACAGTAACTTTATAAAATAAGGACTCTTTACTTTTACCATCTTTTAAAACAATGAACCCTCTGTGGTGGAAATGTGGATTCTTTCTGGAAAAATTATAATTTACTTACATTGTCATAAGGACTGGTGTTGATGGGTGAAATGGATGCATTCCTATTCCCAGTTGAGCTACTCGGGGAGTATGACGTATGACCGATGTTATATGGGTAGGCAGGGGGATTTGAGTATGATGGCTGGGGACTGCTGGATGTCGGCAACTCTGATGGAGAACTTGTTATCGTTACGCCCTGTCCAAGAGAAGAAAAATAGATTTTGTATAAATAAGCTCACTTGCATAAACAGTTCTCTGATGTAACAATTTTATTGCACATGTATTTCAGTTCCTGTTGGCAGAGTGCCTCTGTCACACCTTCCATATAAAATATTTTTTCAAAAAATTTATTAAAAATTCAGTTAGTTAACCCTCTTAATATCAGAGGCGAATATCTGTAGTACACATATAGATAACTAGTACTATCTAAATAGTACGAGTACGACAATTCAAATGAAATGTTGCTGCTATGACTGTCTCACAGGCACAGAGTTTTCAGAATTTAAAATGAAATGAAATACATGATCTACCTGATGATTGTTTGTGTGAGGCATTCTTTGGTATAAAGTGGTTACTTTAAAGCAATTCTTTCCCTAATACTTTTGGCTTTATTTCATTTTTTGTAAGTAAAAATTTACACTGGTTTAATTCGCAAAATGTGGCACTTGCAAGCAACAAAAGCAAAACTTGAGATTTTACTGTCACAATTATTACTAAAATTAGCTCAATGTCCACCCTCCTTCTAAAACACAAAAATAGTACAACATTGCTCAATATTGCTACAGTGTACCACCTACTTCACTAACCAAAGAAGATATTGAAAACTCTTCACAAAAAAATTAAACAATTTTTGGCAATAAAATTGCAAGTTTAAGATCCTCTGAAGAAGACTGATATTAATGCATGATTTAACTCAGGTAATGACACAACCAGTGAAAAATCAAAAAAAAACATCCCTTGCTGATCACAGGAACTAAATTTAGGAACATTAATCCCATGTTATCCTAATTTTCCACAGTTCCTGGTGAAACTTTCACTAGTGTTGTTTAAAACTTATATTGTCTACCCTAAGGAGAAATTTGCATGAGATGCTGTTATATGCAAATCATATGACAAGGAAATTTACTCATCTCTTTCCAATACTAACATTTAAGGCCTTAATACAGCAAATAAGGGCAGGAAGAATGAATTCAATGGCTCTTGAACTATAGTAACGAAGTTGCTAACCTTAAGCACAAACAAGATAACATTCTGTTCACAATTATATTTTTGCTTACAAAGCTAAAAGCCGGTTGACAATAATGGGCGCAATCTTGAACTTAAATATATTTTGATTTCTTACTTGAAATTGTGGACCAAATCTCATGTCTCCTGCAGTAAAGCTCATTGGCTCATGGGAATCTGAAAAAACAACAAAAAAAGGAAGAAAAAAGTTAACCCAAGGACTGTGAAGGCCTGGAGGAAGTTATTGCGTATCTATTAATTCTACTTTCAAGTGCCTAAGCTGCCATCCAACTGCATCTTATAGAGTAGATTTTGACCTTGAGCAGATCTAGCTATGAGCAATTAACAAATCTTACAGTCCATTATTGTACAATTATTCCTTCATCAACCCTAATTTTGAAGATCTCTTTCTCCAGGGATTGCATTATTTTGATCAGAAGTCATCACAGTTGCATATCAAATATATGTAAATGGATTGTCAGACACTTTTAGACATGACCAATACATCAGACATCCACTCGGGGTGTCAAAGGTGTAATTTAATTTTCTGTCTTTCTTGTCTCGTGTTACTTCAGAGGGAAATCTGTACGGTAATAAAATACAAGGACAACAATACAGGCAATATCAATTTACGTCCTACAGACAGAGATTTTAGAGCAAAACATTACCTTTTGCTTAAGATTGAATTTTAGTAATTTACATTTTATATTGACCATGGGCAGGCAAACAAGAACTCTTGTGTGACACAAGAGCTCTTGTACAGTTCAATTTTGTTGGTAAACACTCATGGATATAACCTACAATAAAAATGCCGTGATTTCAACATTTCTTCTTTTCTCTCTCTCTAAAAGATGCTTGTAAAATATCTCAACAACAACATGTAAGACTTTTTATACATACCTTCGCCCATAGATAGAAAACTGCAAAAAAATCAAAACAAAATATAAGTCTTCCAGAAGTTAAAAAAAATACTAAAATTAGAAAGGTTAACAGTTATGGATTTCAACCACATCAGGCATTACACTGCTCATTAAAATAGCTGGACAAAGTTTGTTGGGTGACATAATTTGATGCCTCATGCAGATTATAACAAACTCTGTGCAGTTTTTTGGTTGTCACCCCAAAGAACCTAAGCCTTTCACTGAATACAACAGAAAATGCAACATTTCAACCTTAAGTAGAGTTGTGGGTCAATACTTCAAGTCAAAGATGAAGCTTCATCTTAGTACAGTACCTGTACACCTTAACAAAGACAACAAATTATCAAAAAACACATACAAAGAAGAGAATCCTGATGTTAGTAAAGTAATGCATCATACCTAAAGTTAAAATCTTTGTGATCTGGCCACATCTTTGATGGGAGTTGAACACCATCTAAGCTACACATTTTAGTTCGCAAAAGATATGTCTGTTTAACTCTAAGACAAAATACCCTGGACACTGCCTGACCTGAAAAGATTCTGTGCCATGTGAAGTGAAAGAATACTCAACACTGACTAGGCTTTAAAGGTTTGACTGGTGTCATCTAATAAGTTTACAATAATCACACTATAATGTGCCAAGTATTGTTTATGCGCCAACATTACACCAGTGAGGTACAAAGAGCATTGTGCGATTAACCAATTAGATTAAAATAAAAACAAAGGAGACAATACACACGTGATAACCATGCCAGCAAAAAGCTTATAAAAACAAAAACTTTGATCTTTACATAACAACTTGTCATTCTGTTATCTTAACAGCTCTTGTGTAATATCCCCAGATAATAAAATTAAAAGAACAAAGGACATTTGATCCCTCTGTAACTGCAGGGTGATTTCAGAAGTTCAACAGTCTGTGACTAAATAAAGAATTGATGGTAATTTTTCTTACTACAACAAAACAAACCCTGTAATTATCCTTTAAAAAAAAAATGCTAGAAGCAAATTAACATTAACTATCTTGGTCTTGGTCCCAGAAACTTAACATAACCACAAAAACTATTAAATGTCATGATCAGAGGTGGAGGGCTTTTTCCCTCTTTTCAACATACAGACAAGCACCTGTCAACATACTGCCTGTATCCTCAAAAGAGATTAATTTTGTTTTAGCAGATGCAAATAACCTACTTATAATAATCTTGCAACTCAACATCAATTAAAATACAAGGTTACAAGTGCAAACTACTGAAATGGCAAAAAGACAAGAACTCCTTCACAAAAAAAAAATTTTATGACAACACTAATTAAAAACAATAGAAACAATTAAACAGCTTATAAAAAACTGTGTGAAAGTGAGTTTCCTCAGCAGCTTTTATTGGATAACCAAATTGTTAAATTTCATTTTATAAACTAAAAAAAGGTTGCTGAGGTGTAGGAAGTGAAGGTTCTCTCCTCACCTCTTATATAAAATGAGCATTGAGTAACTATATGAAACAAAATGCTTTTTTGTTGTTAATGTTGTTTGTTAATGTTTGTTGTTGTTGTTAGTTAAAGCACTGTTGTTAAGGAAGAAGACAAAAAGTGGTGCAAATTATACAAACAATGATACAACCTCTTACAAAGACAACTTCACACACTTTTACTTTTTTGAAGGAAGGGCAAGAGACAGCATCCTAAGATTCTTGAGCTTGAAGTAAAGGGAATTCTCAAAACAAAAGTAACTCATTTCTGCTCAGTGACGATAATGTTTCAGAGAACTACAAATAGGACTAGGCCAAAAAACTAGCTGACCTTGCACTTTTGATTTTACGCAAGCCCCTGCAGCTGGCCCGAAAACTGACAGCCTATTGTTCTATTTACATCATACACACTTCAAATGATGATAACAACAAGTTTTTGCAAAACTTAAGTTAGGGAACAAAAACTATCATTGATTGACAGAATTTGAAGTTGCATGCCCACTGCTTTTTGGATAAAGTGTAACTTAAGCACTTTACGGCAGATTAAATCCTTTTACCTGTATCCAAAGTACAAAATAAAGAAACCCATAGGTTTAGTAGACTTCTAAGGCCAATTTTTTTTAACCAGACAAATTAACAGGATGAGTGCCAAAGTAGGAGAAGGATTTAATCCTTAAACTAACTTAAGATGTTTAACAAGAAAATCCTTAACAAGAACCACTTTTCTTGAATTAAAGAACAAAAATGTTACAACAGTATGAAAGCCAGGGCTTACAAAAAAATCTAAGACCACAGATTAGAAAGACTGATCCTTAAAATTTGTTACTTGTTGTTGTACTGTATTTCAAAATGACATTATATTAAAAGGTTGTGATTACTAACTATTGTAAGAAATGCCAACCTCTCAAGATCTTAAATCTGGAGATTTTTTCCCTCCCCTCAATATAAACCCAAACACACACAAGTCAACCCAGTTCCCATTAATCATAAATGGGTGTGGCTCAGGACATTATACATTGTCTTAAATGAAGTACAGACCATCAAAGGTTGTTTTGCAACTTTGACAATGACAAGGAAACTGGGCTCCATTAACTCTTGCAAAGACTTCTGGGATTGCTATTGGGGACAAGGAAAATAGCTGACTGACAAAATGCAAGAGTGCAAAATGCCACCTTACTATTAATAAATTTAGAACAAACAGAACAATATTTTAGACTGGGTAACAAGAATTGCTAGCATCCAGGTACTTTATTAACTTGCGAAACTCTATACCACTGATCAAATGATCTTACTCAACACTTATAAGACCACACCTCCCTAAAATATATAACCTATCCAAAGCAAAACTGCTAGTAAACCCTACCCCTGACAGTATACAGCCACACAGAGCAGAAACAGCACCCAACCCCCTCCCTAATGAAGGAAATCATGGGCCAGTCATACATTCATATTTAAATGATCACTTCTTTGTTTCTCATGACCTTTATGATTGGTGACTCAATGTCAATGTAAGGAGAAGTCAGGTCTTCATAAATGTTATGGCTCTAAGGGTTCAAGGACCATAGTTATCCATGAGGCCATTTTAGGGTGGAGGTGGATAGTGACACCTAAGTTTTATTTCACATTTTGATACGGAAATGATGTCATTTTTGCTTTTTCACTTTACTATTGAACTTACCTCCTACAGTGTCACAATAATTTTCTGAATCGAGCTTCTGACACTTTTGTCGCCACTAATTTGGCCTTATGTTTCTGTCTTAAGGCCACATTGCTTGTCACAGTTTTTCTTATCAGGGCACTGAACACTATAGTCAACATGCATGTAGAAAAGCCATATCTACCTGATTGTCAAATAAAATTTCACATTTCTTTCTAGAGTATCATTCGTAAAACTTATCACAAACACTATAAAAGAAGCCTGCAGAAACACAACACCGCTTTACTCAAGCTTGGGCTGGCTTGTATTATATTCTTAACCATTCCTATGAAATATAAGAAATGCACAAAGACAAGAGAAAAAAATTGCTGAAACTCGGGCACAAAGCACCAAGTAAGTACCACAAGTTAACCTAGAACTCATAAAGATACAATATCTGAAAATATTATAATACAAAATGTGACTTAGATGTGAGAATGTAGCTACACTAGCTTATACACTCCGCTATAAATACCATCTGTTAAAGATCTCAACTGATGTGAAGTAAAAGTTTCAAGCATCAAAGGAGGGTTGCACACTCCTGGCAAATTAGAAACAGTGGAAGAATTTCAAAAGTAATTTTTCACACTACTTTCTTCACATTGAGTATGTGTGACTGATCACATTGTAATCATGTGCCAAAAAATTAAGGCTGACTTTGTATACATACTTATTTAAAAATATAATAATTATTAAGAATACATTACAAAATACATGGATAAAACCTTTGTACAATTGTCATCATCGGCCTCTTTTTTGCTTTTTTTTTCTCACAGGAATTAGTGCCTTAAGTGTTACTATTTACTTACTGTCAGAGCAGATCATAAAAAAGGTTAATACAAGAGAAAGTGAAACTGCACCAAAAGAAAGCTGAACTTTAAACTTTAAAGAGATTCTTCACTTTTACTCCACACATGAACTTTCCACTGAAATAATAATATTATTACTATCAGTGGTGCAGACTTTTTTTCAGTAACTATCCACTTGAAATCCTAAAGTACACACCCAAATGTAGTAGAATGTTAACATCAAACAACAAAAAACCTAAAACGTTTGTTCCATGAGCTCACTCCTTACATCCAAACCTTTTATTGACCTTTTTGCCACAAAATGGCAAATTGCCAAAATGGGGAACTTAGAAAAAGTACAATATAGGTAACCTTATAATAACGACAACTTATACAGTCAGTTTGTGTTAATTAAACTGGGGAATTTACAGAGCAAATTTAAGCTCCATGTGTCACTTCACCAAAAAAAAATTATCTTATACCAACAACATCTTTTTCAAGTATTAAAATTGAGAAAATTACCTTCAAAGGAATGTCGCATTTGCAAAAAGCATGTACATATAACATACTGAAGCTTACAGTTTAAGATTTAATGATACATGAATGTTTGAAATGATCATTAAACTAAAGTGAAAATACTCAAATAATACTTGACCAAGACATGATGTAGTTAGTACAGCAGTTTTCGTAGAAACATTCTGCCCTAACCCGATTCTCTTCTAGCTTAAGAAGCTTGTACCGTACTGTTTTTCAAGTTACTTTATAACAAGTTTAAAAGTATTTGCATTTTCAATTCAGAGAAATTAGAGTTGTAGTTTAAGCAAGAAAACAAAGTTCAAAGCTCAACATCAAACATGCTGAACCAGTACCTTGAAGTTGCGTTTTCAATGACCTTCTGCATGTCGAGATTTGTATAAAACATTTTATACACCCGAGCAGTTCAGAGGGCTTCGTACAAACTGTTTTTTCTTTATTTGTTCCACTTCACTTAAATTGATCACTCCTATAAAACCCAAGATTTACACGTGTCCTTGCGGAAATGCGTGACAAACTAAAGGCTTGTGCGTGTACAATTATTGGATGCCAATATTTAAGTAAACAGCTGTTAGTTTTCGCTTTTTAAATGTGTCAAAAACGCAACATCTGTAGCAACTTGTATCTTTTGATTAAGAAGGAGAAAACACTGCTCCCTGCAGAAACAAGTTCGATTTGTTACTCAGTGTTACAGACAAAGGAAATCGACAACAACGACTGTAATGTACGATTTCTGACCAAGGAACATGATTATAGAATCGAATTACAAAGCCGTCAAAAAGAAAAATTCGGCTTTGTACAAAAATCAGCACACATAACCGTTAATCCGACGAAATAAAAATGCTCTTGAATTTGATGCAACAAACAAGTTCAAGGGAAATGAAAACAAGCCAAATAAATTACAGCAAGCAACGGGAAATACGCCATTTACTAAAATGATAAGCTTTATGTTCAGGTAGAGTTAGGCTAATATAAGATCATGACCCCTGTTTCTCAAGGAATTTAAGTTTAACATCGTTCACTTTTCTTAGAAAGACTCACCTGGAACTATTATCTCCCCGAACATCGTCGAGAAGGCGTTTAAACTGCCTATCGTTAAGACTGGAGATCGTCGGTTCTACTTGTACATGTTCCGCCATATTGACTTCGTTTTGTCTTCTAAAAGAGGAAGGATTTCAATGAAAAAAGGGACAGAGGCATGAAATTTTCTTTTAAGTATGTTCAAGGAAGGCGTTAGGTTACTGTGAAAACAACTAAAGAAATAAAGTTCTATTAGCTTAGCATGCAGAATCGAATTCCTTCACTCGTGCGTGAGTTCGGTCTTATGACATCCAAAATATCGTCACATGCACTATCGCACGAAAAACGAAGAAAAGCAAAAACCACAGAAATGAAAAAGGGAGGACATGCTTCTTCTGGAAGTTAGCAAGTGGAGTTTAAACTTTGGAAAAAACGCAAAACCTTTATGCAAAAGTCAACAAGGTAATACTATAATTCATGCCGATACATTTCCTGTTTAGCAAAACAATTGCCGTCGGGTTCGTGTTTATATGCAGATGTTACGTTCACCTTTCCTTCCGACAGGTACAAACGAAATGCGACATCATTCAAAAATCACAAGGTCGAGCAATAACAAAAACAGCCTCGTATTTCAAGCAAAAACAACAACCCAACAAATACAATATCGAGAAAGCTCATACAGGTGATAAAGTGATCCCGGACGAGGTCAACGACTATTCCATTCATATTGAAATCAAAACAAGTGATGCTCGCACTACCTTGTTCCTTAAAGCAAGCTTTCGACGATTTTATGAATCAGTTTCACTTGCCAACGAGTTTTTTGACCTTTTATAATGCTTTTGTATATATTACAACTGCAAGAGCCGAAAAAATTTGCCCAAGGAACTTGCTCGGCGCCAAGTTCAGGTGTGTTTACCGTAGGTTTGGTTCCGTAATAACAGTCTTGTTCGTATTAATACGGCTTCTATAGAAAGCAGTAAGTGAAAATGCTCTAAAATGTAGCTGCAAAACAGAAACTGAATTTGAAAGCATACCTTTCACTTTTCCTTTCTGAAATTAACAACCGAACATCGACCACGCGGCATTGACACGAGTAGCGGTAATCGAGTGAAATTGATGATAAAGCAGGAAATATGAGAGGGTTCCTTTTCACCAATCAGAGAATTCGTTTTACAAAGCAACATACGTTTCAACCAATCAGGATTTTCGTTTTATATTTTCCTAAGAATTGATTTTAAACCAATCAAAACAGGAAAGCTCGTAACTTCGGGGATTCCCCGTTTATGTAAATTTCTAGGTATATAAAGCAAAGGTTCCGAGAAGATAGCTTTGAGAAAGTTTACAGATTTACAATCTCAGCTCAACTACAAAAATCACTTATGTTATATGAATCACCTGATCGTATTAATTTAAGAGTGAAAAGTGAAACCGCGAGGGTGTAATTTAAGAGTCTTGTGCTTTTCATGTCCCAGTCTATCTCACATACATGTGCACCAAATAATGTCTTTGGTCTTATCTCTGCATCTGCCTAAACTCGTGGAAAAATCTTCTAGTTGTACTTTATCACAAACATGCACATAATCTGTTCCGGCCTTTTCAAGGTTTAATCTAATAAATGGCCTTTTTATGAGTGGTTTCAAATTTGTTCTTCTCCAGAGTAAATTTGCAGCCATATGTAAAAGCAATTTAATATTGACTTGCCGACGTATTCTTTCCTCCTACTCAGCACCTTATTATAATCATATTGTTTTTGATAACATGTGCTGATTAGAAATTAATCTGGAATTATAAATGAAAATTTCTTGAAGTTAAGATACTACTTCAACAAGTCTCAAATGTTGGGTATAAAACTGCCCTGGTCAATTATTTCATCTTTTTGCAGCGAGCAAGACTTTCATTGTTAGAAAGAACCATGTCTGTTAACTTAGTCTGCTGACTATCTAAACCTATGACTGAAATAAGATAGACTGACCAAAAATAAAGTTCATATTTGGTACACCGCTGATGGAAAACGAAGTAAACAATTACGCTATACAATTCATTCCGATAGTAGTACCTTAAATGAAACAAAGTGTTTGGATTCCTATACAATAGCTCTCTCATCCAGTGTTTATCCATCCAAATTATAGTCCTGTGGTGGGTTTCTTATCACAGTGTTCAGCACACCTTGTTCAGTGACGCCGAAAAGTGAATCAAGTCTTTGTCACAAAGAGATCATGTGCTTTGGGTACATGATTGTTTGCATACAGATATATGCACTCTAAAGAATCCTGAATTTGAAAAAACGTGATTTCATTTGGGGAGCTAGGGCAAGCCGCACTATATTTCCCATAATACAAAAGTACAGCTACTTACAATCTCCTTACTGAAGTAGTACAGGCTGCCTCAGAAAGAGCACTTAGGATACCAAGAATGACACCTCACGGGCTTAAAAATGTTGTTTTAGTTATAAAACTTGCCTCTTTAAACTGCTGTCACGCCTTCTCGCTCGAGAAAATGACATGTTTAGATAGTCGAGTGATATGTCAACGCCGCGGGTCGGCAAACTCAGAAGAGAGCTTTTCCAAGCGCATTCAATGAAAAAGAAATGCAATATCAGAACTTTATTTGATAATACTATATAATCCCGCCATTGTTTGTGCTCGTATGAAACCTGTGTATGGTAAATGAGAAATTGTTTTTCTTCTAACGTTTTGCTGATATTTGCACGCAAAAAATCAAACGCAACACCAGCGGCAATCTTTGCTTACTCCATGTTTACAAATTTTACCCTTTTAGGGACCGGAATGGTTCGGGGAATTAGTCAGTTAAAGCTTCGGCTTGGACTTTGAGACCGTAGCAAACACCTACTTGTTTTATATATCAGCCAAAATACTACCCGGTAACTAAAGCCAGCCACTGGCACCGAGAATTTTAAAGATGTTGGGACACACTAGAACATACTCTTGATTGAAAAAGTCACGACTATAAATATATAAAAGCTACAAAAAGTCTAGTTCCTTTATAGCTTGTCACACATATTGAAGGAAGATGTTGATTGTACACATGTTAAATCAAACCAGTCAATACTGCCTTATTAAATTCAAAACTAACACGACAACAATGCGGACAGTTTATATTCAATATTTTGCGTCAAAAACGATCTGAAACAAATGGTTTAAGGAAACCATACGTGCTTTTAAAAAGGTGGTAAAGTTATTCTTTAACTAATAATCACTGATTTATAGTATAGCCACTCGAAGCTGCAACAGCTTGAAAAAAAACAGATACTGGTTTAGATTCTTACCGACTTCCTCAACGTTACGATCCTTGTGAAGTTGGCTGATTAATCGAATACTCAACACTGGCTTATCTGTCCAAAATGGCTTGAAGAAGAGCTAGGTTTTGTTCTAATGGGACAGCCTAAATTTTGAGGTTATTTTTACCTTGACATTCCTCAGTATCTCCACAACCCCGGGCTCGAATACTCAGTAATTACTTAAAATATGAAAGTGCACAATATATTTTAGTTTGACAAGTTGTTTGGGATATTGGCACTCAATAGTAACAAGAGGTCTAAATCAGATTATGATCAAAGACTTTAAAGAGCCTAAAAATTTCCATTTCCCACACGCAAGCTAAATCTTTCTAGCTCCAAGATTGAATGATGACTCGGAGACAAAAACTAGTCAGTGATTTAAACTATCCTTATGTTCTTTAAACACGATGTTTTGTATCACTTGAGTGTATTTTTCCTGACTATAAAATCTGAGCAAGATAACTGAAATGGGTGTTTAACTAAAAAAACATAGATGTTTCAGTAATATTAGCTGCTGCTTCTTATGTCAATACTTTAGTGTGTGAAGAGGCTTAACCGGATTTAGCTCTAAGCACTTGGAGCTTTAGTCCAAACAGGTAAGGGGTGTTGGCTGACAATTTAACAAACACCACGTACAATTATAATGTTTGAGGACATGAGACTTTTTAGACTAACTTGTGTTTGAGACGTATTAACTAATTAGTAAAAATGCTTGTGGTAAAATTTAAATTAAATTGGTGTAAAATTAAAGGGGGCTAATTTCGTAAGGCTTCTAAACACGAATCCTTTTAAATTGCATGAAAACTAAACTCTGAACTTGTTGAAAAAACATGCGTGCAAAAGCTGTCAGAGGAGCTGAGTTGCTATAGATAAAATCGGAAGAATGTTATTGAGCCATAAACTTTTGGTTATTAAAAACGCAGTGACTTCGCTGAAGCTCTTAGAATTAGACTTGAAAAATCGAAGGGCAATATTTTCTTGCGCTGGTACAGGAAGAATTTTCTTCTGATGTTGTTTGTTTTCCAAGTTTGCTCAAGCAAAAATTAATTATTGTTGTTTTCTTCTGTTGGCACCGTCGGAAGCAAGAGGAAGAAACTCTTAGAAATTTTTCAGACTGTTTAGGTTTCCATCCCGGCGGAAACTGTTCATAGCCGCTGACTAAGTTGTTGGACGACCGGGGGGTTGTCTTTCGACTGATGACTGTCTGAGGTTACGGCTACAGAAAAACGTATTGTTCTGACAATAACCTCGTGACAATATCCAAAGCTGTCAAATATATATGTTTTCTATTTCTATATAATCTTTCCAGAAATTTAGATAAGAAACGAACTGGTCTCGAGAGATAAAGTTCGATTAAGTTTTATTAAGTCTGCCAATGCTTCTTGATTGGAGCTATATTGATTCCCTGAGCTGGTAAGCAGGAAGGTCGTCGCTTTACAAAAGAAATGCCTTTGTTTTATACTTTTAACACAATTCTCATTACGGCAATATCGTTACCAAATCGTTCACAATCCTTCCGGCTTGTATATTGGTATGGAGGGCTTTCACGAAAGAGTGCGGTTTCCAAATCAACAGCAAAAATAGCTTGCTAAAAAAGGATAGATTATGATGAATTAAAAATAAACTCGGTTTGTTCTGTTTGTTGGATGATGTCACCACGCTAGAACTTTGTACGGCGCCAGTTTACCTGCTCAGTTGGGGATTAATGCAGTATCGCGGATGCTAAAAACTGTACCATGAAGTACTTGGAATTTATCTACACTAGATGTTCCTCTGTTACATTTATTCAGATCTTTACAAACCAAACTGACCAAAAGAATTTTTAGTCTTTTCAGTGTTAAACGTTAGTTTGTTACAGCGAGAGCGAAGAAACGCGTGTCGTCTAAAAAGTAAAGTACGCTTTCAAAGTCGTTCGTCAGATGAAAGAATTAAAATTTTGGCAAGAATCGCCTGGTTGCAATATTATGCAAGAAAAGCAAAATTGTAAAAAGAAATAAAAAAGCTATTTTCGGTTGTTTATCATCTTAGATTGGCTTGTCTAATTTCGACACTAAAGTATTCGAAACTAATCAGTCTTTTGGTGTCTGTAATTCCATATATCGGCAGCAAGTGCCGAAAAATTATACAGTCTTGTTCTCAAATATTAGCCACATGGTGTTAGTTGAGAAAGGTGCGTTGGGTACCAAGGGCGATCAGGCCTTGATGATGAAAAATCAAGACTAACATGTCGATCCGACTTTGAACTAAATCTTTTGGTCATTTGCCTGCCCTTTAGTCTTCGTTCATATTATCCTCTTACAACGTTTTTTTTTTTCTTTTCTTTTCTGTTTGGCAAAGGTCGGTGAACATTGTAAGCTTTGCCGAAAACTTTTTTAAAATCAAGTCTCACGTGACAGCTTAAGACACAAGAACAACTCTTACAAACAAAGGAGTGGCTTTCTGATTAAACCATGTGATAGTCACAAACTTTTCATAAGTTTACTTAATTAGAAATTGCATGCATTTTGCCTGCAAATGGTGACCTCGACGAGTTCAAAGTAACTTTCCAGTACGGCGGGGAAACGTTTTTTCGGTTCTTGAATTATTGACAGATCGAATGTAAACTTAAGAACCCTTACGTAGTAGATCTTAATTTTAAGAAGTCTAGCTAGTAAAAAGGTACCTGTACGTTTGGCTTGCAATCGGGATATTTCGCAATAAGTCAAGCGAAAGAGACGGCATATCTGACTTCCCTTAAGTACGGAAGGGTATCCTCGACGAGCTCACAAAGCCGCTGATGCTGAAAGTAACCTTTTAGTGTGAGAAAATATAATTATTTCTTGACTTACTGAGTGATCGAGTGTAATCGTAAGCACCCTCATTTAAGACTAGAGTCTAGCTAATTACAAGGTACCTGTACGTTAAGCTTGCAATCGGGAAATTTCGCAATACATTTAGTGAAAGCGCATATTCCTCCCTCGCATATTTTTCCGGCACTTAAATAAGCTCAAAAACACAAAAAGGTGAACAATTTGCCACCGGCGAAAGGTCGGAAAATACGATCCGAGATTCTTAAAATTAATGCCTCGCAGAAGCTAATCAATTTTTATCTTCTTGCCTCTCTTTTTGGCCAAAACTGATACAAAAGTTGCAAAAACAGCCGGGAAAAGAAGTCCGGCGTTAAAATTTCGCGAACTCTTTCGGTAACGACGAGCGAATTAAAACTTTGCAACAGAATTTTGCCTGCCTCTCTCGATAATCCGGTCATCTTTCTCTCTTATTAAAAGGATCAAGAAACAAATTTATCATTATGCATAGCTAAATCATTAAAATACGCTTATATTGGTGGTGAGCAAATCTAAAATATAGTAGCAGCAGATAAAAAAACAATTACTTTCGTACCTGAATCTCAGAAAAAGAGGAAATTAAAATATACCAGGGCTACAATACTCTCTGAGAGCGTACGAACAGATGTTACTCCAACCCTTGTGATCGAAGAATAACGTGTTCAAGAATGTTTTCGCGATTGTATTCTGTTTAATTTTGGACCTGATCACGTGCTGACATTAAATAATTTTCCGAATCAATGATCATAGACCGGTTAATCATTAAAAAACAATTTGCTTATAAATACAAAAAGCAATATTCCAGGTGTTTTCATTTTACGGCCTTTAGCTCGGGGATTTCGCATTAATCGCCAGTCAACAAATCGTCTAAAGATTGCTTAGAAGCAAGAAAATTGCGTCTCCACGCTGTACCTCAGAATTTTACCCCGTAATATTCCGATGTCCTCTTCATCGAATTTGCCTAAGAAATATGTTTGTGCGGTTTATCCTTTTTGGTAGGTTACATCATTCGCTTGTTCAGTCACTCGTATTTTCGTGTACAGCGAGTCTGGGAGCAAATGAAAACACAATTCTTTTCTTTCACTTTCAAGTCTTTAACGCAGGAAACACAAACAAATTCAATTAACAGTAATGACCGTTTGAAAGATTTGGACGCATTCCACAGTACTAATTAATTATTCCGTTAATTTAAACGGCGAGACTGTTGTCCGTTTATAGTTCGCTATAAGAATATCTCAGTTGTTTACCGTGAAAAAGATTTTATCAAGTAACACTTTTTTAAAGAGATGTAATTTGGGAGATAAACAGCTCCACAGCAAATTTTTTTCTTGATAACTACTAATTTCATACTGTAGGTTGGCATAACTTTTCGGGATTAAAACATACAATTATTGCGGTACAAATGTACAATTTAAATAAAGTATCATATTGTCATTCCTTGGATATTTTTACGCCTGCTTCAAAATCTTCCATTTCAATAGAATATTGTAGATTAATTTGTTATACTAGGTGTCTAATTTGGCTTTCTGAAATAGACAAAAGAAGCGATTGTGAAAACTAGGAGCGACACATATGTCAATTTATTCTTCATCGTGGCAGATTAGTTAGGAAGCAAACCAACTGAGAGACCAAGAAAACTATTGTGACCCATCCTTCAATGATTTCTAGATATCCACAACTTGTATTTTTGTTCGTTATTTTTTAAAATATGCTGCTAATAGTGAAATATTCATCACAAGTTTTCTCGAAATTGCTGCAATCATGCCCTAAAAGTCAATTTATAAGGTCGAGTTACTGAAGGTCTGAAGAACACTTAAACGTTTTGAACACTAATGAACTTGTCTAGCGTATCGGCGCCAGCCCGTGATAACTGTAAGACTACATTTCACTGTGAAAAGAACTGTCCGCGTGACTGGTTTGACTGTGCACTTTTTCTATGCTTATTGATTGGTTGAAAACTTTCACACCACATCTTGGGGGAGGGTGGTAGGGCTCATTGACGGCTGGCACTTCAGAGACTAGACTAGACATTTCCTTGTGTTTTCCCACACTGTGCGAAAGCGCAGCACGGCAACTGATAACTTTGATCGTTTTTGACTGGCTCATTTGTCTAGAGGCGGCCGTGTGACAAAGGCACACCTCTTTCTCCTCCTCCTCCCATATTAAGCTAAGCAACCCAAAACGACCAATCCCGCAAAATGTGATGTGAGAGACATTGGCGTGGATCGGATCTAAATTGTCAAATTGGTGACATCCTAACGTGCGAAATGTCCATAAAACAAGCTGCTGAGCAGTGTTTTCAGGCTGCTTTATCTTGAAATTTTTTTAACATTCTTAACAGAACTCAACTTTAAGTAATTATTAAAGTTCGCTGAAAAGGTGTTGAGTGACAGATAAAAGAACTCCGACTCTTTTAATGAATGTCGTGTGCCAACTATAACATGATCGAACAATGCGGCACGCGGCAATGTACTTTTGAGAGTAATTGAAAACGAGTTAGATTTTGGAAAATGACCAAGCGATGCCTGCAAATACTCTCTTATGCCACGCACAAGGTGCAACAATAACAAAAAGATCAGTTTGCAAATGGGTGTTTTTCCCCGGCAATGAGAAAAATACAACTGCATTTCTGATAGCCCCAACTCTGACGTCTGACATAGATTTTTCAAAACTTTATAGGCTTGAAATTGCAGGCTTGTAGGCTTGAAATTGCAACAGATTGAGGGTAGAACCTCTTTGCATTTCGTAACAAATTGATAAGATTGTTTTGCGAAAACAGCAGTTATTATATGGAGTTTGGACCCTGAATTAATCCAAAGGAACAAAGTACAAGTGTTATTAGTCTTTAGACTGACGATCAGTAGAACCGATGATGACCGGCATGAGGTTGATAAATACAAATCTGCATTCCTACACTATGTTAAGTAAAACTGAATGTCATATTTTTTCTTTTCGTTTGAAGTCGCAATTCTAAGTACACGAGAAAAGTCAAATTTTGCCGAAGAGCCGCGGAATATTAAGCGTGTTCATTTTTAATTACACTTTAATCTCCTGAGCGGGTTGCGGCCTAAATTTGTCAGTTTCGAAGCTAGGAAAACAATACACGGAAAGATCTCAAAACAAAAACAAATAAGGCATCAATTAGGAAAAAAGGCCATTAATACGTCATCGGTTGGATCAAGGCCTTGGCGACTCATTAATCTTTCTAAGATGGAAACAAAGACGTTTCTAATATAAAATCCAAATAAAAAAAAAACTGTATTAAGAATAAGCAAAATGAACGCATTTAAGGGGGGCGACACAACACACCTGACTACCAACCAACTTTGCTAACTGAACGTCATTACTACAACTGACAACTTTCCTTTCCTAATACTTTCTATACAGTTGATTTCTTCCCAGATGTTTCTTTTTAGATATCATTTCTTTCACCCAGTATAGAACTGAGGTAACCTTACCTTGAAAGTTATTTTGGATGTATTACATTTTACTGATTTCCCCATCTTTGCATAAAGTCATCACAGCTAAATTCATCTGCTTAATTGAAATATAACAACCCCCCCACTCCTCCAAATTAATATAATAAACTGTGTTGGTGTATGATCTCCTTTAGGGATCAAATAAACCCTGAGCCACACCCCTGAGACAGGTCTCTTCTTTTATGGGTTGGTTTCTTTCTTTTCTTTTTTTTTTCCATTTGGGAGTCACTCTTGTTCCCAACGATTGTCGGTACCTAGGCTCTGACAAAGGCTGTTATCGCTTTGGCACACTTTCTTTTTTCTGGTTAGTATTTGTTTGCTGGCATGAAAAATTATACAAAATCAATCATGGGAAATGTACATATCCAAGTAAAAAAGAGCCAAGAAAAAAATGGCTAACGTCTTCTCTGGACCTCGCCGAAATGTCTGATGATCGTCGGCAACTAACAGTTTTATGTAAAGATATTCTTATTGATAATTAATGATTCACTGACACTTGCACCCAAGTGTTAAATAGTTTGAGAGAGTGCCTGAAGTATTCTTGTCCATGCTCGAAACTTAAAACGTTTCAGGTTGTGTCCCTGCCGGGATATTTGGGCTGATCACATCGCCTCGGTGCATGGATTTTCGCACGTACAAACTATTTGTTCGTTCTTTCTTTTTAGCAAGTTAACTCGCTGTAAGGCTAGGGCAAATATTTTCGTTAAAATCTGGTAGTATGTTTTTGTTGCCGTTAATGTTTTGTGTTCGTAACATTGGCTTCTTTTCATGATTTACTGAAAAAAGTGGTAATACCAGATCACTGTTTTCGTTGTTTTTTTCCCGGTTTATTAAAATAGATCACTAAATGATCTTTTCCGGCCATACGTTCTTCCTGATTCTCTCGTGATAACACTGGCAAACGCGATTCTTAAAAACTCGCTCCTCGGAAAGAAACGTGACCGCACAAAAACGAACAAAAGTGCTTGAACTTGCTGCATTGAAAAGTGGCAGTGAATTAGGCTTAATGTATCTGTGACCCTGGTGAAACGGAGTCCACGACGCCAGTATACAGCTCCGTTCTAATCACTCTCGTTGATTTCTCAAAGTCAAGCTTTTTAGGGAATCTTCATGTTCTTGATTGACTCCTGCAAATTCTGGGATTACCTCAAGCAAAAAAATTTCACTCCAATGAAATGTTATCGATGTCGTATTGTTACAGTTTAAAATCACACCTAGAACAAGAAAATCTTACATACCCAGGGTCATTGAATAAGCCAAACATGGTCAATCGTTCGGTTATCTCGTTTTGTCCACTGATAGTGAAATTAATCCAATCAAGACAACCGCGATCTGATGACAACCAGGAAATGAGTACTCCCTTAGCTAAAATGTTCCTCTCAAAAACTGCTCCGTCAGCAGATAGATGTGACGGAAAGCTACTTTATTACAGGAAGCGAGACTTAGTTATCAAAGCTGAAACTTACCTGTTACTAAATTTATTACGTAAAGATAACGCTACGTAGGTGGTACCTCTTGCCCTCTCGTGCTTAAAATATCAATGATCTATTTACTAAGTAGGTATCGATATCCGGACCACTCACTAACGGCACGCGCCAAAAAGAGCCTTACACAGTTAATCAGGGTCTCTTTTGTGTTTGTTGCAGGATATAAGGATTTAACAGCAATTCAGCTTGCAAAAATTCATTTATATTAGAACTTTATACGTAAAAAAGCAGAAAGTGCTTACTACTATCATATTTCAAAGATTTAATTGAAAGACTAAAACATTAAAAGACTATATACATTAAACTGGGTGAATTAGTCTAGACTCCTACAAAATCTTCAGGTGTAAGGAAGTAATTATTATTACTATTCCATTTAAGGTGATAAGTAGAGGATTTTGTCAAAAACACAGGAAATGATATGGAAAAAAAGAAAAGATTTTGCAGATAGCAAGATAAAAATGGTTATATTTCGTGACTTGGCTGGCGTTCGTGACTCTAGAGATTTGCTTTATGCAAAAGCAAAACCACAAAATAGCAGAGTTAAGTTGCTTGGCGCGTGTCCACAATAAACCCTGGAATAAATGCTGAGCCTTATGTTTTTCTCCCGGGCACAAAAATAAACATTTAAAATTGGTCACGAATTATGGTAAGTGCAGTGTTTTGGTTAATTTCTTATGATTATCATTGTTCGAAGACATAGGTCTTTATTTTCTTGTATTCACAGCAGCGCCTAACCATAAACTGCAAGTTAAATCTGCGGAAACTAAGACTTTCATACGCAAAAGCCGTTTTGCTG